GGAAGCACTAGGCTAGGGAAGGATTGTGGCCAACTTTTGTGAACTTTTCTGGAAGACTTAAAGAGAATGGCATATAAGGTAAGCCAGCTAGCAACTCGGGGCATGCTATGAAAACCAAAAGGCTTTCATAGGCAATTTTAATCAGACCCTCATCTCTTGCTGTGGGAGGGCGATAGCTATCGCCTGCATTTAACCTCAGTATAATCATAAAAATGTTAGCAATACAACAGATACCGATCATAGCCAGAGCCGATGTCATTATGTTAACATAGGGCCCAGAAAACGAAGCAATAATATTGTGAACTAGGGATGGTTTTACTACACAATCTTGGACCCTATACCCATATTCCTTTGAATCTTCAAATAAAAGTCAAGAAAAAGTATGCTTATTTATAAAAGGCCTTCCTTTTTCTTCTGTGGTTTCTAATAGTTTTCCTTCTTTTGTATTTTATTCAAATTTGATTCACTGTAATTAATTTTGTTGTAAGGAATAAATTGGGAATACAACTATTTTTTTTTTTTATCTGAGACAAGCATTTAGTTCTTTAGCATCACTTAATGGACTAATTCATCTTTTACCACTGATATAAAATGCCATCTTATATTTCAAATTCCAATATATATTTGGGTCTTATGGGAAAGAATGCTAGGTGTTGACCAAACTTTTCCTTCTTTCTGGACATTTGTACAACAGGGTCCATTTCCCAGCTTCACCTCCAGTTAGGAACTGATGGGCCTGGCACATAAAAGCCTCCCAAAACGTGCTCCTCCATCCTCTTTGCCTTCTTGCTATATGGAATGGAGACACACTCCAGAAAAACCTCAGAAGCTACATGTGAAGGATGGCAGAGCCAAAGATGCAAAGAGCCTAAGGCCACAATTCTTGAGTAGAGGAAAGCCCACTAAGCAGAAACATCTCAGACTTTATGAAAAAGAGAAATAGTGAGTATATAGCCATACCACCCTGAACCTGACCAATCTCATCTGAAAATGAGAAATAAACTTTTATTTTGCATGAGACATTAGTTGCTTTTTATTAAACCAGATGTCCTTACTTTAATTATTATAGGTCTACTTCTGGACCCTATTCTGTTCCATTCATCAACTTCTTTGCTCATATGCCCATACTATACTGTTTTAATGAATATAGTTTCATAATGTATTTTAGTACCTAGTAGGACTAATCAAGTCATTAACTTTTATAATTTTTTTCTGGTTCCTTTTGTATAATCTTTTTCTCATATGAATGTTAAAGTCAGCTTCACTAGTTAAAATAAAATTTCCTTGGTATGTTTATTAAAATTATATTACAAGTAGACTTTGATACAGAAGCAGTGACTCATTTATAATATTGAATCTTCTTATACATCTCTCCATAGTCATGTTTTCATTTATATTCCTCAGTAGCACTGTAAAGTTTTATTTATATAGGTGCTAATAATTTTTTATTTAGTTTATTCATAGGTATCTTTTTTTGAAGTTATGGTATTATAAATAAGATCTTTTTTTCTATGACTTCTTATAACTGACTGTTGCTTACATGGGAAGCCTACTAAGATGCCGTGTTGCCTGTCTTAGCATGATGCCAAATAAAAATAAAATGACCAATCTACCATCCAAGAAAAGCATTTAAAAGCAAAATATATCTGAAAATGGTTAAAAATGTTTTCACAGTAGAGCAGAAAAACAGACTGTATTCGGAGGAGAAGGTATGTTGTTCTGGGTTAATTCAGAATGGTCAGAGCACCCTCCATTTTAATTTGAATTTCAAAGAGCTGGGGCATTTGTAATAATTGTACAAAGAGTACAAATTTAAAATTGTGAATAAACGATGTTTGCACCAATTGAAAGATAAAAGTTTCACATTATGAGTGACTGCCTAAAGTTGTTACTTCTTTCCTTATGAATAAGGACCTGCCTTTTTTGAATAGCCTTTCAAGCCTCTAGCCTTGAAATTATATTATTTACAGAAATATAGTGGAAGGTAATTTGGGAATTAAAACAATCAGTATACAGATGAGAGGCATGAAAAGAGCAGCTGAGATCTAGAGCAGCCATCAAAGGATATTCTAAATAGGGCTGAATTTGTAAACAACAGCCAATGTACTGAATGACTGATGCTAAGGGCTTTATGTGTGTTTTTCTTCACAATATCCTGAGCTAGGTTCTCTTATGTAAAAGGGGAAGCTGAGGTCTAGACGGGTCACGCAGCTGGAACATGGAGAAGGGGACACTGGAGCCAGGCAGTTGGCCTCTGGAACCCGCGCTTTACCACCAAGCTCATGAAACTTAGCTCAATGTTGGCTTGATTTGCCTTGAATGGGGTGTGGTGGCTTCTAAACAACTGAGCTAGTGACTGATCGATAGGCTTCAGAGATCTTCTTGCTGTCAAGGTGCGCTTTGAAGTTAGAGACATAGTAGGGATGCTGTGGTTGTAGGTTGGATGACTATTCAAGGAAGATCCTAAAGTGAAATTATACAGCCTCAGCCTAATGGGGCTCCTGCTTCTTTTTTTGTTAGTTTGTTTTTTTGACTCATCTGAAGAAACAATTAGAGGATCCTGTTTCTAAATTACAGGAACCGAACTCCCCAGAAACTAATGTATAGAATGTCAACTTACTAATTTGCAATGTTTAAGATATACCCTTCTAGTGAGTGACCAGATGTTTACTGGTTAGAGAACTCTCTTCTAAGGATCAGTGTTCATGGGAGCCTTCTTAGTCATCATAACTTCATTTGTTGAACTCAAATGAGAATAAAGGGAAAAGATAGTGCTGATGTCTAGAATCCTAGGAGTATAGCTAGAACTATAAAAGCACAGAGCACTCCAGGACCAACAAGTTGGGAAACAAGCACTATAACAGAAGTGCTACAACTGAAGATGACAGTCATACAGCACAGAACAATAATGAGTATTTATAAAGCTGATCCTCTCACCTATATGTGGAATCTAAAAAAAAAGACTGAATATACACAGAGAATAAAAACAGTGGTTACCATGGTGGGGGATGGGGGGAAGAATACGGGAGATACAATAGTCAAAGGATACAAAGTGGCAGATATATGATGAACAAGTATAGAGATCTAATATACAACATGAGGACTACAGTTATAATATTGTATTGTATTTAGGATTTTTACTAAAAGAGATTTTAGGTGTTCTTGCCACACACCCAAAGAAAGGGTAACTGTGAGAAGATGGATATACTGATTTGTTTGAATATAATAACCTTTTGCTACATATATGATATCAAATATCATGTTGTGCACCTTAACTATATACAAAAAATGATGATCCTCTCATCAAAGTATCAGTATACTTTGAGAAGGCAAGAACGTATCTCAACTGTTTCTGAAAGATGTACAACAAAAACTGTTTAAGTTTCATCATGACAGTACTTTCTCTTGAGATGTATGATAAATGACAGAATCTTGTACTAAGAAGTATATCACCGACTATAAACTACTGTCAGTACAATGGATCTATTGCCAGCAATCCAGGGCCACTGCAGCTAAAACAAAGCAATGATTAGGACAGATTATCATATTATGAGTGAAGGTCACTGAGTAATAGATCCTTGAGTAATAGATCCTTGAGAACCTAAAATACATAAAAAAGACAGATGTCTACAGAAAATATTTCTGAGATTAAAATTGTCAGTCAAAAGGGTATGTATTGGCTAGACACAGTGGCTCATGGGTGTAATCCTAGTAGGAGGCCAAGGTTGGAGGATTGCTTGAGGCCAGGAGTTTGAGACCAGCCTGGGCAACATATTGAGACCCCATTTCTACAAAAATTAAAAAATTAGCTGGGTGTGGTGGAGTATGCCTGTAGTTTTAGCTACTTGGGAGGCCGAGGTAGGAGAATGGCTTGAGCCCAGGATTTTGAGACTGCAGTGAGCTATGATGATGCCACTGCATTCTAGCCTTGGCAACACAGCGAGACTCTGTCTCAAAAAAAAAAAAAAAAAAAAAAAAAAAGGTATGTATTATCAAATGCAGGACTTAAAAGAATTATTTTCCCCTAGATACTAGGCAATATAAATATCAAGCATCAAAGCTAAGGTCTAAGCTTACATTTAAGTTACATTTCCAAAAAGCTGTTCAAATCCCATGCTTTAATGACATCTGCACGTAATCCCAAATGCTGCACTATGGTATTTCCTTCTGAGAATACAAATTAAGGATATCTTGATAAACTAAGTATTTTCCTATTTGGAAGGAAGAGACATAATTTCCTAAGTTGGTTCTATTCAATGAGTAGGGACTCAATTTTATTCTTCTAAGAGTTGATCACAGAGCATAAGAACTAAGCAATCTAAGTGTTCTTATAAAGGAAACTGATGCTGTTTTATTTAATCTGAGTTAAAACAATGATGAGTAACATTTGAGTTCATGAGAATCCTACTAAATGACTAGTAAATCGGACTCATGAAATCAAAGCCATAAATAACACACTGAGATAACATACAATTAAATAGTGCTATAGTTTGATATAAAATCTTCAAAACCTCAAAACATACCTTTTAACTTCTTTTAGCACACAAAATAATTTATTCATAAAGGAAATGCCTATTTATAGAACTCTAACAGAAAATTTTCAAACTTTAAAAATAAAAATAAATACCACAATTTTACAATTCTGATTTTAGAGAGAATATAGACCTTTTTGGCACGTACTGTTCTATCAAAATGGAAAGCTGAGTCAGTTTGCTCTGCTTTTCACAACACAAATATGCATTCACACTATTAGACTTGGGAAACCAACTCAGTGACAAGAAAAACTTGCTGGAAAATAGAATCACTGGAAAAGTGGGGTCTGGTGCCATCTACTGAGAGGCAATGGTAGTGTGTCCTTGAATATTAGCCACAAAATTAGGTAACACTGTAAATTTAGCTACATGCAACTCCACAGTTACACATGTGGACACAGCCTGGAAGGTGCATGCAGAAATGAAAACAACTGCTGTGTTAGGATGAGGAATGACTGGTATTTTCTGTTTTTTTTTTTTTTTCTTTAAATGCCATCTTACCTTTTCAAGGAAGAGAAATAGTTACAAATGATTACTGAGTAAAAGGGATACTGAAGAGCTAAAGATTTGGCAAATTGAGAAAGCAAAAAGTACCATGATTACAAGGGACTCAGGAAGGGTGTCTTACTCATGAGGAGGCTGGTGGAAGACATTAAGTCTTTGGGTATTCATGGCATGTCAGAATTAAAGATTCAATGTTTTTCTTAACTATTTACATAAAAAGTAGGTTTACCTGAAAAAAATTAGAAATCCAGATTGCCAGTAAAGGAGCACTTGGGGACTGTAATGATAATTCACGCCCACAATTACCACCTGGAGGAAAACATCCTAAAGGGCTTTTCTGATTAGCCACACACACAAAAATTGATTTTTGTTGGGTCAAATTTACTCTACCAGATCTCCTCAACACCAGCAATCCTGGAGAGCATTTGGTAAGAACTAGACCACAATCCCAACAGCTATATTGTCTACCCAGAAGGAAGACTTCCTGCAATATATTCATGGATTGGCAAGTTTGGTGTTTTTATTTTTTTGGTAGTAGCTTTTGAAAATGTTACTTTCCTATAATGCCAGAGTGCCCTGAGTCCTAAGAGCATGCCTAAGACATTTTTTTTCATAACCTTCTTACAATCCATAATTTGTTTTCCATCTGTCTCCCCCAAGAGGGCAGCGACTTTTCCTATTCTGTTTATTACCATATACGCAGCAAGTCTGGCACATGTAAGTGCTTAATAAATATCTGTTGGTTGAATGAATAAATGAATGTACGAATGAATCTCATACAGTCCAGTTGATCTAGGAGTAAAAGAGGCAAAAAATACCCTAGCAAAAATAAAGACAATGATAGAAAGGAAGAAAGGTAAGCAATAATTCCATAAATCGGGAGTATTAGACTTGATGCCAAAAAAACTGCCATCATTCAACAACTGATGATAGGTGTTTGGAGATTCAAAATACCTGAAAGATTTCAGCTGAAAGTTAATATGAAAACAGTGTTCTTTGGAAGACTCATTTACAAATAAATTAGTGAAAACCCTGTTACTATGCCAAGATATAATAGGAGACTAATGTTTTGTTTGTTTCAAGGTTGAGAAGACTCTGTTGAATACACCTGGTGAATGTCCAGAGTCCCATAGAGGGAGCGAAGCACATCGAAGACCTTTTCTTGAATGGTGTCAACTTGCTCAGAAGGACAGTAATCATCCAGACTTGATCTGCAACCAAGAAGTGAAAGACAAAGAAAAATACACATAAATAGGATAAAATCATACTGTGAGGAAAAGCCTGCATATGTAGATTTCAATGTAAGATATTAATAGAAACGAAGATATACTGAATTTTAGAATAATAACAGTTGAAAGCTTCTAAATGTTTATTCTATGTTAAGCACTTTACATGAATTATTTTCTTTAATTTTCTCAGCAACTCTATAAAATAGGTACAATTACTATCCTTTTAGACTACTGTTACCCTGAAAGGGAGATGTCGCTTGGGGATGCAGGGATTTATTATCTTAGTGACTGGGCATCTTTCTTATTCTTTTATTATGTGTATGCTACGGCTAGAAATGACTAGGTTTTTCAACTGATAAAAGGGTTCCACTTCTAAAAAATAACCTGTAGCTACAAAAGTATGAAGGATCCATGGCTTGGTCTAAAATGAAATGTGGGGATGTGCTGGTGCTGGGATTAGTTTCCCATGTAGTATGAAGGAGAAAAGCAATGTGAGCGCAGCAGAAATCTGTATTTTGGGAGTCTTTCCACAACTCATCAAGGACAATTTGAGTTGCACTGGGCAGTTACAATGTTACTACCAATTACAGCTGGATTAAGATGTGAACTGATTTGATCAGTGTCTCCTGGTCTACACAGGGGTAAGGAAAGGCATTTAGAGATGGATTGAGAAGAGTGGCATAGAAATCTTTATAGAAGGAATCAAAGTTAGTTACCTAATCTACTTCTTGCACAAGTATTTTAAACCTAAAGAAATAATCAGTAAACTCTCTGATAAATTCATTCCATTCTCCAGTGACCAGGTTATTTTTGAGGCTTAATGTAACAATTTTAAGACAAAATAAATGATACAGAGCAACTTTAAATTATTAAATACTAACATAAACATATGGATAAAAACCTAAAGTGTTATATGTAAAAGCTTAATTTATAAGGCTTAACAAATAAGGGTTACTTCAATGCTTTCAGAAAGATTTTCTTTTTTGGAGACAGTCTCGTTCTGTCACCCAGGTAGAGCACAGTGGTGTCATTGTAACTCACTGCAATCTCAGACTCCTGGGCTGAAGCGATCCTCTTGCCTCAGCCTCCTGAGCATCTGGGACTACAGGTACACACCATGATGTCTGGCTAATTTTTCTATTTTAGTAGAGTTGGGGCCTCACTCTTGCTTAGGCTAGTCTCGAACTCCTCACCTCAATCCTTCTGCCTCAGCCTTCCTGAGTGCTAGGATTATAGGTGTGAGCCACTATGCCTGGCCTCTGACTTCTTTTAAACACTATTAAGAGTGGTTCTTGGTGGGAGCTACCTCTAAGAGGATGTTTTAAAAAATCTCTTAAATTGTCACAATGACCAGGGCAATGCTATTTAGGGGGACTGGGACAAGAGGGCTGGGCTGCTAGAATGCTTGCAATATACAGAGTAGTCCTGTAATATGAATAATTATCATGTGTCTTACATACTTTCCAAAATTCACTGAGTACTCCCATAAGTGAAAAAGTGGTTTTTAATTTTTGAACCTAGAACTTAACACTCTTTTATATATAGACAAAGTATTTTTGAAAAAGCATTAAATATAAACTGTATTTTCCAGGAATGTAACTACTCTGTGAATTGAGGAAAGATTGAACTTAAAGTTCAGACCTTCACTAAAAGGTAGTTCAATGTTCAGAAAAATGTCATTACGGCTGTGCTGCTCATGCATGGTATCTGGCCAATACCACATGTGAGTATCTATCTGCATTTGTAACTGCTACATCTAGTGACTCTTAAAGATTCAAGTCTAGTGTGGCATTTTTAATACATATTATTTTATTATCAATTACTTTCATTTCTCCTTAATGTTATAGTGATATTTTGTGTATATATATATATATTTAAATTAAGTATATAGGTAGGTTACATTACTATATATTATGCATATTATCTATATATAAATTATACACGTAAGTAATATTATCTATGAATTTTGTTTTAAAATGAAAAAAGATGTTATAAAATGTCACAAAATACTATATATTATAATTAGCCTGAGTATTTAAAGCATTTATTTAGAACCTCATAATTCCGTACAAAACCAGCCCAAAGATTAACATAGGAAAGTGTTAAACTGCTGTAACTATTTAGCAATTATGTTAAAATTTAAAACATATCAGCAGTTAAATATCCATTTGTAGCACACAGAAATGAGAATTCTTGTGTTCATCTGAATATAAAGTTTAAGTTCAAAGACAAAATAACAATAACTGTACATTGTCTATCATAACTAATAAGAGAAAATACAACATCTGAATTTTGAGCTGAGTGGGCAAAAAATTGGTTAAGCATTGCTGTATTAGGTATTCATTAGATTCACCTACAGAGGTTTTATTAGTTTCCTGCTGTTGCTATAAAAAATTATTACAAATTTAGTGGCTTAAAGCAACACTACTTTATTATCTTAAAGTTTTTAGGTCAGAAGTTCTAAAATAAAGGTTCTGGCGGGGCTGCATTCCTTCTGGAGGTGCCAGAGGAGAATCTGTTCCCTGGCCTTTTCTAGCTTCTAGAGGCTGCTGGCATTCCTTAGTTTGTGGCCACATCCTCCATCTTCAAAGCCAGCAATGTAGACGTTTTCCAGCTCTGATTCTGATCCTCCTGTTTCCCTCTGGTAAGGACCTTTGTGATTACACTGGGTCCAGCTAGATAATCCAGGAGAGTCTCATCTCAAAATCCTTAAGTTTAAGTACCCTGCAAAGTCCCTTTTGCTATATAAGGCAACATATTCATAAGTTCTAGAGATTAGGAACGTGGACATCTTTGGTGGACCATTATTCAGCCTACCACACTTACCTTGCAATTGTCACAACAGTAGGTTTTGGTAAACTTTTCAGTAAATAATATACAGACTGAATAAGATACTCTATTTCTTGTTCTGTACTGATATGATGAGGAAGTTCTGAATAATCACAGGTTAGACCAGCCTGGTGAACCTGAAAATAAGACAATTAAGAATTACAGTATAATATTTTATTGTTTTTAAAAGATTCTTTAATCATTAATGGCCTTGCTGACAAATATTTTTAAACATTTTTTATTGATACATAATAAATGTATGTATTTTCAGGGTATATGTGATTATTTAATACATTTATATAATGTATAAAGATCAAATCAGGATAATTGAGATATTCATCACCTTAAATATGACAGATTTTTAAATATTTTTATACATTGGGATCATTCTTTTTCTTAATAGTTTCTTTGTCATAGAAGTCATCTGCTCTCTGAGGTGTTGGTAGAACTGGCCTGTACACCTGTCTGGGCCCAGTGACTGTTTTAGAAATAAGACTTTAACTACTTTTTTTTTTTTTTTGAGACAGAGTCACTCTGTTGCCTGGGCTAGAGTGCTGTGGTGTCAGCCTAGCTCACAGCAACCTCAAACTACTGGGCTCAAGTGATCCTCCTGCCTCAGCCTCCCGAGTAGCTGGTACTACAGGTGTGAGCCACCATGCCTGGCTAATTTTTTTTACATATATATTTTAGTTTGTCCAGCTAATTTCTTTCTATTTTTTATTTTTTTAGGAGAGACAGGGTCTTCGCTCTTGTTCACGCTGGTCTTGAATTCCTGAGGTCAAACAATCCTTCCGCCTCAGCTTCCCAGAGTGCTAGGATTACAGGCGTGAGCCACCGCGCCTGGCCTACTTTTTAAATTTATTTTATGATTATTGGTTCACTTAGCTTCTCTGTCTTTACTTGACTCAATTTTGATAACTCACATTTTCTAGCAAATTATCCATTTCACCTAGATTCTAAAAGTTGATATAAACTGTACATTAATATTTTCATCCCAATTTTTCTTTTAACATATTATTTTATTTACTTTTAAAATACATGCATTTAGTGCATCTAGCACTATAGTTAAAGCTTTGAGAGGATACCAGAGAAAGTCTTCCTGCTATCTTATTTCATTGACTGCTTTTTTATATAGCCTTTATATATAACCACAAACTACTGGCATCTATATATCTATATATATGTGTTTTAAATTTAAAGGAATGCTGTTTCAGTCTTAACACTAAACTATGTCTGAAAGCTACAAGTGGCTCACAGACTACCATTCTATAAACTTTACCATTCTTTTAGAAAACTGGAACTTAAATATGTCATAGTTTTGCCTGGTACATAAGTGCGAACCATGAAAAAACACATTAATCTACTATTTTTTTGGAGGCTTTGGATACATATCAAAGATTTAACTGGCAATGACCAGACAATGTGGTAAAATGACAAATGTTGCATGTTCATTCTTCCTAAAATGATCAAACCACTGAGTGTTCTATCACTGCAGTGATAGGCACATCATAATTGATACATAATCTATGACTGAGCCCCTGACATCCCTTCTCCCAAAAAATACCATACAACCCACCTAACAACAACAAAAATCTAGAGCAATGCAATGATTAAAGCAGACCTGCACATTCAATGATACCATATGAGCTTAAAGCATTTTAAACCGTGTCTTCTCATCATTCCAAATAATCGCCATTTTAAAAAATGGTGAGTCTTGGATTAGCTCAGGTTCAACCAAAATATTTTTTTTGCTGGTATTCTATATTCTTATAAATTCAATATTAGATCAATACTAAAACTTCAGTTCAAACAAGGTAGTGTAATTGTATTCCACAGCAAAATAAAACATGAACAAACAACATATTGCTGTAAGAGAAATACTAGACTAAGAGGCAGAGGACTTGGAGGTCTCAGCTCTCAAATAAAATCTGAAAAAAGTCATTTGAACTTTTTAAGCCCTAGCTTTCTCATCTCAAGTACTGGGTCAAATGAGAAAACATAAGCTTTAAAGGCTGTAAAATGATATAAAAAGAAAATATGACTAAAGTACCTTTAGCCACAGCATTCAGATCACTAAATATTGTTAACAAACAACAAACAGCTAACACATTTAAAATGTGCTAGCCACAGCTCTCTCTGTTGGTTCTTAAAATCAGAAAAGTTTTCAAATGGAGAAGAAAAGAAAGAAGGAAGAAGGAAGTATATGAATGGATAAAAAATGGACAAGTTTAGACATTGTGTATTTTTTTTTCTGGTGCAGAGAGATCTTAGACAAAATAAAAAAAAAAATACACAGTACTTTTGCTCCATACATAAAATTGAGAAGAGAATATTTTACCTGGAAAACTTCTACAATATTCTGGCTTCTAAAAAGTATTTTTTCCACTTATTTCTTTTCTTAATAATTTATTCAGACTTCACAGAAATGCAAACATGAAACACTTTAATAAAAAGCAAAATTTTCTACCCAGAAAATGATCTTTACTATGGGACAATTTTATGCTTTAATATAAAATATTTACCATTTCATAGTCTGGCACTTCCATTCGTTTTTTCAAACTCTGTACAAGTGGAACCAGTGATTCCATTCTGGAAAAAAAGCCACCACGCTCAATTTACACATCACAACTACCTCAACTAAAATGACAGTAGCAAATGATACATTACATTTAACATTTACCATTAATAACACGCTTCATATGATGCTTGGTAAATGAAAGATAAAGATGTTGGAATATCATCTTAAAATATTAAATCAATGTTCCCTACTGTTTCCTTACATAAAAGATTACAGATTGTGTTAAAGGTTGGAAAGCACTCAAGAAAATGAGATTTCTTTAAAAATTAAGTCCTACTGTGACTTCAAAAAATTATTTTGGGGAGGTAGGAGGGAGATGAGGGGAAAAAAAGAATATGAATATATTTATTACCATTGAATTATACACTTAAAAATGGTAGATAGTAAATAGATATGGATATTTTACCTCAATAAAAAGTAAGTTCAAAAAATTATTTTGATTAGCAAGAAGAACTAAGCATCTTTAGCATACTAGAATGAAAAATGACTGTTTACTGAAAGTTTAAAAAATGACTTAAGGACACATTTATTGGTATACACAATTATAACCAGAAAAGTTCTACCGTACACCTAGGCTGGAGTGCAGTGGTGTCATTATAGTTCACTGCAACCTCAAACTCCTAGGCTCAGGTGAGTAGCTGGGACTAGAGGTAAGTGCCACCATGGCTAGCTAATTTTTTATAGAGATGGGGGTCTCACTATTGCCCAGGCTAGTCTCAAACTCTTGGCCTCAAACAATCCTTCCACCTCAGCATCCCAAAGTGCTAGAATTATAGGCATGAGCCATTGTGCTTTTAAGTTATTTAACTTAGGATAGAACTTTGATTAATTGACTAATGTTTCTAGTTTTTTAATGTCTCCTCTACCAATATCCACTAATTTGCTGGAGGGAAAGAGAAGAAGAAAATGGGAGACACAGAAGCCTGCCTGTCCACTCATCCTGTTACTTTTTTCTTTTAATTCATAATACGTTCTGGGCTCCTGGGCCCTAATCACTTCCTTAGGCACAGTGAAGACTCCTTCATGCTGAGGGTCTGGCTCTTAAGGGGCCTGGTTATTTGGGAAGAAAATATTAATATTTTCCTTCCATCTTACCCACTCTTCCTTTGTGCTTTTATTTCTCCCCTCAATTCCAACCATAGTCTAAGCTTGCTGCCATTGCACTCTTGTGGTATCTTCAAGTCTGTGATGGAACTCCCTGCAGGTGAGGAAGTGCTAACAGGACATGCTAAGCAGGCAAGGTGAGTTTCAGTGGAAAGTGACCCTGTTCATGAGCTAGATTCAGGATTCTAAAGGTCTCAGGCCTATTTTTTTATTGTTGTTTTTTAAGTTTTAAACTTGGCTTGAGATTTCATAAAATAACAAAATAATAGGTACTTTACAGTATTTATAAGAAGACTCATGTCCTATGAATTATTTCTCTATCTCCCTCTTCTGTCATAATTTCAAAAAAGAGGGAATCACTTTTAGATCTAGCTCCCTATACTGAAGAGAAAAAGCATTAACTGATTTTAAAGGGCCTGATCAGTATTTACTGATATGATTAACACTATTATGAATTATTCTTCCTTATCATTGCTTTTCTTATTGACAATAATTAAAGCTTTATGATATTTACATTTCAGGGATGTTTCTGAATATTTTACTTTTAAGTAAAAATTTCAGTCAGTATTTAGAATAGGTATTAATACATGCATATACCAAAAGAAAGCATTTCTAATTTATATACTTCATCTTTTAGTCATATGATTTCTCTCCCCAGAAGCAACTACTGTTCTAGTTTCTTTTGTATTCTAGAGATGTGATGAACTATTTTCAATAACCATAATATGACAAATCTTAGTGGCTGTTCATGTTATGGCCTAAAGTACTATGATTCTAACTTCCCATTTTATGTTGCTGTCTTATGACTGATTTCTTATATTTATACCATAGAGAATAATCTCACAGTTCATGGTAGATCAATTTTAAAATAAGCTATTTCTGCTTTTCCTATGCTCATGGGGACAAAAAGTTTGTGTGATGGTTTTATTTTAGTTTTCTAGCCTTTTGAGTTTACATGATTTAAAGAATTATTTTAGAGAAAACTAAAGTATTAATATTTACATCAATATTCTTTCATGACAGCTTCAATACCAAAGGTTTTCACTTCAAAAGGACTTTTCTTTTCATGCTTTCAAAGTAATGTTAACAATGAGAGAATTGGTCAAATAAATGACCTGATGAAGAATCAGCTTTCTAATCTTGCTCCCTTATATTATGGGCAGACTGAAAATAAATTCTTCTACTTATAGTTGGGCTTTCCTTACAAGGAGGCAACTTTTCATATTGTAATTTACTTGTCAAGTAATTTACTTTTCTGTTGATAGGTTATTTTTTTCCTTTCTTCAACTTAGAACAGGGAATGCCTGTCTATGCACTCATCTTTAATCCTCTGTAAGACCTAGTACAATATCTTATGTTTACAGGAACTATTACACAATGACTAAAAGCATGCCCACTTACTCTGTGACTGTGGGCAACTTACTTAACCTTTGTGCCTTGGTTTCCTCATCTATAAAATAGACATAATAGTAATACAACCATAAGATTGTTATAAGGAATAAATGAGATAATGCAAGAAAAATATCTTAGATATAAGGCACATAGAAAACACCCAATGAATGCTAACTATCATAGTAAATCTGTGTTGAAATTTAATAGTAATTTTCAAAAAGCAATTTATCTAGCAAATTCAGGAATGTATCTATGAGTGAAAATTAGTAGAGTTGGAGAAAAAATGTTTGGGGATCTTACCCAGGGTTTGAAGCCCATCTCTGTACAGTTTCTTCATCATCACCATCACACAAATCAGCAAAAGTAGCTTCTAAATCCTCTAATTGATGAATTCGAGTATCAACAATATCTACCAAATCTTCCTTTAAATACATTGAAAAGCTGAAATTACACAGTTATTCTTTCAAAAAACAGGCAAAATCCCATTACAATGAAAATCTTGGTTCAATTACTTAAAACATGATTTTCAAGTACTAACCACTTGCCAATAAATACACACAGAGAATCTGAACAGTCCTTTGAGATCACTTTAATGAGTTATAAGATATTATTATGTGATAACTGGATAAAATTCAAAAGAAACAAAATGGAGGATACCTCTGTGAGGTTGGTGCCAGGCTTTTTAAACTGATACAGCTCTTGTAAGATTTTATACTCCTCCTGGAAAACAAAACAAAAAGTCCATATACCAGAAAAAAGTTATTATTTTTTTTTCAATGATATGCTTTATGTGTAAGATGGCCTTGCCTGTGATACAAGAAGAACATCTTAGACAATTATTTAAAGGTTTGTCTGGGAGATTCAGGCAAAATACATATTTTAGATTGCCTTGCAAATAGCATTTCTTCCTGGTAACTATCCAGCTGGGCATGGCATTAAGGTATAAAAATTAGCTATGGAAGAAGACTAGGTGGCTAATGGGTCATGAGATGAAAATATTTCTAATAATGTTCCACTATATAAGTGGATACAGATTTTAGCTGCTTATAAGAAATATAGGTATCTTTAATAACGACAAAAAACAAACAAACAAACAAAAAACCCTCCACATTCACTTTCCAGCCATTTCCTTAGCAAAAGAAGAGAACTCTGGAGTACAAAAGCAATATGGGAGGCAGATTGGCAAAGATACAGAACCTCAGTCAGGAGCCTCCACGAAACAGAAGAAACATGCCTGCTATAGATATACTTTGCAGGAGAATGTCTCCCCTTGGTTAGTACAGCTAGATACATTCATTATATATGTGGGTACATCTATCTCCAATAATCCTATTTAAGAGTACTGTGAGGAACAGGTTATACCCAAGAGCTAAAATTAATTAAGCACACTGTGGTGGCATTATCCTTAGTGCTTTACTCATCATAACAATCCTATGAGTTGGGTATGATTATTATTCTGATTTTATATGTGAAGAAAGTGCAGGTCAGAAAGGTTATGTAACTTTCCCAAGATCAGATAGCTAACAAGCAGGAGAAGTAACAAATAGAACTTAACTCTAACTTCTGAACATGCTCTTAAAAAAAATGACAAACAACTATCTTTCATTATGATATCAAAAAAATAGCTATCAAATTATAAAGTACAAATATGCTCTTTTCAAAGTCCACGGTACCAAAGGGTATAAAGGATACAAAAATCTCTACTTTCCCAGGCTTCTGGATAGCACTCAAAAAGTAATAAATGCCATTGGGTTTCTTAAGTAACCTTTTAGAAATTTTCATTACAAATATTTAGGTGAGTATATTTGTAGGATAAATTCCTAAAATCGGGTCCTTTAGCTTCCAGGGATGGCCATTCTGCAAGTTGAAAAAAAATATTTTTAAAGTCTTTTAATAATTCTGAAAGCTGGTGGTTATAGAGGTCACTGGCCTCACATACACAGCAGAAGAGAAATGGAAAATTTCCCCCTTTATCTGCAAGTTGGGAAAGCACTATAGATCCCCTCTTCTTGCTTCAGATTACACTTAACCCCAAATCTTACTTGTTTTGAATCAGTGCCTATTAGAGGTCTTTAATAATTTAGATAAATCACAATGGCTTCTGATATGTATACAGAATAAGGATTGTAAAGTGCTACGTCATTGCCATCATGATATTATTAATTAAATACTATACTTAGGTAGAAAAAAGACAGTTAATTTGAATCCCCAAAATGAACAAACCTCCCAATTGGTAAAGTAAGCAGTTACATGTGCCAATAAAATGCATCTAGGAACGCTTGCCTGGATCATGAAGTTATCAAATAAAGTTTGCTAAATGCATATTTCTAACTCAGTTCTACACATATTATTATCTAGTGACTTTTACTTAAGATCTGATGAAGGACCTACCTTAAGAATCACAGGCCCAAATCATTAACTACAAATAGTGATGTGTGTAATCAGGCACCTTATTGTTTAAGGAAAAATCTAGCACAGGTTTTATATATATATTAATAGAATATCTCTAGAAAGATACATGAGAAACTGACCACAGTATTTGTTTCTGAAGCAGGAATTGAGGGAATGGGGAAGGGTAAGAGAGTGATATTTTTCAATGTAGAGCTGTCCCTCAGTATCTACGGGGGAATGGTTCCAGGACCTCTTGCAGATATCAAAATTGATGGATGTTCAGTCCCTGATATAAAATGGTGTAGTATTTTCATATAAACTAAGTAACCTCTCGTGTACTTTGAGTCAGGGATCCCCAAACCTATGGGGAGTTATATAATTATTTCATATTACAATGTAATAACAGTAGAAATAAAGTGCACAATAAATGTAATGTACTTGAATCAAACTGAAACCATCCTTGCAACACCCCCCCCACCCTCCTATCCATGGAAAATTTGTCTTCCATGAAAACAGTCCCTGGTGCCAAAACGGTTGGGGATCACTGCTTTAAGTCATTTCTATATTGCTTATAGTACCTAATAAAATTTAAATGCTATAGTTTACCAATAGTTGTTGTACTATACTATTTAAGGAATAATGACCCCCCCCCAAAAAGTCTGTACATATTCATTACAGATGGCATTTGTTTTTCTCCTCAATATTTTCTATTAATATCTGTGGTTGGTTGAATCCATGGATGGGAAACCCACAGATACAGAGGGCCAACTTTATATACTTTCTTGTATTGTATGATTTTATTTTTTTCAAAAACCCATGTTATTACCCCAATTAATAAATGTAAAATAATGAATACTATCTAGGGCAGGGATTGGCAGCCCATAGCCTATGACCTATATTTGTAGGTTCTCAAGTTAAGAATGGTACCTACAATTTTAAAAGGTTGATAAACAATAACAAAGAATATATAACAGAGAATGTGGCTCCTAAAGCCTAACATAATTACTGTCTCACTGTCTGCAGAAAGTTTGCTGAATCCTAGAGAAATGTCACACAATTCTCAAGATCTATGTTTTAAAAACACTGTATTTACCTGGGTAAACATTTCTTTAAAGGGATTCTTGACTGAAAAAAAATCCAAGTCAATATCTAAAACAAATGAATCCCCTTTCTTCAAAATTTCCAGAATTTCTCCAGTGCTGACTGTAGTCTGGCATTCCTGACTTTCAGAAGAACATGATGGTTCTAGGCAAGTTTGGTCACTTCTCTGTGTCACCATGTCCTTTTCCACCATGTCCTTTTCCAGTCCTTCTGAATAAGAGTCACTGTTATTAGACGCAGTGTTTTCTGAATTTTTCAGTGCAAGCTTTGGCTTCTTAGCAGAAGACACTGGGTCATTCTCTTCTTGATTGTTACACAGTTTGTAAGGCTTTACCATAATTACATCCAATTGTAAAGGTTTTTTGTTCTCCAGCTGGTCTTCAGGTACATAAAGACCATCACTTAGGAAGTAATACTCTGTACTTGTAACCCTGGATCAGAAGAAAAAACTATTTTAAAGAAGAACAGACAATTTAGCTGATTTTTCATTCTGGGATAACAGAAAGATAAGAAAGGACATATTTGACAAAAACTGGTATATTTGACATTATGCCTTGGTAAGTACTTTGAACAGTGAAGACAAAATTAGAAGCATGCCCTATCCAACTAAAATAATGGCTAATATTTATTTCCCACCTGCCCTCCCTAAGCATATACAACTGTAAATTAAAGAAGATATTTTTCAAAAAAGATTGACATAATAAAACCAATATCCAAACTTACTAAAAGCTGTACTACCCTAAGAAAAAAAAAGGCTATACCCTCCTTATAACCTCCTTTAGGTTATAAGTTTATAACCTAAACTTATGTTCTTTTTAATGAAAGTTTTGCTTTGTTCCTACTATATAAATGCACATATATACCTCAGACTGCACACCTATATGTATGTTTCTTTCAAAAAGTTTTACTTGTAGGATTAACCAAAATTATTGGATAATCAAAATCTTCTAAATATTATTATCAGATATGGAGTCTCAAATGTCTGTGTAAGATTGCTCAAAATTATTTGATTTTCCAGGTTAAATAAGGCCTATTCAATAATGTATTCAGTAAAAACCCAACCACTCTTTCATATATACCAGTAGTATGTACCATATTTATATGTTGAGTCCTATTTATTTCTTTTGAATTATATCCTAAATAAATACAATTTTCATATAGTATAATAAAAAGGCTGTCTATACAAATGAAAACATATACGACAAAAGTCAATTGTATCATTAAGGATAAATCAGAAATAAAAAGTATCATTTTCAAAGAGAAAGACTGTGTCTCATTTTCAATGTATTACTATTTCATCCCATTATCCTTCCGGTTCTGGAAAGTTATGGTTACACTGCTTAAAATATTCATCCTATCACAAGAGAATTTAAAGGCAAGAACATATTGATATTTCTAACGGTAATATAGCTTCACAAGATAAACTGAACATTGGTTAGACAGCTTTTCCCCCAAAAAATTGTTGCCTATGTAACTCGAGTCAAAGGATGCTATAGTTTAATTTACATTAAGTAATTATCTGAAACTAATTATACTGATAAAATTAATACCTCAAATCTACTAATTCAGCCATTGGATTTATTAAAAAAAGAAAGTAAGATAATTTTGCTATTACACTGCCGTTAAATTAAGTAGACAATAGTTACATTAGAAGAAAATAGTAAAATGTACTATTGAATATATTAATATTACAGAAATCTATAAAGTACTGCAATAATTTAATGATGTTAGTCATCAATGAACCTAAATTCCAGAGGATGAAAATCATATTATTCAAAATCCAATTTGTCCAGCAACAAAATATAAATGATACATGAATGATGTGAAGAGACTTGAAAATCTGTTCCTGGTGTTTTGAGAATTCTTTTTGGAGGAGCTGAGGCTTAATCTGATTCTATTTGTGAGTAGAGATATTTATGAAGTTATTACAGGGATCCAAAATAAGATAGAAACATTCAACCTTTTTATATTCAAAAATATGAGGAAATTACCTGATTGTTGTGGTAGAAGTGTCTTTGCCTACTAAAAAGTGATGCTTGCCCTCTCTGATTTGCTGAGCCCATGTAGGATGAAGCCATATTACATGAGAAAAATGGCCAGCATAAACTGCAGGCATAATCCAATTTTCAATACTTAATTCTCTGGAAAAGAAATAGAGAGAAAACATTAAAAATATTAGTGAGTATTTTTCTTCCAAATGTAATTTCATCCACACACTATTTTAAGACAGCAAGTCATGAAAGTGTGGTTCCTGGGGTAGTTCCTAAAACTTTTTCAGGTGACCACTATATCAAAACTATTTCATAAAAATACTAAGGTATTATTTTCCCTTTTTATTTGCTGACATTTACAACGATGATCCAAAATCAATGGTGGATTGATGTCTTAAGATTAATGAAGGCAGGTGGCACCCACCTCTATTAGTAGTCAGTGTATCCTTCACTATCAAGCATTACCAAAAAAAAAAAAGTTTCTTTTAAGAATATCCTTGATTTTATTAAAACTTACTCCTTGATCCTGAGTATACATTTTAAAATATTCTGGGTGGCAAAACAAAAAATGCAAGAAAGCACTTCTGCTACATACTTGGAAGTATAATATCTGTCTCAAGGAAAAGTACTTGTGACTAAACTGTGAGCTAAATATTTTTCTTAAAAGGAGTGACCAATTGAGACTTGAGACTGAATTGTTGGATTCTACATTTCTTTTATTTCTTTATTTATTTTTGACTTTTATTTTTAGAGACAGGGTCTTGTTGTATCACCTATGCTGCAGAGCAGTGGCACAATCATAGCTCACTGCAGCCTCAAACTTCTGTGCTCAAGTGATCTCCCTCAGCCTTCCAAGTAGCTAGCACTATAGGCATGTGTCACAATGCCTGGTTAATTTTTTATAGAGACAAGCTCTTGCCATGTGGCCCACGCTGATCTAGAACTCCTGGCCTAAATCAAACCTCCTGCCTCAGCCTTCAAGGTGCTGGGATTACAGGCATGAGGTACCAGGCCCAGTTGGAGTCTACATTTCAATTAACCTTTAAGAAACTACCACTTGTCAAGTTTTGGTGTAGTATCAAGGAATATTAACAAATTACCTGAAATAGTTATGAAAATATTCTTTCCTTTTACAATTACATGTCTATGAGAGCCTGAATTTTTACGATCTACTTCATCAAAAACAACATATGGCAACAGACTAAATGCAGGAACAGATATGAGAACCTAGAGGTCTACCATAAAAGTAAATATTAAAGAGATCTGCAAAAACTTAAAGAATACCTCTCTTCTCAGTATATTTTTTTGTTTTGGAAAACATTTATTTTTTATAAAAATATCTTATGCTAATACATAATGGTTTGTAATTGTTACTAATATTTTGAAATGAATATTTAAAAAATTTCTCCCTTTTAATTTCAAATATTGTAAATGTCAATAGCTATAACCTATATTAAAAAAAAGCTCAATAGGCCAGGCACGCCGGCTCATGTGTGCCTGTAATGCTAGCACTTTGGGAGGCCAAGGTGGGAGGATTTCTTGAGGCTTGGAGTTCGAGACCAGCCTGAACAAGAGTGAGACTCCCATCTCTATAAAAAATAGTAAAGTTAGCTGAGCATGGTGACATGTGCTTTTGGTCCCAGCTTCTTGAGAGGCTGAGGCAGACTGCTTGAGCCCAGGAGTTCCAGGCTATAGTAGGCTATGATGAGGCTACTGCACTCTAGCCCAGGTGACAGAGTGAGACTATGTCTCAAAAAACAAACAAACAAAAAACAAACAAACAAAACCTTTAGCAATTATTAAGGGTACAAAGGAATCCTAAGACTAAAAAGTTTAAAAACTGTTATTATAAGACTAATTATATAGTCTGTGCACCTGTTTCATAATTCTCTTTCAATTTCTAAAATATAAAACCTCTACATACAAAAGAGAATAAGGACAATGGTAGAGCCACCACATTTCTGTATGAACCAGTATCTTGAATTAGAGTTTTGGAAAAAGTAAACTAAAATAAATGAAGTAGGCTAAAATTAATCCACGTGGGTATATTCTGTATCTTTTAATAATATCATAGAGGAAAATCACTGCTATGTAACTTTAAAAAAAATCTTTATTTTTTTGAGACAGAGTCTTGCTCTGTCATTCCAGCTAGAGTGCAGTGGTATAACCATAGCTCCATTGCAACCTCACATTCCTGAGTTCAAGCCATCCTCCTGCCTCAGCCTCCCGAGTAGCAGGGACTATAGGTGCATGTCACCATGCCCAGCTAATTTTTGTATTTTTATAGAGACGGCGTCTTGCTCTTGCTCAGGCTGGTTTCAAACTCCTGACTGTAAGCAGATCCTCTTGCCTGGCCTCCCAGAGTGCTAAGATAACAGGTGTGAGCCACCACATCAGGCCTGTAACTTTTTATATTATACAAGTAGGCTACATTCTAACAATTATATACATACATGAAGAGACAGTGACAGAATTTCAGGGAACTTTATTACTGAAGAGAGCCTAGTTGAGTCATTACTTACAGATATATTAGGTACGAGCCTTTCTGAAGAATGGAGTACAAATAACCAATTTCATTTCCATCTCTATGATTCTATATAACTGAAAGTCAACAGGATTTATGACTTGAAGTTAAACAAATTGAGAGGTAGAAAAGACTCAATAGTGGAAGGAAGAATATACAAAGATATGTTGCCTATCCAATTATTGAACTGTGTTTAGATTAAGACACATTTTCTTGTTTCTTAGTCTTAGTATCCAGACTTTTAAAGAGGACAGAGGAGAATTGGCTCAGATAACTTCTAGAAGTCTCTTCTACTTCTAAAGTTCTATATTCTAAATCAGAGGTTGGCAAACACTGACTGAGCTGTTTTTGTGAATAAAGTTTTGTATTTTTTTTCCCCAGAGACAAGAGTCTTGCTATGTTGCCCAGACTAGAGTGCAATGGATATTCATAGGCACAAATGTAGCATCCTACAGCATCTAACTCCTGACCACAAGTGATTCTACCACCCCAGCCTGCTGAGTATCGGGGACTACAGGTGCACACCACCATACCCAGCTTGTAAATACAGTTTTATTGGAACATAGTTACTGCCATTTGTTTACATAGTGCCTATGACTGCTTTCACACTACAAGGGTAGAGATAAATAGTTGTATCAGGGATTATATGGCCAGCAAACCCGAAATATTTACTATCTGGCTCTTTAAGAAAAAGTTTGTCAACATTTGTTCTAAATAAAATAAAAAAGGCAAAAAGACATACCAAAAAACAAACCCCAAGAGTCTGTTAGCAAAGTCTATTTCCTGTAAATGCTTATAATCTACTGCAAAGTGTATTTCAAACACATAAAAAATAATTAACAAAATCACATATTACCCAAAGAGTGTTTCCTTATCAAAAACGGTGTCTGCTGGCATATTCACAGGAATAAGTAGGTCTGGATGTGAGTCAAAATGTAAAAATTTTATATTACTGGCAGGAAGATGCTTTGAGCCTATGGCCCGGTATATAAAAGGTAGAACCTGTAAAAGACACATGCACACATTCAGAATTGCCACTGAAATAATGAGCACACACTCAACCGCAGAATGGAAAACAATGCTAAACACAGTTGCACATAATTTGAAGCATATCAAGCTATTAAAACGCAGAAAAAGATAAAATGTGTTTATTGTAGATTGTTCAGATAATGATTGCAAGCATTATTTTTTCCTCAGAACTTCCAACTTGTACCTCTAGTTGCCTTCCTGACTTCATCTCAAAGTCAACCGTAATGCGGGTAAACAGATCAGGACTGGGGCTCGGGAACAAACTGCTGGTTAACACCTGGTTTAGCTTTAACTGCTAAAGCTTCAATATATAAAGTGTTCAATATACCCTAGCTCCTGAGGTCTTTTTGATGTCTTTAGGATGGTGAGGGCTGGCCAGATAGTTTGTAAGACTCTTCTCTCACATCCTCTATAGTTCTAGGTTTAATACTGAATTTGGAAAGCCCCACCTAACTCACACTTTTTCCTTCTCTCATAGACACTATGTCTAAGACCTGAGAAACCCAACTTTCTTCCTCTCCGCTAAACTTTCTCCATCAGTTAATCTCTCCCTCTTTCATATCCAGATAACCTCAAGGCCTATTAATGCTACTTTAAAACAAATTTCTTAGATTCATGAACTTTCTTTGTTGATTTCCAAAAGGCTAGATTAAACCACCAATTTTGCTACTATACTGTATGTAGCACAGCCAGAAAAATAGAAGCGAATTTTAGTGTCTATATATGCCGGGGCACCAAGTTAAAAGATTTATGTACACAATATACAGACAGTAACACTCCTTCCTAATGGCCCTATGAAGTCTACGATTGCTGTTCCCATTTCATAGACGAAATGCCCACGGTTTTAGCATAAAGTTTTCCCCTAAACAGCAGGGCTGTGATAGAGGTGCCAGGAGACATTTGGAAGCCAGAGTTAACAGCAGGTGAAGGGGCTCTACAGTCAGACTGTTCAGGTTCGAATCCCGACGGCAACAGCTGTGGGACTTGGGTAAACCTTGTTAAATGAATTGCCGGACACGCTGTAAGTCCCATAAACGTAAGCTCCTAATCTTTCAAGTTGTCTGTTTCGGTGTCTCCCCACAACAACGGACCTCAGGCAGTAACCAATTCTGGCGATCTCTTTGGCCTCCGACGCTAAGGCTGGGCTGTCTCCTTGGCTGTGGAGCACCAGTGCTCTGGGCAGTTCTGCCCCAGAGCCCAGCAGCCGCCCTCTCACCTCCTGATGATCCTCCACCACCCACACCGGGAGCTCGGGGTAGCGCCGGAGACAAGCGCGCTGTCCCGCGGGGTCACTCATGTTTCCGCGCCGGTCAGCGCCGTGGCGAGTCTGAGGCACCTGCCGAGGACCCGGGAATGCCCGAGCCTCTGCCCAGCTTCCCTCTTCGGGCGGAAACGCGCGCTCACCCGGTTGCGCTTCCGGATTGGAAGACGTAGAAGAAGGGGGTGGGCACCAGAGGGTTCGCCGCGGACGATTGGCCTAGAGATCCATCGCTCTCGTTGACACGCCAATCACCGCGCAAAAGGCGCTGCGGCAGGCCGAAGAGTTTTCCCTCCCTTGACCCAGCTTTCACAGGTTTGCTTTTTAATTCTGTCAGTTTCCTGTTCCGGAGGCGCGGGCGGCGCCACTGTCTTGGCGGCTGCAGTGTTAGCCTGGCTTTTCTTCTGACGGAGATCTCGCGGCCCGATAGCCTTTTGTAGGTAAAAGGGGCACCTTGCGGATGTTGGAAGAGGGAGTGTTTCCGAGTGTCCGGATTTAAAAGGGGCTGGAGTCCGGGGCTGGGCGAAAGGCTCCTGGGAGTTGGGGTCGGGCAGCCCTTCTTCAGATCTGCAGCTAAGGGCAAAAGAGCGACCCTAGGCCCGGATCCCGCAAATAAATAGAAATGAAAGAGAACACCTTTCATTCATTTGTGGAGCGCACGCTGTGGTCCAGGCCTCGGGCCGCCGGGGTTTCGGAGGGGCGCGAGACCGCAAGCCCAGCGCCTGCCTCGTGGGGCACACAGACTGGCGGGAGATGCAAACAGGCAAACACGCAATTAGGGATCTGCCACATGAAGGTGACTGGCCTGCAGATTCACCTGGGGGAAAGAGGAAATTCTCAATAAAAAGGTAGTCACACTTTGCAACTCTTTCTACATGGACTGACGTTCCTGGATGTGCTAACTGTTCACAACAGCAACTAGGAGTAGGCAGACACGAAAGGTAGTTAATTTTACAGTTGCAGTGAATTCCTTGACTTCTGAATTAAAGTCTGTATCCACAACACAGCCTGACCATGTCTATCATAGGTAATTTCATGATAGGTATTCATAGATTTTTCTAACTGTAGAAACATCCAAGAGGACTTGGTAGTGAATGTTAAACTGTTACACACTCACTGTACAAAAGTGTTAATGACCCTGACCCTGACTGTTTTCCACCTCTAGGTTCAGCACACTCCTTTTAGTTTCTCTAGACCCTGTACATACCTTTTCTACTGTTTATTGCATTATATTGTATTTTTAAGAAACTTATTTGTATGTGGGTTCTGATTTCTTGAATCCTGCAGGTTATGTGTTTTACTTGTCTTTGAATCTGCAGGGCCTGGGACAGTGCTTTACATATACCGGCTCCTTAAACAGTGAAAAGTTCTGCCTTCTGTGTGGTCTCCATAATGCAAATCTATTGTGAGACAATAAACATTTATTCATCACCTACTGTGTGCAGGATGCTCTGCCAGGGGCTGTGAAGGATACAGAAATGACTGTGAATCAACTCATGTCATCAAGGAGCTAGTGGAGGAGTTAGACATGTGCACACATGACTATAATATGAGGCAGTCTCTGGTAAGTGCTGTAAAAGTAAGTGTAGACTGAGTCTAGAACGAATGAATTACTTCATAGAGGGAATCAGGAGAGGTTTCATAGAGGAGGTGGCATTTTGGATTGGTAGATGAGTAGAAATTCACTGGGTAAGAGATTTTAGAGAGAACAATGGGAGCAAAGAACAAGCTGAGTGATAGTACTTGGTATGTTCAACAGCTGGGAAAATCTGGACTAGAGGGGTTTTGTGGGGAAGGTAAAGGAAAACAAGCCTGGAAGGAGACATTGGGTCTAGGTTTTATAAGGTCTTAAATGCTAAGCATGGGGTTTGAACTTGATTCTGCCAGCACTGAGTAGCCTATGGTGGCAAGATCAGCTGTGTGGGCCCCAGGTTTATCACAAGGGTGTTAGAATGAATAATTAGATATTATCTGGTGCCTGTTATTAAGCACAATGATTGATATATAATCTGAAATTATTTTCATGAGCCATTTGAAAGTCTACTTAGGCCTATTGGTAAAACTTAGACTTTAGGAAGATGTTTCTACTTTAAAGCTTTTTCACAGAATATTTATCTGAGGCTTGTTTTATTTTAACATTTTGCTGAAGTCAAGTGTTTGGAAAATTATTTGTGTTCACAATGTCTTTCTATTGAAAGACTGAGCTGAGAATGAAAATCAAGAATTGTAACTGTTGTGTTAACAAGATTATGATTATGTTTGAATTTGAATGGTGGTCTCTCTGTGATTTTTGTGTTTGATTTATTCCTACATGTTTTTATAATGAAGGAAGCTAGAGTATGAAGAGGGGGAGGGAAAATAATTTTTACCCCAATCTTTTAGTAAATTAGAGATAGGACATGCCTATATTTTTCAGTCTTTACAGTGACTAATAGTTTTGAGTCAAAGCGATAAGTAATAAGGACATCATAAATTTTGGTTGGAAACTTTAATGCAGTTCAACATGCTCTTAATTTTGTTAGTAGGCTAAGTGCATTGGAGAATGCAAAATCAGTGTTAAGATAATTGCAGAAATGTTTTATAGTATCTGCAGTTTGGCAAACATGTTTATGTCTGTTTTATTCTTTGGTTTTTAGAGCTTATATTCTCTATGGAAGATGTAACATATCTAGACAGTACATCATGATGCAAGGCAATACATGGTGAGTGATGTGATGTGTTTGGGAGAACAGAAAGAGTAGCAAACACTGGTGGGAGGCCACATGGAGAGTGGGAAGGATTTAGGTACTTGGGAAGAGGGTCATATGCTCATTCTTTAAGCAGTGGGTATAACACAACAGAGGGCTATGCACAGGGCTAGGAAGCAAGACCAGAACAGTTAATGAAACATCCCAGAGCCCTGCCCTGATGGAGCTTGTACTTCTCAGGTGCATGTAGAAACTAAAGTTGGAATTAGGTAATTAAGTGGTGGATTGTAATTATTATAGGACCTGCTAAGAAGCAGCATAGAGTTGTGAGAACAGGGAACATAACAAAGCCCTGGGGGCAGTGACAGTGGTTGTAGAAAGGCCAGCAAGGGTATTATTGTAAAAGCCAGGCAAGAGGCAATGGTGTGAAGTGGATGAAATCAAAAGTATTTATGAAGCATAAATGATAGGAATTTTAATTTCTTAAATTTTTTTTATTAAGTTATTACATAATTGATAGGAATTTTAAAATAAATTTTTAGCTAAGCAGGGCTAAGGAGGGAAAGTTGTCAGGTGATTTCCTGGTATATGTCTTGAGAACCATTAAATGGTATCATTTATGCAGATAGGAAATACTAAGAAAATAGCAAGTGTTTATTTTGGAGAAGAAGAGCGTTAATTCCTTTTAGGATATGTTAAGTTGAATTTGCAGAGTCAGTGAGACATTCAAGGAGAGAGGTTGGGTTGGCAGTTGGCAAAGTGGGTCTGGAGTTCAGAAGTTGATGGCTAGAGATGTAACTGGGAGTTATTGACAGATCGGTGGTAATTGAAATAACACAGTTGGGAAAGGTCACCTTGGCAGAGAGAGTAAGCTGAGTGCCCAGGCTGGACCTCTGAGAAATACTAAAAGGTCAGAGGCCCCCTACCAGAGGAGGAGCTGGCACAGAAGACTGTCAGGAGGAATAGCCAGAGAGATATGAAGGACACAGTGGGGGTGTTTTGTCAGGAAGCTAAGGAAAGCCTCCATGGGGTGGGGGTGAGGCAACTAGACTGAATGCTGCATAGAGATCAAGTAAGGTGATTGAAAATGACCACTGGTTTTCAAGACAGGGTGGGTACTGGTCATTTCACTCACTGGAGTAGTGGCAGAAGCCAAAGCTAGATTAGAGTAAGTTGGAAGTGTACACTTGTCCTAGGCAGCCTGGGTTGCCATAACAAAACGCCATAGACTGGGTGGCTTAAACAACAAACATTTATTTCTTATATTTCTGGGCCTGGAAGTCTACAGTCAGAGTGCCAGCATGGTCAGGTTCTTGGTGCATGCCCTCTTCCTGGCTTGTAGATGGCCATCTTCCTGCTATATCCTCACCTGGCAGAGAGAGGGGGATCTCCTGTCTCATCTTCTTTTTATAAGGGAACTAATCCCATCATGAGAACCCTACTCTCATGACCTAATCTAACCCTAATTACTTCCCAGAGGCGCCATCTCCATAAGGTGTTACACTAGAAATTAGGGGTGCAACATATAAATTTTGCAAGGAACACAGACAACCTCTACCAACTTTTCCAGGTCATTTGGCTGTGAAGGGGAGGAGAAAGAAGGTGCAAAGTGGAGGGAGACACAGAGGCCAAGGAAAGTATTTTATGTTGGAATAGACCTGAACATTTTTATTTTTTTTTAAGACAGAGTCTCACTGTGTTGCCTGGGCTAGAGTGCCATGGTGTCAGCCTAGCTCACAGCAACCTCAAACTCCTGAGCTCAAACAATCCTTCTTTCTGCCTCAGCCTCCTGAGTAGCTGAGACTACAGGCAAGCACCACCATGCCTGACTAATTTTTTCTATATATTTTTAGTTGGCCAATTAATTTGTTTCTATTTTTAGTAGAGGCGGGGTCTCGCTCTTGCTCAGGCTGGTTTCAAACTCCTGACCTTGAGCGATCCTCCCGCCTTAGCCTCCCAGAGAGCTAGGATTACAGGTGTGAGCCACCACGCCTGCCATACCTGAGCATTTTTAAATGCTGATGTGAAGGGTCTGGTAGCAAGGAGAGATGAAGGAACACAGAGGAAGGGTGGTAATCCCAAATATATACATTTGGGAATGGGATTCAGAGCACGTGTGTCAGGAGAAGCTTTGTGAGGAGGAGGGAATTGGGAGAGGATGGAGTTTGGCACATAGGTTTGCAGAATGGTACAACAAGTTGAGGGAGTTCTCTTCTGTTGATGTTTGTGTTTGTGTGTGGTAGGAGATAAGGTTGCATGTTGACTGTGAAGAGGGAATGGAATATGGGGAAGATGCTAGAAGTTTGTGGTAGTTATGGAGGATAGTTAGAGTAAGCTGGCTGCAGAAGCATGCCAGGGGGATGGCTTGGCATACCAGCCACCCAGCGACCATGAATTTCCATGGGCACCAGTCTGCCTAGTCAGGTATTTTTCTACAGGACTACTTTCTAGTTAGCCTCCGGAAAACAAATATTTGCATTCTTCTAAGGTTGGAGTATTGCCAGGTTCTTGTGACTGAAGTAGAGAGGGGCATTGGAGCTTAGGGTATTAAAAAAGGAGTTATTGAGATGCTGGGCCATGGGGTCTATGCTGAGTGGGTAGGAGGTGAAGACAGGAAGATGCTGGTGCAGATGTGTGTGGACCTCACAAGTGAGCTCAAGATTGAGGGGGAACTTGAGCAGGAACATGACAGTGAATAATGGAACAGTGGGATGTTGAATTTGTCATTTTGGAGGTGGAGCAGCTTTAAGGAATGACAAAGTCCAGGGACTGACTGTTGCAATGGGTTGGGTGGGCAAGACAAAGGAAGATGACTTTATTGGCTATGAAGAGTTTCAGATATTGTTGAGAACCCAGTATTAAATGGGTAGAATATTCCAGGAGCTTAAGAGGTCTATTAGTTACTCATTAAGATGGTCAGGCGCCGGGCGCAGTGGCTCACGCCTGTAATCCTAGCTCTCTGGGAGCCGAGGCGGGCGGATTGCTCGAGGTCAGGAGTTCAAAACCAGCCTGAGCAAGAGCGAGACCCCGTCTCTACTATAATAGAAAGAAACTAATTGGCAACTAATATATATAGAAAAATTAGCCGGGCATGTGGCTCATGCCTGTAGTCCAGCTACTTGGGAGGCTGAGACAGAAGGATCGCTTGAGCCCAGGAGTTTGAGGTTGCTGTGAGCTAGGCTGACGCCACGGCACTCACTCTAGCCTAGTCAACAAAGCGAGACTCTGTCTCAAAAAAAAAAAGATGGTCAGGCATTAATGAAACCCTGTTTACATCGTGAGGGTTTTTTTTTTTTTTTTTTTTTAACTTTCTCCCCTTTTTATTTTCTCCAACAAAGTCACAGAATGTCGTTCCACCCAGGACGAGGATGTCCCCGAGGACGAGGAGGACATGGAGCCAGACCCTCAGCACCAGCCTTCAGGCCCCAAAATCTGAGACTGCTTCACCCTCAGCAGCCTCCTGTGCAATATCAATATGAACCTCCAAGTGCCCCTTCCACTACTTTCTCGAACTCTCCAGCCCCCAATTTTCTGCCTCCACGACCAGACTTCGTACCCTTCCCTCCACCCATGCCTCCATCAGCACAAGGCCCTCCCCCCTGCCCAATCAGGCCCCCTTTCCCCAACCACCAGATGAGGCACCCCTTCCCAGTTCCTCCCTGTTTTCCTCCCATGCCTCCCCCGATGCCCTGTCCCAATAACCCCCCTGTCCCCGGGGCACCTCCCGGGCAAGGCACGTTCCCCTTCATGATGCCTCCCCCCTCCATGCCTCACCCCCCGCCCCCTCCAGTCATGCCACAGCAGGTTAATTATCAGTATCCTCCCGGATACTCGCACCACAACTTCCCACCTCCCAATTTTAATGGTTTCCAGAACAACCCCAGTTCTTTCCTGCCCAGTGCTAATAACAGCAGTAGCCCTCATTTTAGGCATCTCCCTCCATACCCACTCCCAAAAGCTTCCAGTGAAAGAAGGTCCCCAGAAAGGCTCAAACACTATGATGACCACCGGCACCGAGATCACAGTCACGGGCGAGGCGAGAGGCATCGGTCCCTGGACCGGCGGGAGCGAGGCCGCAGTCCTGACAGGAGGAGACCAGACAGCCGCTACAGGTCCGAGTATGAACGAGGGAGGACGCCAGCCCGCCACCGCAGCTACGAGCGGAGCAGGTAAAGCGGACGTGGGGACTTCTTCATTGAACTGCAGAGGCCCAGACGCAATTTCCGTTAGTGGCAAACCAAACCGAAAGGGTCCGGCAGTGCATTGCAATTTATTAAAAAGAAAGCGTTTAACCACTGTTTTCGAGAGGAAGAGACATCTGACAAGTAAATAAATTGATAATCAGATAAAGGCGATTTTGAAAAGCATTCCAGAATTATCAATGTAGGTTCATCTCAGTGAATATAAGCCTTTTACTCTGCTTAATAGTTGGACATTTTAGTGATGATATTATGACATAAGAGATCTTGTATTTTTATCATAAATTATGTTCAGTGTGATCATCATACCAGGTTATAGAGTTTGATTTGAATTGATGTTCTGTATATGTTATCAGTCAATAATCTAACTAGTTAACAGAACTTGCTTTCTGATTTTTAGGATAAGTAGAAGTTCATTGTACATTGTTGCTTTTTTGCTCTGTTTCTTTGTAAAATGAAATAAGATTAGTTACACATGACCAAAGAGTTTTCGGAATAGCTTTTAACCAGATTTTGTTGCATTGAAACATTCATACTGAAGAAAGTTGTGTTTAAAAAAATACTGTTCTATTCTAGACTACATTTCTTATTTTCAAGATCAAATATCTATAAATACAAGAGAAATAAGGTTTTGAGTAGGCATTGTTAAAACTGGGATTCTACATGGGCTTATAGAAATGCTCTGAAGTTATATGCAAAGTTTTGTATGTGTGTGTGCATTTTCCAAAAGAAAGCAGATTCTCAAAGAGGTGGGTGTAAGTCTGTTACCTCAAAAGGCTAAGAACCATTGGTTTATGTGGAAAAATAAAAGCCATAGCTAACAATTGTACTAATATTTATTTATGTCTTCAGTGAACCCTGTTGATGAAGATTTGAGATCTTCAGTTGCCAAGCTAATAATGGTGCTTCTCTTTCACCTGTAGTGTGCTTATGTTCATTGTCTTGTGGAACTTTTGTGCTAAAAGTATTTGAGCTCCCCAAACCAGGTCATTTCATCCTGTGGGTGTGTAGAGAGCTAGCTGATTTCAGAAACCAGTTCACATCTCTGTTTCCACATTTTTCTCATTTCTCTTTTGATTTGATTCTGACTGAACATTTTGCTAGTAAATGATAATGGCCATTCTTTGCCCTCAAGAGAGTGACTGGTGCTTGGAAGGTTCCATTGTTGCCTCTCCCTGATGGCCGGGCTGAGGGTAGAAGGGCACGTGTTTCTTGCAGAGATGACTGATTTCTGGTGGGCTGAGTGAGAGTTGGTAGACTTTCTAAAGTATTTTTCAACATAAACTAATGTTTCTGGTGAACATTGTTCTTAATTATTCTGTCATGAACTAGTTGGCAGAGGCCTGTGATAGTTTATTTTACATTTTTTTTTTTTTTTTTTTTTTTGAGACAGTCTCACTCTGTTGCCTGGGGTAGAGTGCCGTGGTGTCACCCTAGCTTACAGCAACCTCAAACTCCTGGGCTCAAGCGATCCTTCTGCCTCAGTCTCCCAAGTAGCTGGAACTACAGGCATGCACCACCATGCCCGGCTAATTTTTTCTATATATTTTTAGTTGGCCAATTAATTTCTATTTTTAGTAGAGACGGGGGTTTCCCTCTTGTTTAGGCTGGTTTCGAACTCCTGACCTTGAGTGATCTGCCTGCCTCAGCCTCCCAGAGTGCTAGGATAACAGGTGTGAGCCACTGCGCCTGGCCTTATTTTACAATTTTATGGTGAAAATCTAAACTGGAAAGAGTTTGTGAATAGTTTTCTTCAGACTTTGAAGGATTGTTAGTAATCTTGTCTTTGGGAAAATATTTTGGTGCAAACAATCTAAGTAGTGTTTTTTTCTCCTCCATTTTGGGATGCTGTAATTAGAGGAGTTGCTAGGGCTGTGCTGCAAATCCTAAATTCTTCCATTGAGGCTTAAACTTTGCATTATGTATTTGAAGAAACTCAGATGTCCTGTAAACTGAGGATCTTAGTAGAATCAAGTGCTATAAGAATTACCTGTAATCTACTTTATCCCAAACCATACTCCTTTACTGTGAGAATTTACATCTTTCTAAAATAGTCTATATTTATTTTGGAGTTGTTTTATAGTATGCTTGAGGCATTTGCCTTGAAGCTGCCTTAGTGGCACAGTCACATTATAATTGGCCCCCTTGGGGTATTAAGTGGAGTGTTAGTCATCTGTATTATATAAAAGGCTTCTATGACACAAACATGGGGCATGTGAAGTCCTGATATAACTTCTAGAAATATATTCGCAGAAACTGAAACTTCATAAATTTGTACACTAGATTGTTAAGTTTATGCAAATTCTGTGGTCTGTCCTCTGGCTGCTTTTCCCCTGCTTCTTGGGGTAAGGAAACCTATCCTTTTACAAATTCCTCTTCCTCTTTTTCTCCTCCTCCAAAATGTGGTTAAATAACCAATTGCAAGATTGTTTTAGGGTGAACTATATTTAGAAGAGGTTTGTGAAGAAATGGATGTAATGAATTTGCCATCATGAAAGATCAAAGTTACCCTAGAGAATGAGAAAAGAAACAGCTACAGTGAGTGTAGCACAGCAAGCGTGCTGTTTTGTAGTGTGGTGAGGAAGTGGGCAGTGGCTTTCACCTAGCTAAGTAGTGCTACTGCACGATAATTTCCATGGCTGTTCTGGTGACAGTAGATGTCTAGCCATTGAAGAGCTAGCATAATGTACTTAAGGAGTATCTCAATGTTTACAAACAAGGAAGGAATCTTAGGAAAAGTAACACATAATTTTTCTTGCTTTAAAAGGGTTCATCGTGTTAATGTTATTAACGTGACTTATGTCCAAATTGGTCTTTTCAGTTCCTAGCCACTCAGAGGTAACAGTCATCATCATAAGTGTTGTTAGTAAGTGTAAAGTTTTATTGGCTAAATGTTAAAAGACAAAAATTAGAAATAGCCTCTATTTGGACTTTTTATTTGGAAAAATAGGCAGTTATTCTTTTCAGCAGCCATGCCATTACAAATTACATATATCTTTGACATGTGGCACAATTTACTAATTTCTGTACAGTAATTGAGATTTATTGACTACATGTAAACTGTGATTTTAGAAATATGTCAGGTGGAGAATGTAGAATCCTAAGCTCTGGCTGCTTTATTTTGAACAGTTAATGTATACCTGAGGATTGTGTGTTATGTCAAAAACATTCAAAGGAGGCTTTCTTGAGAACAGGGAAATCTTTAAGTGAAAAAACAATTTCTGTCTTAATATCTAAGCACTCACTGATCTTTATTAGTTTTGTAAGTTTTGATTTTAGTGTATTTATATTTCTTCTATTTGGCTGTAAGTTGGGGGATATTTTTATAGTCTTCTTGCTAGATTCAGGTTAATATACCATTTTTGTTTGTTTCCATTCTGAAGTTGGGTGGTTACTTCCTTTAGATTTGTTCTGATTCAGACACATGGGAGTTTAGATTTTAGTTTCAGACCTTTCTTGTTAAATAGTCTCAATGCTATTATTTATTTTTAAATTCCAACTTTACATTGGAAGGGTTTTAAAATCCATTCTGTTTTTCACCATGGGTAAACCCAGTGGCTCCATTTAGTTTTTTCCAGATGAAAAATAGCATTAAAGTGATTTAGTCATGGTCTTGTGGCAGGTTAGTGATAGCTAAAACTACAACTGTTTGTAGTACAGGCCTATAACCCATAAGAGTTAAGAGCTCTTTTATTATAGAACTTTGTCCTAATCTTTACTGTAAAAGCTTTATAATTTGCATTTATTTGATGGGTGAAGTTTAGAGTTTTCTAGAAAGCAGTAGGGTGTAAAGTCCTTTAAAGTTTTCCCTGTAGGTTAAATACCCAAGGAATGGCTGATTAGAATGTCTGGAGAAAAGATTACAATAAAATTCCCTTTATTGCTTAGCATCATGTATGACTTCTTTCTTTAAAGAAAACTGCAAAAATTGTCCAAGTTAGTTAACTTCTGGAACACGAAAAACTCCTTTATCTTCTAATAAATTAAAGAGGCATAAAAATGGCCCCTAGTGAATAGTTCCTAAAAAATTCTTAGATATGGTCCATTTATTTAGAAGATGAATTCAGTGAAAAGAGATGGTGTTTTTGAGTCTTTCTGTTGAAAACAGCTCTGTGTATTAATTCCTTTAAGAGAGCGAGAACGGGAGAGACACAGGCATCGGGACAACCGAAGATCACCATCTCTGGAAAGGTCCTACAAAAAAGAGTATAAGAGATCTGGAAGGTAAGCAAGGAGTTGACACTGAAAGAAGTCATAGGATTATCTCCTTGAATTCAGATTTTGTGCTTGTGCAGGCTATCAGCCAAGTCTCATAATAGCCTCAGTTTGTCCAAGATGACCTTTGAAAAGCTAAAGCAGCCTGTAACTTAAAAGCCTTTACTTTCCAGATGTATTGATAATGCACAAAGAAAATCTTGATAAATTTCTAAAAATTAGAAGTTATACAGACCGCTTTTTCTAACCACAAATGCTATAAAACTAACTATACATTAATAATTCAAGTTATTTTAAAAAACCTTGACAATTCATAATTATGCTCTTAAATTTACTTGTTTCAGAAAAAAAACAAAACTGTAGTCCATACTTTCTTTAGAAAAATGGCATTGAGATTACTGTAACCCAATACTTACAGGGTGTAACTACTTTTGTGTCCAAAAGTAAAATTTTGTGGTCTTATATGTTGGTAATTAAGAGTAACACTCTAGAGTCTGAAAGATTTGGATCAGTTATTAGCTTTTCCCACTTTGTTATTGGGTAAAGTAATCTAACCTTTCTAAGCCTCAATGTCTTCATCTGTAAAATAAGGACAGTTATATTTACCATATTGAGTGTTGAGGGGTCATTGAGTTGATACATGTCAGACACTTAAAACTGGATCTAAAGTAAGTGCCAATCTGAGCACTTGGCTTTGGAAATGAGTAGAGTATAAGAAAAGCAGAAAAAGGGATTTAAAGATAAAATAAATTAATGACATTGAAACAAAACTATATCAGTGTAACTGTATTTGTAAATAAATGCAAGACTTGATTCTTTGAAAGGTCATACAATTTGAAAAGTGGCAAATCAAGAAAAGAAAAATGTGTATAACATTAGATTAGAGAAAGTATATTATTACAAGAATGAAGAAGATTTAGCCCGGGCGTGGTGGCTCATGCCTGTAATCCTAGCACTCTGGGAGGCCAAGGCCGGCAGATTGCTTGAGGCCAGGAGTTCGACACCAGCCTGAGTAAGAGTGAGACCCTGTCTCTACTATAAATAGAAAGAAATTAATTGGCCAACTAATATATACAGAAAAAAAAAATTAGCCAGCATGGTGGCGCATGCCTGTAGTCCCAGCTACTTGGGAGGCTGAGGCAGCAGGATTGCTTGAGCCCAGGAGTTTGAGGTTGCTGTGAGCTAGGCTCACGCCACGGCACTCACTCTAGCTTGGCAACAAGGTGAGACTCTGTCTCAAAAAAAAAAAAAATGAAGAAGATTTAAAAATTATAAAATAGTGTGAGGACAGATATTTTATTTAAAATAATTAAAGACTTGAATGTGGTGGGTTGATTTCTAGGAGAATGGAAATTACAAATTTCACACAAAAAGCAGAACACTTTAATCAGTCAATAACCATGAAAAGAATTGAAAAAGCTGAATGTGTACCACCTCCAAAAAATTTTAAACTTTTATAGAACACTGAAGAAGATGGAAGAAAAGTTAAGCTCATGTTGTTGGTAGCAGGAAAAGGTGGCAAAACCTAACTAAGGAAAAGAAAACTACACAGCAGTCTCTCTTCTGAGTATGGATAAAAATACTAATAAAGATACTAGCAAGTTGTTTTCAGTTGTGTGTTAAAATAACCGATAGAGTTTATTCCAAGACTGCATGGATAGATAGGTTAGTGTTAGAAAATCTGTAATTACTGTGTCAATATCTGTAGGGTTATCTCAGTATCTGACCATTAGGTATTGAAATAAAACCAGCATCCATTTCTGAGTGAAAGCTTTAATAAACTAGGGAAATTAGCAAACTTCTTTAACATGGTGAAGAATGCTATCTTATGATTAACATGATTAATACTATCTTAAAAGAGCCACATTTAGCATTGAAACCTAGAAAATAGACAAGGAGGCCCCATTACCTATCACTGTTACTGAACATTATTAGGACTCAATCAGGCTAATTAAAAACATGGAGTTCTTTTGTTGTACTGGTGTGGGTGATACCCACACCATTAACAAGAGTCCCCACTTTACAGGAAAAGGAAAGTTAAATGCTGTTAAGTGCTTTTGCTAAGATGATTGATTACATGTTGCTCTGGGAACATGACGGTGAAAATCCAGTCTAGTCCGAGATTTACTGACTTTTTCCTGATACCTGAGGTGTGCATATGCATTGGGGAAGGAGAATGGTAGGGGTGAAGGGAAGAGCACCTGTGAAGGTTGCACTATGGAGAAATACTCTGAGAGGGTCAAGCTGGAGACTGGGAAATCAGTTTCCAAGTTTTGTAGTAATCCACAGGAGAAATGATTGTGTCCTAGACCTGCAAAATGACAGTGGTAACTGGAAAAGGTAGACGTAATTGAGAGATATTTACATGCTGCAGTCAGTAGGCCTTGATAACTGCTCAGATGTGTTAGGGCAGAGGGAAGAAGAGTTGATTGTTACCTGAGATCTAGGTTACCTATTGAGGGTGAGAGATACTGAGAAAGAGGCAAGAGGATGAGTTCACTTTGGATTTGAAGAGTCCCAGACAACCAAATGGAATCGTGCAGTAGTTAAGCTATTGGATGTGCAGGTGTGAAGTTCAGAAAGCGATCTTAGCTGGAATGAGCTTAGCTGGGAGAGTGAGCTGAGGGCCTGAGGAGGAGGAGATCGGAGATAGGATAAAAGCCAGGATATTGTGTGGTAGATATCATTGAGGACCTATTGGAGGTGAATGATTTTTAATGTATAAGTGCTAGAAATTTCCTCAGTCTAATGGTTTCTTCTTTTATGCCTGCTGGCTTGTAGAGAAGGCAGACTGGGATTCTGTGAGTTCTGACTAATGCAGTAGATGGGAAAATAAAAATTAGAGTTGAAAATATTGTAAAGGAGGAAAAATTACCAGTTTACAGTATAGCAGCATGTCGTTAAGAAGAAATAATTTGGAGTTTGGATTTTGAATTTTGGAGTGCCTGAAATACCTGAAAAAGGTGTTTTGTTCCTGTTTTGACATACCCCTCTCAAAGTGTTAGATATGAATATTAATTGATGTTTACAACAGACAACCCTGACTGTTGGTCATATCATGCAAGATACCTGCTGAAAGGGGATGGGGTGAGGATGTCTCTTGCCTGTGTTTCTTGATAATAATAACGATGATGATGATAATAATACTAATGATTAAACGTTTCATGGAATTTTTAAGAATATGTTGAAATGTAACTACTACTTCTAAATGTTATGATACTAGGTAAGTGACTAATTTTTAAGGGTTGTTTCCTCCTTTGTAGGTGATGTTATATCATCTTATAGGGCTCTTGTAAAGATTAATGTGAGAATGTCAATTAAGTGCTTATTACCAAGTAAGCACCAAAACAAACGAAAAAGAGCTACTAGGAGGTTAGAGTTACCATTATTGGCTGATGGTATTTTAATAGCCTTCCTAAATACCAGGAAAACCTAGTTAGAAAATGTAATGGGGAAAAAAAGTAGATTCACTATAGAATTTGTACTAATTAAAATTAAGTGTCTTTAATAAACTTAAAAAATATATAGGACCAATGGGAAGAAAACTATAAAATGTAGCTGATGACAAGGTGATGTAATGAAGGGAGGGCATGCTATATTCCCATAGTGGAAGACCATGTTGTAAAAAAACTGATTTGTTTTTTCAAAATTCTGTAATCTCTAATAAACTTCAGTTGAAATACTGGTTTTAGAACTTCATAATTACTCTTTAATTTTTCTTTGGAATAGAAGTTAGGATAATGAAGAAAAACCATAATACAAGGACATTTATTCTCATAGTGGTAATGTTCTGTAAATACATAATGATTTAAAAAAATTGATATGGGTATAAATAGATCAGTGAAACAGATACTGTGCAACATTCATGTATATATAAAATTTACATCTAATATATCTAATAAATAATAGTTGTTTTAAATCAGAGGAGAAACTGGCAATTGGCAAGATATTTGGAGAAAAAGCTGAAATTAAATTTTCGCCTTACATCTTGGAGAGATAAGAGTAAAAAAATTTAATATGAAAAGTAACTGAAGAAAATGTAAAATATTTAGCCTTGTTATGAGATAGGTTTTCCAAGCAAAACACTAAGGCAGGAAGTATAAATAAAAAGATCTCTAAAGTTGGCTTTATAAAAGTTATATGTAGCAATAAACAAATACACAGAATTAAAAGGAAAACAGCTGTAAAAGGTTACAATACATATGATAGAAGGATGATTATCTTATAAAAACTATTTCAGTAAAGATTACAATCCTAATTAAAAAAACATTAACATAGCATATGACCAATAGTCATAAAGAAGGTGAACATGAAATGTATTTATTGTAGTAGTGATAAAATATTGAAAATTAAGTGAAATACTTTTTCATTAGAATGGCAAAGATTCAAAACAACCATGTTGATATGATGTTCATATGATTGGAAAGGGGAACTCACAGTTTTGATGGTAGGCCAAACTAGTACCACCTACCTGGAGAGAAGCTTTAAAAAAAAAAGTACACATGCTTTGGGAAATAATCTGACAAGTGTGCAAAGAACACACATGTGCTCATGGTAGTGTTGTTTATGATGGGAAAAAATGTTAACACCCTAAATGACTATCATTAAATTTGTTACATTATGGTATATGCATATAAAAGAATAATATGCAGCTATTAAAAATAGTTCAGATATATGTGTTGAAATAGAGAGTTCCTGACTTACTATTGCATGAGAAGAGCAGGCCATAAAGTTCCTTTTTTTGTAAAAGCATGTATATATTTAGATACATATTCGTGTATCTATATATGTTTTTAAACATTGGTGAAATATAGTGGTTATCTCTAGGTGGCATTATGAGTGATTTCTGTTTCATTTTTATGTTTATGTTTTATTATTTTCTATGGTGAACATACACATTTTACTTTGACAGTAACTATTTTTTCTGGTAATAAAACTAATGATACATATTGTAGTGTTTAGAAGGTATATAAATAATCAATATGTACAACCTGCCTAATCCCCTGAGTATACATGTACACCTACACATAGACTTTCCTTGTTACAAAATTGGAAGTTAGTGGTAGAGTTAAAGAAAATAGTTAATTTGTGACTTCGATTGGTTTTAAACTTTCTTGGATAGTAGTAACTTTGTTAGTGGGGCTTACCACCTGGTGTAATACAGCAGTTATTCTCCTTTGCTGAATTCTCAAGGTCTGTATGTTCTACCTAAATTTCTTGGGCTTAAATTAAAATCTACTCTATAGGTTTTCTCTCCATATACATGCATAGGCTGGATCTTTGTAGAATTCAAGCCCCAGGAATTCAAGGAAACAAAGATATTTTTTCATCTTTCTGTATTAACCGAGTTAATATTAGTATTTGTGGGGATTAGAAGTAGTCAAAGTGTTGATTCACTAAGTAATAATACTCAAGCGTGGGGTTCCAGAGAAATGGTTAGGAATGATATACCTGGTTCACTCTTGGATTATAGTCCACAGGCTAACGTTATGGCCAAGTTGAGACCATGTTTTGTGAAGTCTTTTTTTTTCCTGGCAAAGCAAGATGTGGAGGATTCAACACTAGTTGCTGAAATTGATCTTACGTGGAGATTTCCAAGTATTTCCCAAATATCTTTCTCTTCTAGGAGTTACAGTTTATCGGTTGTTCCTGAACCTGCTGGATGTACACCAGAATCACCTGGGGAGAGTATTAAAAATACAGATTCTTGGGCCCCACCCCTGGAGATTGTGAATCAGTAAGTAGATCTGGGGTGGGGCCTGGGAATTTGTATTTTTAAACAAGTAAACTTCAGGTGATTCTGATGCCACCAGACTGGTGTTTGGGAATCACTGGTTTAAAAAGTAAATATGGTGGTTTGGCATGGAATTTCTAGTTTAGAAAACAGGTAAAATAGGATCATTGGTTTAAAAAGCGAATGGTGATTTGGCATGGAATTTCTACTTTACCAAACTGGTAAAATAGGCTAGTTTTTACGATGGAAGAGCATTTTTAATAATTAGCCTTCTTTGCCCCCTTTTGAAGTCGCTCCCCAAGTAGGGAGAAGAAGAGAGCTCGTTGGGAGGAAGAAAAAGACAGATGGAGTGACAGCCAGAGCTCTGGCAAAGATAAGAACTATACCTCAATTAAGGAAAAAGAACCTGAGGAGATGCTGCCTGACAAAAATGAGGAGGAAGAAGAAGAACTTCTTAAGCCTGTGTGGATTCGATGTACCCATTCAGAAAACTACTACTCCAGCGACCCCATGGATCAGGTGGTAGGTCTGAAGTAGGAGAAAAGCTATAGAACAGGGTCACTCTAACCTTGGTACTATTGGTGTTTTGGGCCAGATAATTCTTTATTGTGGTGGCTGCCCCATGCATTTAGTATGTTTAACGACATCTCTGGGTGTTACCCACTAGATGCCAGTAGTGACAACCAAAAACATCTTCAAATATTGTCGAATGTCTCCCTGGGGAAAAAATTACCCCCAGTTAAGAATCATTGCTACGGACAAAAGCCATTTTAAAAAGCCAAAGGCCAAGAGTGTAGTAGGTTAATTAAAGTAAATCTTTATTCTGCATTTTTTTTTTTTTTGAGACAGAGTCTTGCTTTGTTGCCTAGGTTAGAGTGAGTGCCATGGCGTCAGCCGAGCTCACAGCAACCTCAAACTCCTGGGCTCAAGCAATCCTGCTGCCTCAGCCTCCCGAGTAGCTGGGACTACAGGCATGCACCACCATGCCTGGCTAATTTTTTTTCTATATATATTAGTTGGCCAATTAATTTCTTTCTATTTATAGTAGAGACGGGTCTCGCTCTTGATCAGGCTGGTTTCAAACTCCTGACCTCGAGCAATCCGCCCGCCTCGGCCTCCCAGAGTGCTAGGATTACAGGCGTGAGCCACCGCGTCCAACCTTATTCTGCATTTTTTATGATACTGTTACTAGTGATTCCATAAGCTCTCACCTATAACTATAATAGTTTATGCTGTGTATGTGTATGTGTGTGTGTCCCCAAAAATGGGGAATAAGAATTTGAGTTTGTCTTTTCGGAGTGTATCCTTGGCCAGAAGAGCATCACCACAGGGAGTTTCCCATGCATGTTGGCTGGTTTGTGGAAGGGAAGCTATTGTCAGTCACCCTTATCAGGCTGTGGAGAGGACATCTAATGTGTGCACTGCAGAGGCCGGGGGCACGTGTGGCTCTGCAGCCAGCATGCTCATTGCCATGGCGGACTCCACTTCTCTCCTTCTCCACATGCTTGCTTCTGTTTTTTTTTTTCTTTTTTTTTTTCTTTCTTTCATCTCCATTTTATTCTCTGTCACTCTCCCCTTTTCTCTGTCTTCCTGTCTTCTCCATGGGTGTTATGCCTCCATCTCATCAGCATAGGCACATTTGTCTCAGTGTAGACACACAATAATGTTCATTGATTAAATGAAGGAGTGAAAGAACAACTATCTACAGATTTCGAGCATTAAAAGTAGACGTTAGGTTTGGTACATGGGCTAGGAGAGGGTCATGTTGTTTGGAATTTTGTGAAAATAGCCTCTATTTGGACTTTGTGGAGGGACTTTAAAGGAGATTTCCTTGTCTTTAGAAAAAAGGGGTTTGAGAAATCTCATAGTGGTGGGGTATTTCACTTGATAAGTAGAGCAGGCTTTTAAGTTATTTAGTTCGTGTGATATAGGGAAGGGAAAGCTCACATACTGAGCAATTTTATGGTGCCAGACTTACTCCATGCTTCTCATATCACCGTGTTTCTCATCATGCTATGTTTGTCCTCAAGACATCCTGGGAAGAATGTGTTTTGTCGGTTGGGAGTGCTGCTGTGAGTAATACCTGACTCAGCAGGACTTCAATCAGCTGGGTTTATTTTTCTCATAGTAAGGTGTCTAGAGGGGGGCCATGGCCAGTATTGGTTCAGTGGCTCAGTGGTGGCAGGGCTCTACTGTCTTCTTGGGCATCCTTCACAGTTGCAGGATGCTGCAGCCCCTGTAAGGGTCATGTCCTTGCACACCTGTGTCCCCCCACATAGGACTGAGAGCATGTTAGATGGAGCATCTCGAGCACCTCACCCAAGCTGCCCTTCCATTCCTTCTACAGGGCCACATCACATACCTGCCTCAAGGATTTGTTTTCCATCACTGCCATGACAAAGTTCCACAAACTGCATGGCTTAAAATAACACACATTTATCATCTCATAGCTCTGGAGGTCAGAAGTCCTACATTTGTCTCATCAGCTGAATCATGGTATCAGCAGGGCTATGTTCCTTTCAGGAGGCTCTGGTGAAAATTGGTTTTCTTGCTCATTCGGGTTGTTGGCAGGGTTCGGTTCCTTGTGGCTATAGAACAGAGGTCTTTGTTTTCCTACTGGCTGTCAGCTCAGGGCTCTTCCCATTCCTTGACTTGTGGATCCCTTCCTCCATCTTCATAGCCAGCAATGGCAATCGAGTCCTTTTCATGCTTTGAATATGCCTCTTCTTCTGTTGCATCTCTCACCTCTGTTGGTAAAAGTTCTCTGCTTTTAAGGGCTCCTGTGTTTAGATTGGGTCCACTCAAATAATCAAGGATGATCTCCCCACCTCAGATTCTACAACCTTGATAACATCTGTAAGTCCTTTATGCCATGTAGAATAGCATTTAATTTCTGGCGATTAGGAAGTAGACATCTTTGAGACAGGGGTGGTGGCTCAGCCCACCTTCCCTGAGATCAGGAGTTCTTTGCCCCAAAACTGATGGAATGAGTCATGGTTCTGTTAGCAAGAAGGGAAGAATGGCTGCCCTAGGTGTTGTTATTCTTAAAATAACAAAGACAAAGACACTGAAGTTCAGAGATCTTAAACAGGCAGAGCTGCTTTTTTTTTCTTACATTGTTATGGGTATATTAAACTCCAGTGTAGAAGGAAGACTAAGCCCAAAAGCCCAACATTTGCCTTTAAGTTTTGTCATCTGGTGCAGAGAAGGTGGTCAGGCTATCAGAGTATCCTGCTGTTGCCAATCTCAGCAATGAGGTGGGGCCTGAGGAAAAGCAATTATCCCCCCTTCTGGGTACCAGATTTTATGCCTTAACTTTATTTTTGCATCTGAAAAGTCTGGTTTTTACATTTTGAGGTTGATAAGCCTAAGAATGTAGACATTTAAAGTGATTTTCAACCTGGAAAGAGAGTGGAGGAAAATGGAGAACTTCCTTTAAGAATGCATTGAAGAATCCTTGTGTTTGTGTATCTGCCCCATGTTAATGGTGTGTGTGTGTGTGTGTTAGAGAGGATATATAGACTATTTCCTTTTGTTCATTGAGTTGATGTAGAAGGTAGACTATCACTGATTTTCAGTAGAAAGTGGACATTCCTTAGGCAGGTGTGTCTGGTGTCAGTTGTCATGAATTCTCTGAGGGTCATGATTTTTTAAAAAATGTCATATCAGAAGGGCATAGATCAACAGTTCTGATGTTTCTGAAGGTTGGCAAAGTACATTTACCTAAGGGCTGGGTCAGCCATAAGTGTGTGATCCAGAGTGGCTTTGCCAAAGTTGAGCATTTTGTTTTTAAATGTTAAATTGAAAAATAGCATCTTGCTATTAAAAATTCTTTGATTACTAGTGAAGTCTTATCTTTATTATGAGCATTATTGTACTTCCTAATATTGATCCTTTATTTTTAAAAGGGAGACTCTACTGTGGTCGGAACCAGTAGGCTCCGTGACTTATATGACAAATTTGAGGAAGAGCTGGGGAGCAGGCAAGAGAAAGCCAAAGCCGCCAGGCCTCCGTGGGAACCACCGAAGACGAAGCTCGATGAAGATTTAGGTGTGTCACAGAGCCACTAGACCAAGACCCTCTGCTCTTTTATTGTGGCTTAATCATGGACTTTTGGGAAATATCCTTGAGAGTCCCATATTGAGACTTCTTTTTTATTTTCCTTAATTACAGTCAGCAAAATACATAGCAGTGGGACCTCCTTCTTTTTCATCTTATTTTTTCTTAGTTACATTCAGCAGAATACATCAGGGATCTCATTTGCAAGCCATGTGTCCCTTGTAGAGTTGTCCTCAGCGTTCCTCTGAAAGCAGGAGCATGTGCCCCACGCCTAGATGATGGGCAGGTGGCCCTCCTTGGCCTTCTTCATTGCCAGGTGCACCTGGTTTGATGCAACAGCAATGATAGCCTGTTTGAAGGTTTCTTTCTACTCACATGGATAGTTTCTATAACTTTTTCATATGGTGATCTACTTTTTTCATGTGTATGTTCTGAGGTTCCAATTAGATGGTGAGATCTTTGAGGATAGAAACTACTTTTTACCACTGTGTCCTTAGGCCCTGACAGAATGCTATGTACAGATGAGACATTCAATGTGCATTTACAAATGTGTTCTCTTTGGTTCTCATCTGCCCACTTTAATTATGTCTTACATGCTACGATGATGGGTTAAAGCACTGACCCGGTAGCCCAATGGCCTGGGTTTGAATCCCTGCTCCACCACTTACTTGATATGTGACTTTGGGCAAGCCATTTAATCTCTCTGTGCCTCAGTTTTCCCATCTGTAAAATAGGGATGACAGTAGCATCTGTTTCATACAGCACACATAAATATAAATCCATAAGTGTTAGAATTTATTATGCTACTACTACATTAATCTCTTATGGGATTAATCTAACTTCTAGGTGTTTTTTTTTAATTATAAAATATATATAACATAAAGTTTGCCATCTTTGCCATTTTTAAGTATACAGTTTAGTAGTATTAAGTACATTTATGTTGTTTGCAACCAATCTCCAGAATTTTTCATCTTGCTACACAGAAACTCCCATGTCTCCCTTTCCCCCAGCCCTCGCCTGGCCACCACATTCTACTTTCTGTCTCTATGAATTTGACTACTGCAGATATCTCATATGTGGAATCGATCAGTATTTGTCTATGTGACTAGCTTATTTCAGTTAGCATAATTCTAGATCTTTTTTTTTTTTTGAGGATATTGCTCTGTTGCCTGGGCTGGAGTGTAGTGGCATCATCATAGCTCACTGCAACCTCAAACTCCTGGGCTCAAGCGATTGTCCTGCCTCTGCCTCCTGAGTAGTTGTAACTATAGGCATGCACCACCACGCTTGGCTAATTTTTCTATTTTGTGTACAGACAGGATCTCGCTCTTGTGCAGGCTGGTCTTGAACTCTGGCCTCAAGCGATCCTCTCACCTTGGCCTCCCAGATTGCTAGGATTATAGTTGTGAGCTACCCTGCCCAGGCTTAACTAAATCTGTTTTTATTCAGTCACTTTCAGAGACTAAAATCTTCTCTTGCTACTATTGAGAGAAAAAAATTTAAACTTCAATCTTGCATTCCCAGCATTTAGTCTGGCATTCACAACACTCCTGGCCCATCACTTCCCAGTATTTTTCTGTGGGGCCTGTGCTCCAGCCAGAGTCCACCCATGTTCTTAACTCCGTGCTTTTGCCTATAGTGCTCCCTCTCCGTTCCTTTCCTCTTCCCTCCTTATCAGCCCAGCCTACTCCCATCCTTCACCAGTGCCTGGGTCACAAGTGCTTCTTCCTTGAAGTTGTCACTGACCTTTCCAGGTCACGGCGGACCTGCCCTTTTGTGAATTGCTATAGCTTTTTAAGTGTGAAACCACATGTTACTATTGTGTTTTAATTTTATCTGGCATTATTCATTGTCTTATTTTCTCCGTAAAAATGTTTGTTTTCTTTGCTTCCCAACTAGATTGTGACTTTGTATTATGGGCTGTCTTATTTTTCATGGTATTGGAGTGTTTGGTGAAGAGTAGGCCCTCAAGTATTTTCTGGAAGAATAAGTAACCGTCGTTATATTTAGAAGTTTAGGTCATTTGGAAGTCTCTACAAAAACCATTTTGTTAATTTTTTCAACATCTATTTGTGTTTTTCCCTCAACCTCTGTTAGAGAGTTCCAGTGAATCTGAGTGTGAGTCTGATGAGGACAGCACCTGTTCCAGCAGCTCGGACTCCGAAGTTTTTGACGTCATTGCAGAAATCAAACGCAAAAAGGCCCACCCTGACCGACTTCATGATGAACTTTGGTACAATGACCCAGGCCAGGTGGGTGTGTTTTTATGCTCTTGCTGTGAGAGTTGCAAACCCACACATCACATTTATTGCCCTGGGTTCAGAAGATCCATGTTGGCTGGTACTGAAACTGAATTTTACTCTCAGGGTTGGGTCATTCTTCAGAGCTATTTCTTTTCAGCTTCAGAGTTCAGTTCCAAAGCATAAGCACCGAAGCAGCTGTTCCTTGAATTGTATTTGATGATGTTTGTAAATTCTGTGTTAGGGAGCAAGATAATGGTGCTATCTCATTAAACTTGCCATAGGTGAGGGGAGACAAATGGTATAGGAAGAGGGAGAGAGAACTTGTAAATCTTTTTAAAAGCAGTTCACCTGGAATGTATCTTGCTGCAAAATAGTAAACAAGTCTTACACAATGTTTTTTAGTTGGTAACAGTCACAACTCCTTATAAGTTCAATTCCTTATTAAGTATGTTTGAGCTAATGATGTAATAGCTGTACATAATCATTTTTATTTTGAATTATAGTTTTCTTAAGAAGTAATATATAATAAAAATAGTATCTTTATAAAAGATTTATATCTGACAAATATACAATACATGTAAAAATATCTTTAATGCATATGTTGCATTAGATGCCTATAAAACATAATTAAAATTTATATTTTGTGAGTAAATTATACCATTGTGTATTAATTAGAATGCTTTTCTTTTGGTTCCTGTTATATGACAGCTATCTACATTTTTTTCTTGATAGAATTAATATAGTTAGAATGCCTGACAAAAATATACTTTATGATAACTTTGCTGTCTTGGAATTGAGCAGAAATGTTTGCAAAATTGCCAGTGAATTTTAAAACTTATCTTTATTCACTGATCATGTGTAGGGTTTTCTTTTTAAATAGTTTTATTGAGTTATAATTTACATATGGGACAATGCACACACTTAAAATTTATAATCTAGTGTGTTGGTATATTTATAGGGCTACAAAACTATCACCACAATTCAATTTTAGAATATTTTTGTTCCCTTATAAAAGAAACTTTCCCCGTGTATGGCCTTTTTAATCGACTGTTATTCTCCTGTCTAGCAAGAAGCCTCTACTGTGATTTCTTTGGATTCCTATCAAAGATTTGCCATTGCCTTCTATATAGTCTCACTATTCTGTTTTCTATATTTGGTTTTGTATTCTTTGTACAAATGAGTCTTGTTGAAGGGCTGATTGTATAGGAGCCCAGACCCTGGTAAAAGGCAAGCATGTAGGATGTCTGTGCTTTCCTAGAAATAGTGAACACTAAGTGATTTTTCCACATTTTTCATCACAGCAAGTTATGACCGGCATTAGGAGTATGTTGTGACTTTTGATGGAATCTTGTTACATCTCTCATTTGCCAGCTGTTACTTTAGATAAAATCTTAACATAATATTTCTTTTAGATAGTAATGTTATTCCTCTGCTGTACCACCTGGAGCTTTAGAGTTCCCAAAAGGCTAAAGAAAGTTATAGCTTCTCATGTTAATACTTCTCTACAGCTTCTCATGTTAATACTTCTCTTCAATGTCCTATTAAGATATCTTCTTTTTTTTTTTTTGTCTTTTAGAGATGAGGTCTTGCTCTGTGACCCAGGCTGGAGTGCAGTGGTTCAATCTTAGCTTACTGTTGCCATGAATTCCTGGGCTCAAGTGATGCTCCCACCTCAGTCTCCTGAGTAGCTGGGACTACAGGCGTGTGCTAGCATGCCTGCTAATTAAAAAATAATTCTTTTTAGGCACAGGGTCTTACTATGTTTCTTAGGCTGGTGTTACACACATGAGCCACCATGCCCTGCTTGAGACATTTTATATTTTAATTGGGCCTAATGAGTTATATATCCTAAGAACTTTAAAGAAATATGTGTAGGTATATATTTTTTAGTTAATTCAAAGAAAGAGAAATGGAACTCCACTTTCCCATTTTCCCCATCTAAGCTCGTCTCCTTTTCGGTTCAATATTACCATTTATACTAGATAAATTTATGAAACTGTATTTTAAGACCCTTCATATTTTGATCTCAGCTGTGCTGATTTGGGCTTCCTGCTCTCATAAACGATCCCTTTTATTTAGATGAATCTCAAGGCCCCAGAGCATTACATGGGCTTTCTGCCTTCTGTTTTTTCCTCATGTGTGCTGATGCTTCATGTGGAATAGCCATCTTCTTTGCTTTTCCAGCCCTTTACTTTTCAACTCTTTGAAGCCTGAGCATTACCTCCGTTTAGAGTGATGTTTTTTTCCTTTTAAATTACTAAGCATATCCTGTGTATGTTGTTTCCCTGTTTGGAGTAATTATTGCTTAGCACTCATCTTTCTGTCCAAGAGGTATTCAAGAATTGTTTTCTTATTGAGTCATGTGAGTGGAGTTCATGGCACTAAAATAAATTCAGGTGAAAAAAGACTTAGCCTAACCTAACCAGTGTTGTTAGTTTTTCTGGTTCTTGTAGGCATTTTCTTCTCTCTGCTTCAGAGAAACCTTTTAGTTTGTCTTTTCAAAACATTTAATCCGCAGGTCACCTTCAAAACATTGTATATGTTCCTCCAGGATATAAAATATGCTTTTTTTTGGTAAAAGAGTCATTTTTCCTGAAATAAAAGATAGGAAAAAAATGTACTAAGAAGTGGTAGGGGAAGAAGATGGGGACAAACAGTGTGCTGACATTGATATTTTCTGCTTGGCTGCACAAATAACTCGGGGATGCAGCATTGTCATACCGTTTCCCTTTATCAGACAATATAGACAGTTTGCAGCTTTATTGGTTTGGGAACATCCATTTAATCTTCTAACCGTGACAGCCTCTTCAGAGCTTCAGTGCTCATGACATTAAAACCCACACAGTTTCCGAGGCATCATAGTACATGGTGTGGATTTTTCTCTCCAATAAAAACGAATTACATTGTGTTTCTGACAGATGAATGATGGACCACTCTGCAAATGCAGCGCAAAAGCGAGACGCACAGGAATTAGGCACAGCATTTACCCTGGAGAAGAGGTAACTGGTTTGGGTTATTATGTCTGTAAATGCTGAGAAGCCACAAGTAGACAGATGTTGTTGCTATTCTTTTCCCCATAAATGAAATAATACCATTGAAATGCTCTTTTCATATTCCCTGATAGTCTCTGTTACTGATAATTGCAGAGGAAAAGTACTTGGGTTTTGGGGACGGAGTGGGGAGTGTTACCAAGGAAACTCTGAAAAGTTTTGGAAGGTTCATTATTTAAAATAAAAATAGGCAAGATGTATTTGATATGTTCTTTGTTAAGTATTCTAAAACTGCACATAGTATAATACTTTTTCATTATAAATGGTTATGAATTGCCCTGGAGAAACGCTCATAAAGTGCTGTGAGGCCATGTCCTTTTTCCCCCAGGGGTGGGTAAGGCCGCCATGCGCCACCTGCTGGTGCTCCCCTTCACCACAGCGCTTAGCTGACAGGGTTCCTCTGTCTCTCCTCCATATCAAACTGAGTTGCGTACCGACTGTCTGACCTCTGTGTCCCTAGCCCCTGGTTTGTCAGGGACCCTCTGAAGAAGTTTGACCGAATGTGTAGAACACTTTTACATCGCAGAGTCTTGTATAACTACCCTTTTGCAATTATTTTTCCTTCATTTTTTTTCCAACTGTTATCTTTTATTTTTATAAGCTATTTTTATTAATCCCAGGATTATCACTTTGTGATTTGGTGCACTGTGTTTAAACATAGTATATGTAAATCCTTAGTGTCTATTTAAAACTTGTTTGAGGCCATAACAATAATTGAAATAAAGATTACGAGACAGTGTCTGATAATTTGAAATACTTGTCTTAGTTCTCCCTCATTTGTCTTCGAAAGTTGGCTGTTGTCGTGAGGAGTTGTGGGTTGGGGTGTCATGTTGCGAGCGTTTGTGCATGTGTCTCAGGCTGGGAGCACTGGGTGTTGATTAGGGGTCAACACCTGTGACAAGAGAGTGGCGGTGGGCCAGAGTAGATGGAGGGGTCCACCTGTGATGTGGGCCTGGTCAAGCCTGGCCAAGCCTGACTTGTCAGAATTTTCTTTTGTTGGGCCGGAATGGCTTTCATACCCCCATCTCCCTTGGTCCTCAGAGCAGAGTGTCTTAGGAAGGGCACCACCTTGGGAAAGGGTACTCTACAGCTGAGGCTGAAAGGAGCCGTGTGATGTTGACAGTTATGTCCAGATGGGAGCTCTTCGGATATGGTAGAATTAGCATAGCCCTGAGGCAAAACTGTACATGTCTGTGAACCATTCTGATTCTCATTTCTGGTTGGAATAGAAAGGAACACATTCTCCAAATCAGTTACCACATACTTTGTACCCCCTCTCACTAATCTACAACACTTGCCACAGCAGCTGCAATCAGCGCGGTGGCATGGTTGAGCTTGTGGTAGTCTGCAGTCATATTCGAGGATCCTTTGGGGGCTGGATAGGTAAATTAAACAGAGTTGTGATAGGTACCATCACCCCTGAGTCCTTCACCATTCCCCAGTGCAATGTTGTTTTTGATGCCTGGGTTGGGGGTGGTGGAGGTGGTAATTTCAGTGGCTTCCACTTGATCTTCCCGTTATAATAGCTCTTACTCCACAGGTCAGGGACCCAGCGTGAAGTGGGTCTGCCAAGAATATCAATTCGAAGGACAAGGGAAAATGACCACTGGGTGGATCTGTGGATTTAATAGACCCACTGTAAGCCAGACCTGGGCCTCATATTCTCCACCCTAACTGGGGTGTCAGGATGATGCATCCAGTCTGCAAGCATCAGTGGTGATTCGGATACTGTGTTCATCACTCCTTGGGCCGTCTGGGTAGTCCTCTTTCCCCATGGTACAGTGACCCATGTAAATGGCCATTAGGCCTCTTTGGGGAAGGTCAGAGTTGTCAAGATCATTTTGCATTTATGGTGTCACAGGCCCTTCCTCCTGAGTTCTGGCTACCTCTTCAGTCAGTGGATTTCAGTCCAAAGAACTTGAACAGGCAAGGGATAGTGTGACTTTATTAGAGTGACCTGCCTTCAGTCTCTAGGTTATCCATTTTTGGTTTCTTATCTTAGTACAAACTAAGTGGTAGTCTTATTGGTTATCCATTTATTTTATACCCAAGGATACTATGTTCTTCTAACTATTTCTGTGACTATTTGTGGGCAAGATCCCCTTAGCTGCCACTTGGACCCTGCTGGTCATAATGAAAATTATGTGACATGGCTTCTAGCACTTTAGTCCCATCAGCTGGCCTGTATTGTTTCAGGGTCTGTCATCCTTGTTGCTGTTGGCAAGCTTTGCCCTCTGGCCTCTTCTCCTGCATTGAACCCAATCTACAGAGGAGGCCACCACTGCTTTTCCTTGTGATGCTGGTTTCCTTGGCTGTCACTCACCAGCACATTCCTTTTGGTGTGTCTTCTGGGTCCTCCCATGGAACGTGATTATCTGGTGTATTTTCCAGCCATATATACTATATCCATTCTCATGCGTCCACTTCTGTTAGTCACTGAATTCCTCCCTCCACTGTCTGCCATGGGCAATTCTGGGATTTCAGCTTCACTCACTGTGAGCCATTGCTTTTTCATGCTTTCAAGAGCCATCCTAGTAGGGAGTCCCCAGCATATCCTGTTGTCTTTGAATCTTGATTGCTCCCAAGTCAATAAACTCTTCCCTAACTTCTTTTATGTTCTAGCCTTGTTGATCAAGCACTCTCAGCATCTGGTCTTCCGCAGACTCCTCTGGCTGCGGGCACATGTTGGCTGGTTTTGCAGCTCCTTTGGGATATAATCTTTTTTCTCTCAGCACCTCCTCAGCTGGATTATGCTGTAAAATAACCGTAATTATAGGTGTACTGGGCAGGAGGGGAGACTAGTTGAGAGGTGGGTTTGTGTGTTGGGGAGGGATGGGGGTGCAAAGGATGGGGGGGAGGGAAGATTGTTGCTCACTGGGTCTTCCATTGTCTTCTGGCACAAGTTAGTGATCACTCCTAATAGAGAGGGATGTGCCATCTCTGTAGTATCAGAAGATTTAGAGGGATCTGGGGAGTCAAAACCTAAATGTCCCCATCCCAGGTTTCCAGGGCCCTGATCTTAGAATAACAGACCTGCCTTGGTTGGCTGTTAATTGTTTTTGAGGTTCAGTCACTCTCACAGATAATCCCTGGGCTTGGTCCTGGCTTGTTCCGATCTCCAACTGCAAGGCATGAGAGTTTCTTTGCGGGTCTCTAAGAAGCCTTCTGGTTTTCACATCTGGCTTCCAATTGCCTTTCTTCCTCCTCTGCTGTAGAGCACTGGCTCTTCAAGAGAAGACTTCCAACTAGTATCAGCTTCACCTGGGAACTCGTGAATTCTCCAGGTAGTGCAGATTCTCAGCTCGCCCCAGCTATTGCAGCAGAAACTGGGGATGGGGGACAAGCATCTGAGATTTAGCAAGTCCTCCAGGTGATTTCTGGGCAGACCATGGTAGAGCATCAGTGATGCTTAGCAATAGCCCTCCATCCCTAAGGATGATAGGCATTATCCTTTTAGCTACCATTTCCTCCTTAGTCACGTGCTTCCACTGATACAGCCTCCTAATTCACCATCTTTGGAAGTTTAATTTTCCTACCATCTGGTTCCAGGGGCTGTCTCTGCTCCACTTACCATCAGTGATGGGGTCCTCATTGCTAGATGGGTGGTAAGTGATTTAGCTCCTGTTTTGTGGGATCACTCCTGGTATCAGTTGCTGCATATTGGGTTCTCTAGAAGCAGATGGTAAGATGGAGTTTGGGTATATGATGTTTATTAGGGATCAATACCTGTGAAAGGAAGAGGGTATGAGAAGATCAGGTAGAGGGATTTGTTGAACTATGAGTGAGGCCTGACAAAGCCCCAGTCAATCTGGAGGTGATCTGTAGAATGAGTATTGCCCATTTGAGTTGGGCTAAAATGGCTGGGCCTCGCTCGGTACCTGATGTGAGCCATGCCCGAGGGGAGGGAGCTCTTCAGTAGAGAGAGATCTGGAAGGAGCTGACATCTGGAGGCTCTCTGCTATTGGTGCCTTTCATAGCTGAGCAGCAAGTTCTTTCTTGAAAGGGGGTCTAGGTGGCACATCCCTATGTCTATCACAATGTACCCAGTGAGGCCACTGATGCTTTTTTTAGGCTTGCTTTCTGTTTTCCTTTTCCCATTTTATGCTCCATGCATATTCTGTTCTGCCACCTTTGTAGATCTAGGAAAACCCCTAAGTCATGTTGTCTGAACTCCCTCTATGGTATACTATAAGAGTCATATTGTGCCTATAAGATAAAGGATAGCTGTAGGCTCACTCACGTGCCTTGCAGGGCCAATGCTCCATGTCAGCAGTGTGATACAACCTAGCCTGGAGACTTCCAGGAGACAAGGCCACCTAAACACAGAGGCAGCTTTCATAAACTTGAAAGCTTACCCTTACAAGAGTAGCTTAAACTTCCTCTACGAAAGAAACACCTGGTAACTGACACCCGACTGAATAGAGGTAAAAGAAAGGGAGAAGGACCCCTCACACTCTGAGAATGGTCTCTGAATAGAGACTCTCCTGGCGAGTTGGTCCTCTGACTGTGTCTGGCTTGCTGCTGCTCTCCGCCTTGTATGAGTGCTGCCGGAGTAGACTGCTTGAGCATCGGATGGGGACTCAGAGTTATCTTTGACACACATCAGACTGAAGGGGAGAAGTCACTCCTGGGGAAGCTGGTTTACTAGGACCACCCAAAGCCCTCAAACACGGTTAGCAGTGAGGATGGGGTTTGCATAAGCATGTGAGTAGTGGAACCTTTTTCTATGGGAGAATCAGGAGAAAGTGATTGAGGACGAGCTCTAATCCAGCGATCAGGTGAAGCCCTGTGGAATGCTCCACAGTGGGTCCGGTGGTTTTTATTCTGCTTTCTGGCCAATTGCTGCCTTCTACAAGCATTTTGTCTATGCCTATATTGTGGAGATTGCCATGGGCAAAACCTGCCAAAATTATTCTTAAGGCTGCTCTGGCCCCCCAGTAAGGCAGACAGGCTCCCAGTAGGAGGATGGTCCAGATGCTAGGGACAGATATCCCTGGCTTGAAGAGCCAACCACCAGCTGGTGTGTCTAATCCCTGCTATTATAGAGAAGCACCTCACCCTGAAGGGTCCTGGCATTATGACACCACAGACCAAGAAGGCTAAGGTAAAGCTTATCTACAGAAAGCTTCTCTGTTTTTGTGTCGCAAGGGGGAATTAGAAGTGTATCCCCCATTAGACCTCTGGACTAACGGTGCTAGCAAGTCTGCACAGTCACCCAAGGGCACATCGCTGCCATTCCTTCCCTCCGTGCACTCCGATGAGACAGTGTGGCTTATCCAAGCATTTGCCACACCCTATGATGCCTACTGGGAGCTGCTGCCAGCAGTCCTGGAGCAGTACACCCCAGTCACATGGGCTTACCTCAGAGTTGTGTCACTCAGTCTGGCTGATCCAGAGTCTTATAAGCTGTGGAATGATGATCCTGAGTGCACTGGGTTACCGCTGGCCACACCATAGGCGTCACCAGTCACATCTTGGCACACAGTGAAAACAGAAGCTGCCACCTCCTGGCTCAGATGAGGAAACACGCCCGGACACCATGAAGGTCTGCAAAGAGGTTTATCTTCTGGTGCAAATGGGAATCCAAAGCCTACTCACAGAACTGATGTGGGGACTCAATGAGAAAGGCGCTGCTGACCGTACCATGTACACCTTACAGGAAGTGACCTGCAACTCACAGGCCAGGAAATACAACAGCTGGCAGTTGTCTCCAGACAATAAGATTGTTTCATTACTTAAGACCCTGTCAAGCCTATCTGGGAATCACAGCTCAGTGGGCCCCTGGGCACAGAGCAGGTGGATGTCAGCTGTCCCTGTGCTACAGTGGCTATTCACGGCCTGGGGAATAGCATACCCCAGCATGAGCCTCCTTACATCAAGGGCTAAATGCATACAACTCAGGATGGAAGAGAGCCACTGAGGCGTTAAAGCATGCTCCAATGGGTTTATACCTCCGCCTCGAGACAGAAGCACCACTGGGAGAGCCCCCAACAGGCCACTTTGCACCCAGATGCTTTAGAGTTGTTTCTAAGGGGAGCCCCACCACAGGCCAGACCAGCTCTCCTGGCCCTGATGGATGCAGCCTCCAATGTTAATCACATTCTGCAGGTCCTTACCACCCTGGAAAAGGCCAAGACACAACCATTCAACAAAGTGTTCTCAGTAGCAGCTTACACTTCTGTCCCCCAACCCCCCACACACTTGGTGCCTTGTTGCCAAAGATCTAAGACCTGGCACGACTATCCTGGGCCACCGCAGGCCTGTCACCCACTGGGCAAGACCCAATCCAGCTGTGTGCAACAAGGGAAGAGTAGCTTCTACTGGCAGCTACACTAGAGGGGGCTCCCAAATCGGCTCCTCTCTGGCAAGCCTCCTGAGTTCTCCAGACTGTCCTTGATGCCAATGTGGCCTATTCCCCACCCACCTGGACGGAAAGGCACTAGATCTTCGCCAATGGCAGGCCTCCCATGCGCACTAGGGATCTAGAGATCGTACCCCAGACGTCCCCATGGATGATAATCACCTGTTTACTGAGCTCATGGCATTTTGGGGGCCCCAAAACCCACAGACATTTATGGCCATATTGGACACCCCCACTTCACCAACGCGTGAGGAAATGGTTGTAACTGGTGAGCGGCCAGCCCTTTCTTATCCGTCTGGTTAATGGTATACTGAACACTGTTCTTTCCTACCAGTCTGTGAAGGTTCACATATAAAACCTCTTTTGTCAGAAGTAAATCTAGAAAATACAGTCATTTTTAAGCAAAACTATTTTGTTGCTTTACTTGTAAACTCATTTTCCTTTTTCCCCTCAGGCCATCAAGCCATGTCGTCCTATGACCAACAATGCTGGCAGACTCTTCCACTATCGGATTACAGTCTCCCCTCCTACAAACTTTTTAGTAAGTTACTAACAAAATCAAATGTCATATAATTTAAAGTGTAAATACATTAAAATCTAAATAGACTAAGTTACTGATTCAGTTCTTTTTTTTCACATTGAGTTCTTAAATGGTTTTTCTTTTAAAAATATTTTATTTTTATGTTGCCTCTATCATGATGGCATTTATTTCAGCCTGCTCTCACTATACTACTGTATATTTTTTTCACTTATATTATTGGTACCACATAATAGTGAAATTCATAACAGCCAGTGAATTATGGAACTATTCATTAGAGCTATGGAGTGGGAAGAATGCGTAGAACACTTCCACATCCCTTAAAAGTCAGCAGACAACTTGTGTATTATTTAGTGACTCAAAAAAGAAAATCTGTTGTACGTTCATGACAGTAATAATGATACCTAATATTTGTTGAGCATGTACTATGTTCCAGGCACTATTTTATGTGTTTGACATGAATTAATTTATTTCTCACCACAAACCTATGAAGAGGTTTTGCCTCCGCTGTGCAGATGGGGCAATAGTCCACATTTTACAGATGAGGTTAAGTAACTCAAGATTACTCTGTAAGTGGCAGGGTGGTTATTTGAACCCAGGGTGGTTATTTGAACCCAGGAATCCACTCCTGTGCATACGCCTGTATGCTATTCTGTTATGCTGTAGTGCCTTCCACACTGTGAAATTTGTTAATTCTGGTTACTTCATTCAAGAGATTTCAAAGTTAATTATTTGTAATTATATAGTTTTACAACGTTATTGAGATACAATTCAGATACCATACAGCTCACCTATTTGAATTATATAATTCATGATTTTAGTCTATTTACAGAGTTGTGAAACCATAACCATCATCTAACTTTAGAACATTTGCCTCATCCCAAAAGAAATCCTGTGCCTGTTAGTCAATTCTTTCCCACCTCCTAGCCTTAGGCAATTACTAAGATACTTTCTGTCTCTATGGGGTTGCCTATTTTAGATATTTCATAGGAATGAGATCATATATCGTCTTTTTTGTATGCCTTCTTTCACTTAGGATAATTTTTATAGGATTCATCCATGTTGTAGCATGGATCCCATTCCTTTTTATGGCCAAATAATATTCTGCTGTGTGGATATACCATATTATATATATATCTATTCATCAGTTGATAGACATTTGGATTGTCTCCACTTTTTGGCTATTTTTTTTTTTTTTGAGACAGAGTCTTGCTTTGTTGCCCAGGCTAGACTGAGTGCCGTGGCGTCAGCCTAGCTCACATCAACCTCAAACTCCTGGGCTCAAGCAATCCTCCTGCCTCAACCTCCCGAGTAGCTGGGACTACAGACATGTGCCACCATGCCCAGCTAATTTTTTCTCTATATATTAGTTGGCCAATTAATTTGTTTCTATTTATAGTAGAGATGGGGTTCTCGCTCTTGTCAGGCTGGTTTCGAACTCCTGACCTCAAGCAATCCGCCCACCTCGGCCTCCCAGAGTGCTAGGATTACAGGCGTGAGCCACCACGCCCGGCTTTTTGGCTATTTTTAATAATGTTTCTGTGCACCTTTGGGAGTAGTTGTTTGTGTGGATGTATGTTTTCATTTTTAGTTATATACCTAGGACTGTAACTGCTGGATTGTATGGTAACTGATATTTTGAGGAACTGCCAAACTGTTTTCCAAAGTGGCTTTACCATTATTACTCATTATTTCATCAGAAGTTCTTTTCATTATATTTAATTTAGACCAGCTTTGCTGAGTTTCTCAAATAGAAAGTAACAGTATTATAGGCAAAACAAATAATATGTATTTAGATATTCTTTCATTTCCCCTTCCCCAAGTTGTTCTTAAGAGATGGGGTCTTGCTGGAGCGTGGTGACATGATCATAGCTCACTGTAGCCTCAAACTCCTGGGCTCAAGCAATCCTCCTGCCTCAGCCTCCCAAGTAGGTTGGACTACAGATGTGCCAACACGCTGTATTTCAAATACAGCTAATTTTAAATTTAAAATAACAGCCAAGTAATTTAAAAATACAGCTTAATTTAAAAAATTTTTTAGAAAACGGGCTGTATTCCCCAGGCTGGTCTCGGGCTACTGGCCTCAAGTGATCTTCTCGAATCGCTGGGATTATAGGCATAAGCCACAATTTTCTTACATATATAATGTTTAAAAGAATGATATTCAGCATTAGATTAGTGTCTTTAAGGTTATCAATCTTGATAATTATCTCTGAATTTAGTTTAAAATGAAAAATGGTGGGCTATAAAAATGATGTAAGGAAGAGACTCCTCATGCTTAGATTGACATTAGTATAGTGTAATTACAGATTCAATTTTCAGGTAATTAAGATCTTAGACATCACGCGGGAGTTGGTTTGTTGCAGTGTTTGGTTGGTTGGCTTCTCTTTGGGGAGGCTGGGAATGGAGCTCTGAGGGGCTGAGCAGAGCCTTCCAGGCTGTTGCAGGTCTTGACCAGATTGATGCAGAGTCTGTTTTCATTCTGAGTTTGAGTCAACTGTGTTATTATCTTGTTCCTATTAGGATTTCTGTTAGTTCATAAATATAGTTCAGTAAGAACAAAACTGGTAGTATTGTGGGATTAAATAAAGCAAGTTCCTAGAAGAATGAAGCTATATATAGGTTTTTTTTTTATTTATTGCTCCCATAATATACATCATTGATGGTCTCAGTACATAAAATATACGTAACATCTGAAGCCAGGGAATTCTATCCAGCAAGAGAATTCCATCTAAAATTACACTTTTGTATGAAGTTCTCCCTGGTGCATGGGAAAATGTTAACAGAGTCCACAAAATCCCTGTGTTTCTCCAATTGTTACTTTGTGTCCTGCTGTATTTCTGCACATGCAAATTGTGCCATTTATTTAATTTGTGTTTTGTGTGTCTGTTTGCTTTTAGACTGACAGGCCAACTGTGATAGAATACGATGATCATGAGTATATCTTTGAAGGATTTTCCATGTTTGCACACGCTCCCCTGACCAATGTAAGTATGTGGCTGTCTTCCTTTTTCCTTATATTTCCTTCCTTTTCTGCCTTCCCTTTTGACTTTCTTTGTAAAAGTCAAAATAGATTTTCCTTCATCTGACTCCTAAGTAACATTTAAGAGTCAGGTGCGTCCCTCTGTTTGAGCTGTGGGAAGTCTGTGGCGGTGTGTGTCAGGTGGCAATGTGACATCTGTGCTAATGAGTCACAGGTTCGGTCAACATTAAATGGTATAAGTAAATGTGTCAGAATAACATTTTGAGAGTGTGAAAGACTGAAAAAGGAGGATAAACTGTGGAGTAACGTGTTAAAGCTATTTTGGGTTGAGTGTCCTTCAAAAGAAAGTTGGACAGTTTTAAGGAGAAGCTAGTGTGTCTGAGCAATAGAAAGAAACTATAACTTGTTCAGGACATTTGGAACCTTGAAGTATTTACATATAGTTTTCTGCTTTTGAATTTCAGACATATGTCTTCTTTAAGAGACTTTGACATGTGGATTCCCAATATTTTTGTGGATTCCCAATTAGGGCTACTTCGTTGCTAATCAGTTCAAATGGAAGTTCTGTATCTGCCAGTTAAACTTTTTCCATCTCTATGCCAGCCATCCTGGCAGGAAGTCCTACAACAGCGTCTAAACTGGGTCGAGTGTCCTGCAATGCATCCTTTCCTGCAGTGTTGCTGGACAATTTACTCTACCTTCAGCTGGACATATACTTGACCCAGACACTGTTGTAGGACTTGACGAATTATAGCTATGATATATCCACATCAAAATAGAATGTTCTTTAATCTTTTCTGGTTTGGTTACATGAAATTATACTTGCACTTTGAAACGTTATTTTGGTACTGTCTGCTTAACACTTGAAACTCTGTTCCATTAGAGAGTAAAGTAAGACTCAGATCTTTGCCTTATCTTGGCCCTTTCTGTCATTCTTTTTGTCTTTATAAGTAGATGTGATTCCATAGTAGCAATGGTAATTTAAAACAAATTGTTTTCCTAATGAGATTTTCTTTATTCCACAGTGTATTTTATCATAGAGAATTTGCTTTGAAAAGATGATTACATTGTAAATGTAAAAATAAAATCATTTGATGATACATATTATATCTATCTCTGGGGTGGACCATCTGTTCACTAATACAGAAAAGGCAGTAGTACTGACCACTCTTAAATAATCTTTATGAAAAGGCAATAGGAGGTTTTTTGAATTTTGACCGTTTGCTTTTTAAGTGTCTTAGACACTTAAACCCTTTGTTACACCAAATCTCATCGTCTTATAGCTGACTGCTCCTCACACCACCTAATGCCTTTCTCTTTTTAACCCCCAGAGGGCTCGAAAATACACATAGTTAAGTTAGCATGAAAATACTTAAAATTATTTATTATCTTATCTCTTAATTCTCTAGATCTCATTTTGACTTTTAGGATCACCTTAATCACAGAAGGAAAGCAGAGTGGCTTCAGAAAGACCAGGGTTTAAATATTAGTGAACACCACTTGCTAGCTGTGTGATTTGACATCTCAATCTTTATAAGCCTTGGTTTTCTTATCTGTAAGATAGGGGGATTAGTCGTAGCAATCTCATTGGCTTTTGTGAAAAATAAATGAGATGGCACATGAAGAGTGTTTATCATGGTGTTTGGCACATGAGAAATACTGGTACCTCTTGTTTTGAAAAAGATGTTAGATAAAGCTGGGTTTAAATCTTCTAATTTTTCTTTTTTGACCTCAGACAAGTGATTTTTTGAGCTTCATTAACGATGGCAATGCTTACTGTTTGAGAATCAGGCATAATTTTTTAAAGATAGACATTGTCTTTTAGAGCAGCTTTAGGTTCACACAAATGTGAGTAGATGACATCTTTTTTTTTAAATGTCTTTCAGCACAAGACTTGGCCCTGAGAGCCACTAACGCTAAATTAATCAAAGTTGCTGCTGTTATAAAATAAAAGATAGGACAGAAACATTCCTGACTTCAGCATATATTTTATGTAAATACTCAAATTCTCAAAACTTGAGAAATTTACTCTGTAATGAAGAGCCCCATCACTTACATTAGAGATGTTGATAAAATAAATCGAGTCTTAAGCTGAGTGTTTTACAGTTAATAGAAATTAGCTCCATAAAAGGCCTCTTGAATTTGAAATAGCCTCCCCAGAAAAAGAATTTTTAAATCGCTTTACTGATCTGATTCATATTCTTGCTAGTGAGAGAACATCAGAAAGAAAGGCATGCAAATGATGGTAATGGTAAAATCTCTACTATATCTAGTTCTGACGAGTTCTCTTAAGGTCTTGAATTGAAGAGGATTGAAAGTTTTACTGGCTAAGTATAGAGCATTCCAAGAACATTTTATCCATTTATGTAGTATATTTGTTACTACTTATAATACCTGATGTTACTAAGGGTTTGACAACTTAACTGAAGTTATAAGGCTGTAAGTATTAGTTGCACAATATCATGTCCCATTGTCAAAAGCACAAGAAAAACCCTTGATCATTTCTCTCCCAACTTAGTTGGTTTTGCATTTCTGGTTGCCTTGTTGATACTTGGATTTGGTCCAGTGCCTGAAAGTAGTAGAGTTAGAATGTAGGAGTTTAGGGAGGGTTTTGTTTTGTTTTTTGCTGGGGCAAGATAGGCGTTTGTGTCAGTCAGCATGTGATACTGTTTACTTTTAAGTGTTCAAACATATTTTAAGAAATAATAGGAGGTGTTTATATTTTTTGATGGCATCGATTGGGAGCTGTTTTGGTGATCTTTGCAGTAACACAGTTTCTCAATTGACCAGTGTGTAGTAAAATGACAAGTTCTCTTTGAATCTTGGAGATCAGTTTAAATAGGTAAGGAGATCCCATCTTTCCAAATCTACGTGTCTGAGAAGGGCTTTGGTGGTATGGATGGAAGCCCAAAAAGAAAATAAAGTATATATAAAGAGATGAGGTCAAAGAAGGAAATCTAATAAGTGACTTTAGTTAAAATGAGATGAGGAATGGGCTGTACTTGGATAAATCATATAACCGAGTACTTTTTGCACATCCGAAGGAGTAAGTTTGTACTTTTGCTTTTTCTTTCTGCCTGCCACTTGAATATTCTGGTTCTTTTCTCTCCTACATACTCTCTCCCTGAGTAATACATTTCCTTCCATGGTTTTATTCCCATGCATATTCTGATCCCTACAGCATGATACTTCCAGCTATGACGTATAGCTCTGATGTATTGCCTTTCTCAATCCCTTCCTTGATGTTCCCTCAGGTACCTTACCCTCAACCTGTGTGAAACTAAACTCATCTTCCCCATATATTGAATTTGAGGGACTCAGGGAACATTGTCATGAATTTCTGCTTTTTATTAATGCTGTTGTTAACCTATCCAGTTACTTAAGTGAGAAACCCAGAAATCTTCCTCGATTCTTTTTTCTCTCTCACTCCCACATCAGAATGGTCACAGTGTATTTCAGTAACATCTAACCATGTTTAAAAATTTTCCCGTCCTTTCCAGTCTCTCCTTCATTTGGCACCTGGACTATTGTTTTAGACTCCAGTCTGGTCCTTCTGGTCTTCTTGCTCCCCTACAAGCCATTCCCACACTGTTCCCACAGTGACTCATCTAAAATGTAAACATTGATAGTCTCTTATTTAAAGTACTTGAATGACTTCTCGTCGCCATATAGCCATAAGCTCTGACATGGTTTATAACAGTTATATAATAGAGTTTATACTTTCTAGAATCACCTGGCATTTCTCTCTCCATGTACTTCTCTCTCTGAACAGCTAAATGACTTCTCCCAGCTCCCTGTTCTCTGTCTTGTTGGAAGCTAAACACCTGTTCTGCTTCAACTTTATATTTTTGGAAAATCCCTCCTCCCCGCCTGTCTTTGAGGACAGTTCAAATGCTACCTCTTCTTTGGTTCTTTTGCATTTTATACTTTTTTTGGTTACTTGTTTGTTATTTAATTGCAGTTAGAAATTACATTGTGTTGTATTTTGTTTGTAGTTGTTTATATGCCTTTCTTCTTTTAGATCTTTACCTTTTAAGGTAGAGCCTGTGGCTTATTTTAGAGTAACCATGAACCTAAGAGTTGTTAGCAAAGAATAGATATTTTAAAAATATATTGAATCATGCATAAATTTGTAACTCTTAAATATTTTTAAGTGATTATAGGAATAAAGCAGAACTTAAAATGGTAGTGGCCTTAGCATGTTGCTTTGAATGTTTAGAACTCATTACCATAAGAAGGCTGAAAATGGATCCCTTATTAAAGTTAATTATGGATTTCACTCAATTTAACCACTCTCTCCTTTAAGAAAAATGAAGAAGCACCTAAACTAAATTTCTGAGGAAAAGATTTCCAGTAGATGGCATTATAAGACTATTTTTCTTACCATCCCTCTTGCTGATAGAATTAAAATTTGTTTCTTTTTGGTTGCTATGGTTTGTAAAAATGATTACATATGTATAAAATTGTCCTATAGACAGATTAAGCAGCCAGAAAAGCTCACTTAACACATCTCTAGTGCTTTGGGGCCTATTATTTCCTTCAGATAGCCAGCCAACCCCCTTCAGTAACCTCCCTCTCTCCCTTTCTCATTCTTCCATTCATTTGAAGATATATTTACAGAAAATCTATTATGTGTAGGCAGTAGGCTAGTGTCTGATGAGACACTGGTAAAATAAGACAGATTTGGATTTATTTCAAGCTGAGCCTTCCTTCATTTTCACACATACCCTGGGTATTAGAACAGATAATGAGAAGTATGTATTATAGTGGCTAAGAGCTGGACTCTAGAGGAAGATTTTGTAATTCACCAGCTACCTCTTACCTTAGGCAAGGGACCTGACAACTCTCTGCCTGAGTTTCCTCCACTGTACAATGGGCATAGCAGTCAAACCTATGTCATAGGGATATAGTGATGGTTATATGAGTGAATATTGTAAAGCATTTAGAACAGCGCCTGGCTCAATAAATGTTAGCTATTGTTATTTTTATTATAATTTATTATTTTTATTACCACAATTGCTTTTACTCAAGAGCTGGGTAGGCAGCATGAATTGTGCTCTTCAGTGACCTGTGGATCCATACTGGTAAGTTATCAGCCTGCCATCCCTGATCTGCATGAAAAACCAAAGATTTTAAAAACCTGAGAAGAAGAAATGTTTATGATTATGGTTTTATTAACTCTTTAGAGTTATGTTTCATTTTAAGGGGTTCTTGTCATGTTTGTGTTGTTGCTGCTAATACCATTAATTAAAAACCAACATTATCCAGGTTTCTTGGAGAGGCCAGGCCAGCTGGGTTTTTGTCATTAAAATCCAGCAGTTGTGGTCAAGCGTCATGTACAGTGTGGTTAATAGCTTAAATAAGGTGAAACCTTTTCATTTGGTTTATGGCCTCCTGGATGAGGTAGCAAACATGTGCAGTATGAGCCTGCAGGGAGGTATTGGGAAACTGAACCTCGCTTCTTCTTATTGCAGATTCCACTGTGTAAAGTAATTAGATTCAACATAGACTACACGATTCATTTCATTGAAGAGATGATGCCTGAGGTAAGGGAAAAGATTGTTTAACAGCTTGCTGTGGTTTGCTCATTCATTTATTCCCCACTTATATTTTAAAGCATTGAATATGGCTTTTGCCATAGGAATACCCCTAAGTATCATGTTCACTTTCGAAAGGGTCAGTGAAATGTAGTTCTAGTGTCAAAGTTAAAATTTTCATCATTTTTCAACTCATTGACCTATTTTTGAACCCTTTTCTCCTTGTGTTACATCTGCTGATATTAACTTTACATCTGCTTCTAGTGTGTTTTACGCTGGGGACAGATTTTGGTTACTGGCCATTATCAGAGAGGAAATTGGAATAGTGAAACTGAATCTGATAGCTGTTGGAATAATCTTATTTATCTCCAATGACAAGATCAATGCTTGCTTCATTTTTCTTCCCATATATTTACATATTTTTCCTAATTATTTTTCATCGCGGATGCTCAGCAGCAGATTTATCTAAATATATGCAAGAGATTTAAAATTCCAAAGGAAGATTAATGCGAATCTCAGAATGATTCATAGCTTGGTCTTGAATTTAGTGATGTCAACAAATCACAGTAAGAAATAACAACTAGACAGCAAACAAGCTTGTGCACTTAACATTGTGTTGGAGTCAGGGTCGATTTCTGGAGCTTTTGCCACTTCTTGCAAACCTCGTTTCATGGGACAGCTCTGTCATTGGCAGGGAGCGTGGAGGGGAATTGATGGGCATGACATGCATGTTTAGTTGGTACCTATTTCATTCTGAGCAAGTCTTGTTCATTTTACCTGCCTTTCAAAAAGAACTAAAAAAAAAAGAACTGCTCCTTTATTCTCCCTCTTAGAAGGGCTTTTTTGCTTCCTTTTGGATTTTAAGGTCATAAGCCCTCATTTGCTATTGTATAAGTCTATGACTACTGGCATGATATCATGCAGGGTGATATATGAACCCCTAGCAGAACAAGTAGGAGGAAGAATTATGAGACAGATTTCACTTGCAGATATATCATCTGTTTAGCTTGTTTATAGGAGAAATTTTGGTACAAAGTTTTATAGTTCTTCTTAGCACTTTATTTGCTTCAAATTCATTTTGTTCAAATTCATCAAGAATTTGTTGAATTTGTTTAAATTTTTTTTGTTTAAATTTGTTCAAATTTTTGTTCAAATTTTTTTTGAACAAACTTTATTTGTTCAAATTCATCAAGAATTTGAACTTTTAGGGTACGAAAGACCTCTGTTTTTTGGTAATTCTGTAACAGTGATTCTGGATGTGTAGGGTGTGTGTGTGGGGGGAAGCTTATCAAAGCCTATAGGTGTGTATGTGTAACTTGAATTAACAAAAAGTCCCCAGGAGATTCTGATACATTTTATAATTGGGTTAGAAAAATATGACATAAGTAAGACCTTTTTAAATTTCGCATGATTTTATTTATACACTGAGAAGGGCTAATTTGACATTTTTGTAAGAATCCTCATGGCATTTTTGTCTGAAATTTTGTCCTACAACACTGAGCTGTTGTAGGACAGTTATCAAACTTTTAAGGAAATTATATAGTTTTTAGTACAGTTTCAGCAGACACTTTTTAAGGTACTTGGACTTGAAAAAGTTGAACATTCAGTTCATATATATTTACAGATCAATAGTAATTTGATTTTGGTTTATTTTTCAGAATTTTTGTGTGAAAGGGCTTGAACTCTTTTCACTGTTCCTATTCAGAGATATTTTGGAATTATATGACTGGAATCTTAAAGGTAAATAATAGGTTTTAAAGAAAAGAGTAGTGCTTGTAGAAGAACTTTATGGTATATGTGAAAAGCAATGGGACCATAGTTGAAATTCCTCTTGTGTTTTGAATACCCAGGGAAAAATGTTATTCATAGGAATGTTTGCTATCATTCGACATGAATAAGTTCTTATGGATTTTGCTCTATACAATTTAACAATGCCTATTAAGATGATACCAATTATTATGAGTGACTACCTTGATTTATGTGTAGTAGGGAAAATACCATTAGTTGATATTTTAAATCTAGTGAACTTTACCATAATAAATTTTCTAAAATGATAGTTTATTATAACAGAAAATTTCAGTTAGTCATTAAAACACACACACTCATGCATGTGCACACGTGCAGAATTGAGCTAGATAGATTCAAAGGCTCAATGCCTGGTACTCAGGAAATAGTTTATTTTTTTTGGAAGTGTCTGTATTTCAGCAAACATTTAATTTTAAAGCAGTGTGTTGATGAATGGCTTTTCAAACCAATAGTATTTCTCAAATTTTTTTTAGTGTATTGATTACAATGGGATGGAATTAACACAGAGGCACATCATATCATTTAATAGTTCGATTATAAGAAGCTTGATTTAAAAAAAAATAATTTTGCCATATATATTTGCTCCTTGGGGCTTTCATTCTCCTCTTGACTTCCTGTAGTCTCCTCATTGCAGTCTTAATTGGGTGCTTGTAGAAGTTGCCAATGATTGATTTAGCCACTGAGGAGAAGAGTGGGGGTAGATGGTGGTATTTTTTATGTCTCTACTTCTGGTGGTAGTTTTTGTGGTTATCATAAATCTTAGAAATTAAGTTGCAATGTTTGCTTTTTAAGGCTGTTTGATTTCTTTTTTCTTTCTTTTTCACTTGTTTGCTTTAGGTCCTTTGTTTGAAGACAGTCCTCCCTGCTGCCCAAGATTTCATTTCATGCCACGTTTTGTAAGATTCCTTCCAGGTAAATCTTTTGGCTTGTCAGTGACCTGGTGAGATTGTGTCTGAAAATAAGCCTGTCATTCTCCTTTTAGTCTTTAGGGACAACTTTCCCACTTCAGTCACTGTTAATCCTCTACTTCTCAGGTTGGGCATGGAAATGTAAAACTTATACATGCTGATTTATGTCCCTGCATAATTTATGGTAGCTCCAGATAAGATGAGCAATGGAAGAATTGTTACAAGTTTTGAAAATCTGCCTGATAAAATACCATGCAAGTGTTAAAATTAACATGGAAAAATACATGTGGCTTAAAAAATGTATCTGGCTAATTGGAAAACAATGTAAAATTTTATATACAGTATGATTAGAACTGTGCTAAAAAATTACTGTAATAATGGTTGTATTAAGGTGGTAGGATTATTGTGATTTTTTTCTATTTTATTTTAATTCATTTTACAGTGAAAAAAATATAGTTTATTCTCCTACTACATTAAAATATATAACTATATGACTTAATTTTTTTGAAGCAATATCTTAACTGTTTTCTAATATTTTTCAAGAATCCAGCAGTAAGATATGGCATTATATTTAGTGTTTTTAAAAATGGTTGGATTTTAGGCCGGGCGTGGTGGCTCACGCCCGTAATCCTAGCACTTTGGGAGGCCGAGGCGGGCGGATTGCTCAAGGTCAGGAGTTCGAAACCAGCTTGAGCGAGACCCTGTCTCTACCAAAAATAGAAATAAATTAATTGACCAACTAAAAATATATATACAAAAAATTAGCCGGGCATGGTGGCGCATGCCTGTAGTCCCAGCTACTCGGGAGGCTGAGGCAGTAGGATCGCTGAGCCCCGGAGATTGAGGTTGCTGTGAGCCAGGCTGACGCCACGGCACTCACTCTAGCCTGGGCAACAAAGTGAGACTCTGTCTCAAAAAAAAAATAAAATAAAATAAAAAAAATGGTTGGATTTTTAATGAAATCTTTTGGATATGTTTTTTGTTGTCAAAATCTTTTCTTTTGAGGCTTCTGCAACCCTAGTCCCATTCCTTTTTTCTTTTTCTTTTTTTGAGACAGAGTCTCACTTTGTTGCCTAGGCTAGAGTGAGTGCTGTGGTGTCAGCCTAGCTCACAGCAATCTCAAACTCCTGGGCTCAAGCAATCCTCCTGCCTCAGCCTCCCGAGTAGCTGGGACTATAGGCATGTGCCACCATGCCCGGCTAATATTTTCTACATATATTAGTTTGGCCAATTAATTTCTTTCTATTTATAGTAGAGACGGGTCTTGCTCTTGCTCAGGCTGGTTTCGAACTCCTGACCTCGAGCAATCTGCCCGCCTCGGCCTCCCAGAGTGCTAGGATTACAGGCATGAGCCACCTCTCGGGGCCTCCATTCCTTTTTTCTTTATGATTTCCTAATCAATTATGTGCTTTATCAAACACTTTATCAAGAAACCTGGCTTCCAGTTTCTTTGCTCAGCAAAGTTCTGTTACCAGTGTAGTCAACTTTACTCGCTGTTCTCTCCTGAGCTGTACAATTTCTTGACTTTTTTCTACTATAATGATTGTTACAACGTAGCCACCGAATCTCAAGATAAAGCCTTGGGCCATGTAATCACCCTAAATGAATTTATCCCTAGAATCTAACTCTAGTATCTCACTTCCTGTTGCCATCCTTCCATCCTTTCAGCCTTGCATGACCGTCAGTGTTAGTCTTGTCTCTAAGTGATGCCTGAGCTCTTGACTTTGTCTTTTTTCCAGGCTCTCCTTACTTACTATCTCTGCGATTCTTCCTTTGTGGGTTTTCTTTCTTGACTACTCAGTCTGGCTTAAATTTTCCTCAAGATTTTTTCCCTTTTTGCTCTTTCCGTAATCTAGACAATCACAATGGCTTATTTTTATTTTAGGTTATTAGCATTACTCATATTTTTAGTGTTGTTAATGTTTATTTGTTTAGAAATTCATTCAAAAGCTTTTCTCCTTTTCATGGCTGGTTTTATTTTATTGAGATGCCCTTTTTTCTTTTCAAGTGAATGCATCTTTGATTTTATAATGGAGTTTAAGCAGTAAACTTATTAGAAACTGGTGTTCGAGTAAGTTTGTTGAAATGCCTTTTCTTTCCGTATCTATCTGCCTCTAGGCATTTTATGACCAAACAGATCTCTAAGAGCAACTGGGCAGTTTTAAAATCACAAATCTTATGTAGGCTGTTTACTTCTATGTAGCGATATCATTTAGGTTGTCATAAAGAAACAGACATATTGATTTATTTTTAAATAGGATTTACTTTTTCATTAGACTTCCCTTTGAAATTATACATATGAAGAAAACCCTTAAGGATACAGAAAAATGCCTAATGTATAGAATGCATTTTGGTATTGGGTAGCAAATTATGGTGGGTTTATTTTTCACCATATGACTTCATTAAAGATCTTTTAGAAAATCGTAAGTTTGAAAAAGGTCACTTTAATATATATTTTCATTTTTTTCTGTGCATAAGGGTTTTATTACATAGTTGTCATCTAGTATATGCTTTGCATCCTATTTTTTAATAATTCATTGAGCAGTTGGATATTTTTAAAGATCATGATATATAGTACCAAATTTCTTGTTAAAGGAATAATAGCTTACACTGCCATGAAAAATGCAGTATTACTCATTTTTAGCATTTTCGGCCTGCCCCCCTTTCCTCTCTTCTTTTCTTCTTCCTTTCTAAAATATTCAGCAGTGAGCTCTGTGGGGCTGAAGAGTAAACATTGTCTGTCTTCTTGTATCACCTGTGCTAACATACTTCATGGTGCATAGCAGAGACTCAATAATACTTGTTTACTGATTTTTTTTTCTCATTAATCAAACAGACCTCACTTGTTTACTGATTTTAATTAATTGGTTATAAAAGTACCTTATTTAAATATTCATGTGATTTGGTTACTAATGAATGTGCTTTTCAAACATTCTTTGAAATTGTCTCTCATTTTTTTAAAATAAACTGTTTTTGGAGACAAGATCTTGCTCTGTTGCCCAGGCTGAAGAGCAGTGGCATCATTGTAGCTCAGTGTAACCTCAAACTCCTGGGCTCAAGCAATCCTCCTGCCTTAGCCTCCCAAGTAGCTGGGATTACAGGTGTCTGCTACCATACCTGGCTAAGTTTTTAGTTTTTATAGACATTGATCTTGCTATGTTACTCAGGCTGCTCTCAAACTCTTGGCCTCAAGGGTTCCTCCTGCCTTGACCTCCCAGAGTGCTACGAAAACAGGTGTGAGCCACCATGCCTAGCTTGTATTTGTTTTAACTTACATAAGAAGAATAGAAGAATTTTGCTTCTTTTTTTTAAGTGATATGACAGTAAACATGTTATACAACTTGCCTTTTTTTACTTAAATACTTCAGACATTCTCTGTATAAATACGTTGCCTCATTACATACATTGTGTTCTATAGTATAGATGGACATTAAATTTTTTTACAATTCCTCTAGTGGTGAATATTTTGGAGATCTCTTTTTCCCATTCCATATAAATACTTCAGGAATAGTCTTGTGCATCTATCCTTTTGCGTTTATGTGTTCTTGTAAGGTAAAATTCTAGAAGTGAAACTATTTAAGATAGTATGCACATTTTAAATTTGGAAAGTTGTTGACCAAGTTCTCTCCAGAAAGGATATATATCCATTTGTAGTTCTAACAGTTTTTGAAAGTACCTGTTTTCTATGCACCTGCCAACACTGGATATTACTAGTCTTTTATAGTTTTGTCCATCTGATATGCAAAAAGTTATCTCATTGTTATTATTTGCATATTTCTTGTCCATCTGATATTCAAAAAGTTATCTCATTATTATTATTTGCATATTTCTTGAATTTCTATGAGAATGAGCAACTTTTCGTACATTTCAGGTGTTTCATGGTCTTCTCATTCTTATTTGTTTTATATTTACATCAGTTTATTACAAGGTCTAATTGAAAGTTCAAGTTTTATGAGTCATCATAATCTTTCTCCAGTTCCTTAGTTTACCCATTTTAAAGACAGCTGTTTCAGTTGCTTTATACAAATTGACCCAAAATTAAGCTTGATAGTTTAAACCAAGGATTATTTGACATAGGCCGGTTTTCCACATGCCAAATTACAGTGTGACCAATTTATTGAGATTATAAGAATTTTCTGACATTGTTTTTTTCTTATCCTACTCTTTACCTTTGGTTGCAAAATAGCTAATATGAACTACACCCAGTTTGTTAAGGTTTTATTTTTTTGTTTTTGAGACACAGTCTGTTGCTGGGGCTAGAGTACAGTGGTGTCATCATAGTTCACTGCAACCTCAAACTCTTGGGCTCAAGAGATCCTCCTGCCCCAGCAATCCAAGTAGCTGGGACTGCAGGTGCACACCACCACGCCCAGCTTGTTTTCCTATTTTTTGTAGAGACAGGGTCTCACTCTTGCTCAGGCTGGTCTTGAGCATCTGGCCTCAAGCAGTCCTCCTGCCTGGGCCTTCCAAAGTGCTGGGATTACAGGCGTGAGCCACTGCGTCATGTCTGTTAAGGTTTTATTCTGACTATAACTGTGGCTGGGGTAGGTGATAATACAAGATAGTAAGATTGCACTTAGGGAAAAGTGTTCATTGTATCACCTGTTCATTGTATCACCACTATTGAAAATCTTGGATCAGTTTTGCAAATTGTCTAGAAAATTGATTTTTGGAAATTGCCCAATCTGGAGCAGTTTTCAGGTATGGCTGGCAGGGGCCCAAGTTGGGGGAAAGTGTCTTAGAATTTCTAGAAGGCATAGTATGGTTTGAAAAAACATCAATGGATATAGCATCTTAATATACCTTTATATTTGGAAAATTTAGAAAATATCTGTTCTTATACAAATTTTAGAAAATGCAATTGTATAAAGGTGTCTTAGTAGAAATATACAGAGGACATAGTAATGCAGTCATATAGTTATTCTCAGTGTAGAGAAAGAGGGTATTTTTATATGTTTGTTAAAATTGAGTGTTACACAGTTCAGAAATACTTGTCTAAGCAGCTGTATACTTAACACAAATTCCCTAACAAATTGCTCCCTTCTCCCAAATAACCATATAAATAATCAAGCAATATAAACTGAGGGGGAATTGGGTCTCTAAGAAACAGTTTATAAAGTCTGTCAGTTCATTAATGACTGTCCAGATTCATTCCCTGAAACACAAACTCCAGTTCTTCCCGAATAATGAGCCGTTGTCACAGTTCCAGTCGCAGAGTTGGCAGAATTCCTGCTAACCTTAGCTTACCCGCTCTCATTTCTCATTTATATCATGTCCTATTTATTCCAGCCAAGAAGATAAAAATTACTTCCTAGCCCTCAGTGACATAGTTCCATAAATCCCCACATAAACATGTGGCAAAGCAGACAAACCAAAAGAGCCAATTCATTAACATTAGTAAATTCATGGTAGTCTGAGAGCAAGTGGCCAAGTTATTTGTCTGTTTCAGAAAGTCATTCCACAGATGTTTATGGAGTGTCTTGTTTTGCCAGGCTAGGAGTGGGGGCTACAGCCCTCATTCCACAGGCTCTGGCAGGATGCTAATTTGTGTACCTTCCCTTACATTTCCATAAAGAAATAAACCCCAATACCAAACAGGGAGCAGAGTCTCACGCCCTCTTCCTTGATAAACCTTTCACCTCAGGTTATCTGTCCTGAGCTTATACTTTTCTACATTGGTAAATAACAGTCTTTTTAAGGTTTAGTTGCCATTTAAAATATTTAGCAGATTTTAACACGGACTTGTATTTTCTCCAGCATTACCAACTTTGCACCTGACATGTATTTTTTTTTAATTATATCTAGTTTATGTATTGCTATAAAACTTAACTCTTCCCTCATCAGTAGCTTTGCCCCCAAACTAGGAAGTAGGTAGTTGGCATTCTTATCAAAATCTGGTGGCCTCATTTCTTTTTTTTTGCAGGAATTCTTCTCCTAAATTGGGTGATACCTATACCATTCATTTACCACAGAGTTTGAGCCTTTAAGAGATCCCTAGTTTGTAGGGTGAAGTATTCCTCTCTCCTAGTTGCTCTTTCAGTCTTTTCATGTTAAATTCAATGGCTCTAGTCCATTTCACTTTTATCTAAAGTGCCATGGAGTTGGCCAGCCATAACTGCTTGTGGGGTAATTCTGGTGCTGTTTTGTATACCTGGCTCTGGCTCCTTCTACCATTCCCCTCTCCCCCATAAAAATATGAATCTTTTTTCTTACCCTACAGTAAAACAACACTCTACTCCTTTTTATGGTATTTTCGATGCCTAATGGGTCTTTACAGGCCCCAGTGCTCTTAAACAGTCTCACCAAATACAGACATTTTAAGCAAATACTATTTTACACTTTCCTTAGTTCCTAGTGAATCTAGGTAGTGTGGCAGTTCTTTTCAAGGCTCTGTAGGCTTCCTTGATTCCTGCTGTTCTGTATGTATGCGCATGTAATGTACAGACAACATATCCTGGCTGTAGAATTTTTCTTGTCCACCTGCTCACCTCAGGCTTCTTGGAAGATTATGTTGATCACGAAGATCATGTTGGTCAAGAAGCCAAGCCCAGAGTAAAGGTAGAAGCCTGTGGACCCCACATTAATGCCCATATTAAATGGATGTCTTTGGTTCCTTTAAGTACCAGATTAGTTGGCTTTTTCCAAGGTACTTTAGTGATATCCTTTTTGATCTTTTTTATTCCCTGTACTTGATGATATATGCTTTTGTAAGCCTCAGAACACTTGGTATTTTTTCCATGTATTAACACCATAATGATCTTCTGTATTAGTACAGACTCTTTAGCACTATTCATCATGGCAGGTGCAGCACATTAGCACCAAAAAATTAGACCATAATGCAACAATAGCTTATTGAAAACATCCATAAATATCTCATAAAAGCTTAGAATTTCCTTAAGACAGTAACATAGCTTCTAAAGAGCTTTCATCTGTTACCCTAGAAAGAATGACAAAATATTTAAGACATAACATGGTTCTGTATATAATAAACTGTGGTTCTTTATGCGAGGTGGTTTTAAATTTATTTAGGTAAGCACCTTTTTTATATTCATACCTCACAAATGGAGCCTTTTATCATTTATAATGTTGTTGCCAGTTTACTAAATGAGATGGTTTATGAGCACTGTTCATCAATGGAATGAATGGCTTTCATATTATTTGGCATCTAGTTAAACTGTAAATTTTAAATTACCTTTTTATACATGCTCTTCCCTTCCCCCCCCAATTGTGTTGTTTTTCCTTATTCAGCTGATGATTTGCTGTTAATTGAGTAACTTGCCCGATTTTCCCCCCTAAGATGGAGGAAAGGAAGTGCTGTCCATGCACCAGATCCTCCTCTACCTGCTACGGTGCAGCAAGGCCCTGGTGCCCGAGGAGGAGATTGCCAACATGCTTCAGTGGGAAGAGCTTGAGTGGCAGAAATATGCAGAAGAATGCAAAGGCATGATTGTCACTAACCCTGGAACGGTATGTTCTGATGTCTGTACATTCAGTGGCTGACTCACCTTCTCTTGCAGGTTTGACTTTCATAAAAACGATAATAGCATCTTTTAAAAGCTTTAGGTACTCATTGCTTCTTGTCCTTGTGAGTAATTTTTCCTCTAAATATTTAGGAAATAAGAGAAATATTGTAATTTAGGCATATTTAGTAATAAATTCACCTGATTAGTAAATTTATTCTGTCTGAATATTTGCATATTTTAATGCATGTTGCAAATTGCCTTCCAGAAAGGCTATAAAATATATACTCTGGCTAGGAGCATATGAGAGTACCCACTTCCCTGCTTATATTAGTTTAAAGGAAAAACCTTTGCCTATTTGATAGGGGCAAAAATATATTGTTTAGTTTGGTTGTATTTATTTTGGTTTCTAATGAAAATTGATATTTTAAATGTTTATTGGCCATTCATGTTTTCTTTTGATAATTGCCCACTAGCTGATTTGTCCTTTTTTATTGATCCTTTACCATGATTATTACGTATATTTCTCATTTCTTTTATTTGCTTCTTAAATCTTTTGCCTTAAAAATTAAACTTTTAATGTTAATTTTTGAAGCAAGAATACAAAAATTAAAAACAATTCAAAGATAACTAGTTTTCTTATATAAAACATAGCATTTTCTTTATATCAGATAATTTTTTTCTCTAAAATATTTTGTTTCATAAAATAGTTATATATTGGTATCTTATCCAGATAAAAATTTTCAGAAATGGAGAATTAAAGTATTTCCATGTAAAGAAACAGAATAATCTATATAAACAAAGTTATTGTTTTTTAAAGAGCTGCCAATTGGTTAATAGCCTTGATTCATAAAATAAAAACTCCGGATCCATTATGACAGGAACATCTGCACAAACAAAATGTTGGCTATTTGCAAATGAAACATTCCAGCTACTATGGATTATTTTAAACAAATCTAGAAAGTGAAATTGTTTAATAAAAATATGTTTAAACATTAAACTTGTTTAAAACCGGAAAATCATACAGTTTTTACAGTTTTACTGTTAAGCCACATAAACAATTATTAAAGTAACTTTAAAAGAAATATTTAAGTAGTAGCACTATGAGAGAAAGATCGTGAATTTTAATTTTCTTCCTTAAGCTGTTGCATATATTTATATTCCTTCTGTCAGGTTTAGAGCAGGGTCAGAGGATGGGGTGATGGTGTGAGATGTACATTTTCATCTTGGTTGTTCCACTTGAGGAGTTCTGTGTTCTACAGTAGACATTTTGGGATCATGTTCACCCCAGGTTTCCTTCTATGGCATAGTTAAGTTTTCCTGAAACTTACCGAGAATCAGTTGGAGAGCTTTTTAAAAAATTAAAAATTTAAAAACCACTGTAGGATGCCCTGACTGACTGTATCCTGTATGCTTTAGGCAGTGGGGCCCAGGAATCTGTAGTTAAAAAAAAAATTCCCAGGTGCTTCTAATTCACCCATTGCTTGTTTTAGAACCAGCGGCATAGATAACATTTACTGTCACCATGATCACCATTCAACTAATTTGTTGAGGGACTACTATGTGAGCCAAGTGCTAGTGAAGTTTATTTATTATATATGATGCCTGCCCAGGTAAAAACCCAAGGTGTATACATATGAAAGGAGTCTTTGATGAATTATTGAGCCAATGGACCAGTCAGTGAAGCCTATAGTTTTAGGAGAGATCACTGGGTCAGGCTTGCCAGGGATGCTTCATAAACCCTGCAGTAAAGCCTCTGAGAAATTGAGAAATTATATAAATTATTGGCATGATTAAATGTCTATACTTGAGATGGTATAATGCCAGTTTTGAAGATAGTTAGGAAACTAGACTAGTTAGGATGCAAGGTTATATTGGAAAATAATCAGAACTAAATTAGAAAAGGTAAGTTTGGGTGTCAGGCTTAGGAAAATGTTGAAGTTAATTCTTTTTTCATATTTATCTAGATATGTTTAAAGAAGGAAAAATCCTAAAAACTCAGTATTATGCAAACAGCCTTTTATTACATTCTTTTGGGAAGTGTGCAAGTTACTCGAGGACAAAGTAGGCATGACACTATGTTTCATCTTCTGCAGTACTTGCTTTGAAAGATTGCCCAATGGCAAGAATATTGGGAAATTTATTAAATTTTTCAAGCCATTATGGTCATATTAAATACTTTATTGCTGCAGAACTTAAAGGAATTAATCTTTCTCCCTAAGCTCTTTGCCTCTGCCAAGGAATACTTTGGTCATTAGTGAGAATGTTTTTTATTCTTACACAAAGATAGTATGATAAATGTTGTAGGGTGTGGCCAAAGTCTAGAACTTATTTCATTCCCCACCACCCTCATAAATTTAAAGATACTGTGGATATTTTAAATCACTGTTTCCTCTGTTGATACCATAGCATGGTGTTTAAAATCACAGAAACATGAATAATTCAATAGCATTCTTGTATTGCACAATTCCTCCTTTAAAAATGTAGCCTGCTGTTTTGATGCACAAAATAATGAAAGCAATTCTTAGACCTAAATAACATGTTGCTACTGTTGATGGGCATTTAAATAATTTGTTATTAGATTGCATGTGAACAAAATCTTTTGCATTTTTTAATTTTGAGAGCAAAGGCCAACTTTTCAAGATACTAGTGAAATTTTGATTATTAAATGACATGTAAATATTCTTTAAAAACTTTAAGTTTGAGTTGTTTTCTAACTAATGTGGATGCATTCATACAAATCTTTCTTCTTTGTCAACTAGTTGGATTTGCCAGGTGGCTGACCAGGGCTACGGTTGTAGGTAGGGTGATGAGCTTATCCTAGTAGCTGGGGACTTTCCTGGTTTTAGCATTGAAACTGCTCTGCCCTGGACAAACCAGGCCTTTAACCAGACTGTAGTTGTTGTCGTTGTTGTGCGACAGAATGAAGCTTATTGACCTTTGTGTGAATCAGTCCTACAGCCTTAGCCTCTAAAACAACTGAGCCGAAGACTCCCCAATCTGCTAGTAAGAGTTGACTCTCTAACTAGCGACTGCCCTGAGATTTGATCATAAGCAAGGAGGTTGCTAAAACATATTCTCCATGATTTTACGTTTTTTCACAAATGTAAGCTCTCAGGATGAAATGCATTTCACAAATGCTCCAGAAGGAATGAGCCATTCACTTCTTTCTTTGTTAGACATGAAGAAAAAAATCAGACGAGGCTCTCTGTTAAAATACAAAAATATCCTACATGGACAAAATAAGAGAAGCTTATTAACTATTTGGTCTTTGTGCCACCATACCTTCTAATTTAAAGGTGTAGAATTGAAGGAATACACAAGGTACGCTGAGAACTAATAGGGAAAAAAAACTTAAATAGAGGCATCTGTCTGTGCATCCTGAATAGAGGTACGCTATTCATTTGTAATGTGAAAGTAAAGTAGAAAAAGCCAGCACATCTTTTTCCTGTGATGTGGACTCCTTTCCCTAATCCTTTGGAGAGGTTAAGGAAAAGTTATATCTGACTGGGTGTCCTTTTAAAAGTTTAATTTTTAAAGGTTTCTATGTGGACTGCAAAAAAGGACAAAATCATTGTTCATTATGCCAAATGGCTTAGACTCATTTACAGGAATGACATTATAGTTTTTAGATAGTATAGCTGCTATGATTAAAGGGTTTTAAATGACCTTTTCCCTTTGGGGAATAGGCTTTTCTAGAAAAAAATCTGATTAATTTTTCCTACTTAGGTTAAAGTCAATACTTAAAGACTTTTTATGGGAATAAATGGCTTTGATTTTTTTCTCTAGAAACCAAGTTCTGTCCGTATCGATCAACTGGATCGTGAACAGTTCAACCCCGATGTGATTACTTTTCCGATTATCGTCCACTTTGGGATACGCCCTGCACAGTTGAGTTATGCAGGAGACCCACAGTAAGATATTTCTCAGTGTTTGTCTTAGCCAATTTCACCTTCTACTAACAGCTGAATTAGCAGAGAAATACCCTTTAGTGGATATTTTCCTTTTTACAAATTAAGAACTGAAATGAGCCATGCTTCCAAATTTAGGTTACCAAATAAAACAATTTTGGTAGCTTTTGAAGAATTATTTTCTCTACATATTTGACTGAAAGAAATCATTATACAACAGAATATCCTTGGCAATATTGGTCAACATGAGTCCTGTATGTTTTTAAACTTTAAGGAACTTTTTATTTATTGGTCATTATAATAATTATTATTATTTTTTATTTTTTCAGTGCCCTCTAGAGGAAAGTAGCACCATAGTGGTTCCTAGCACTGCCGAATTTATGCAGAGTTCTATTTTTGGGGGCATCTTATTAAGAACTCAAGATCCCATGCAAAGTCAAGGGTTGTGTTCGAAGTAGGAGCCATGACTTCTGACTCTTAGGATTGATGTACTTTTCACATTTGGGTTTTTCCAACTGGCATGTTAGTGTTTTTCTGGGAGAAGATGAGGATGTGTGGGAATGGAGATAGTACCATTATATTCTTTAGGACTGTTTGGATTTCCTACCTTGGTAAACCAACAGTTTCCTCACTTAATTTTTTTAAAAAAGGATTCATAATGGGAGAGAAGGGAATGGGAGATTTTCAATTCGTAAATACAATTCTGGCTGACATATATTAGAAGAGGCTAAAGGGTTTTGTTCTTTTTTTTCCCCCTTTGGATAAAAGTATGAAGCAGTGAACCAGGCACTGTGTAAGTACTTCTTTCTTTCCTCCATTCTCTAAAAAAAAATGTTATCAAAAAAGCAGAGGCCAAGTTAAGGCCAAATTAAGCCCAAGAAAGGAGCAGTTTTAATATGACAGAAAATCTTTTGAAAATCCCTTTTTGTCAGAAAAATGTTAGTAGAATGTGATTAGGCTCTCGTGGACTCTCAGATGGCAGGACTGCGACTTGATAAAGAATTGCATATTCTCTTCATTTCCAGGACACTTTAACAGTATCCTTTAGACTGGTTGAGGTTATAACAGATTTGACTACAACCAATATGTTTGTTTTTGTCATGATAAAAACAAATTGGTATATGCCATTTGTCTTTTTCCCTCTCCAGTGGAAAAAATGAATGCAACTTTGTAGCTTGGGTATTGGCACAAATGGGGTTCTCTATTCTAATACTCTTCAACTTTTACTTTTGGTATAGGCAGTTCAGAGACTGACAGTCTCCCTATAAAGGAAGGGATCTTTCTTTCAACAAACATCAGAAAGTGCTTATTTAAATAAAATTTGTCATTTTCAAAGAGGTAACAATGAGAAACAGGACATGTTTCCATTGGTTAAAGTGTTTTTGTGTGTCTTCTTTGGAATTCTTTCCAGAGGTTCATTCATAGTCACACCTGATTTTCAATCCAAATAAGCAACAATCAACTTAGTCACCAGCTTCCAGTTGATTCTTGGCCATTCTGCCCCTCAACCCAAAAATCATATTCTTCCTTAGAATGATGGTTTGCTGCCATTAAGGATATTCAAAAGAATGTAATGTATGACTGAGCAGACCTATTATAATAACTGGTTTTATTGTACTTTAGATTCACCTTCTCTTTGTCTAAGATATTTGTCTGTCCTTTTCCTTAGGTATCAGAAACTATGGAAGAGTTATGTGAAACTTCGCCACCTCCTAGCAAATAGTCCCAAAGTCAAACAAACTGACAAACAGAAGCTGGCACAGAGGGAGGTCGGTATTGAACCCCGTTCCTTCGTGATTAATAGTGATACATTTCAGGTTTATGTCAAGATTGTTGAATTACACTACTTCTAGAATAAGATAGAAGACTCTTTTAAAAATCATACTTTAATCCCTTCCTCACAATACTATGCTGATTTGATTTTTTTATATCTTTTAGTATATAAAGGAGCATTTTTATGTCTAAAAAGAACAGTTTCTTAATAGATTACTACCACTGGGAATCGGATATACCTTTCATAGAAATTAAAGAAAGCTTAAAATTTGCTGCCTTTTATCTTAGATTGCACATTATACAACATTGGATCTTATTCAGATTTTTTAGTCTTAATGTTGTAAAAAGTCTGCCAGTTTAGTAGGGTGAACTTACATTGTAAGGTTCTATAGCCCAAATTCCATATTTCTTTACTTTTGGGTAGGAATATCCCTGGATTCTGGGATCACATATATTTTAGTTTCATTTTTTTTCTTTTTGAGACAGAGTCTCACTCTATTGTTTGGGGTAGAATGTGGTGATGTCATCATAGCTTACTGCAACCTCAAACACTTGGGCTCAAGTGATCCTCCTGCCTGCGCCTTCCAAATAGCTGGGACTACAAGCACACACCACCACATCCAGCTAATTTTTGTATTTTTTGTAGAGACAGGAATCTTGCTTTGTTGCTCAGACTGGTCTCAAACTCTTGGCTTCAAGCAATCCTGCTGCCTCGGCCTCCCAAAGTATTAGGATTACAGGTGTGAGCCACTGCACCTGGCCTGTGTTTTAGTTTTAATTTTAAGGATAATTGGATGCACTATCAACACAGATTTTTTTCTCAATGAGGTTTTTATTCTGCTGTAGTGTAAGAGCACTAAGAAGCTGGGAAGAGTATTTTAATTTCGGCATTGTCACTTAGTGACAGTCAGCCTCTTTAGAAAGGAGGGAACTAAGGCTGAGAGGCTGACTGAAATGTCCATCTGTTGGTGCACACAAGGAAAAAGGTGGTTGTGTGGACTTCTGAAATACTACATATAATGTTCCTCCCATGATATTTGGCTTGTAGTAGGAGCTTAATCAATGGTGGAGGTGATGGTGGATGTGTTGATGGTTCTTATTGTTATGAATTCCTATGAGGTTTTTACTGAATTGCATATAAGTATAAAATTGTTTTTTATAATTATTCAAAGAGCAGTGAAAGGGAAGGGTTAATTCCTGATTACATCTTATAGGTGAAGTTTTGGATCATTGTCTTTTTAAAAATAAGATGTTGCCTTGTAGTGAGAGTTTTTGTGAGAGCTCAGCAAATTAGAAGGAAACGTTTAGAATTATGTGGGTTGCAGGTTAATTTACTGATTGTCTTAAATGCAAATGTTTAACATAGGCTTGATATAAACATAATTTTTACATGCCAATTTCAAATCCCAAACATCATGGCTTTTATTTTTTCCATCATGAAAAAAGGCATATGAAAGGGCATAGTTTGTTCAAATATGTCAGAATGGTAGATTTGGTTTAGATTTTTTCTAATCTAGTTACTGGGAAAGGCTGCCTCATATCCAAGGCTATGAGCATCCTGGCCTCCATTTCAATAAAATATTGTAATTTTGTGTGAAGAGATTGAATACCTGAATGTAAGAGTAATACTAAATGAATCTAGCTTATTTTCTAATGCTTGATGTTTGGCTTAATATTGCTTTAAAAACGTTGGGTTACTCATCATAATGAATTCTTTTCTAGGAAGCACTCCAAAAAATACGACAGAAGAATACAATGAGGCGAGAAGTAACAGTGGAGCTAAGTAGCCAAGGATTCTGGAAAACTGGCATCCGTTCTGATGTCTGTCAGGTGATGATGCTTCTGAGAACACAATTATGCTCATACATGTCTTCCTTTAAAAGGCATCTGGCACTGAGATTTTCATAATTGAGAAATTTCTAAAGAGCATACTTCCTTGAGACTAAATGGAACACCAATCATAAATTGTCTTCTATCATTCAGATTTAGTTCTTGTTGTCTGTTGTGGTGCTCTATGTGCGTGTGTGTTTTGCACTTGTGGGTGTTGAGGGGAGGAGCTTACTTAATAGAGTTAAAGTCAGTCTCTTCCCTTTGGTTGAAGACAAATCTATCCTTTGAATGCACCTGCCTATTTGTAGCACATGTATAGGTGCTTGAACAAAAGAGATAGTCCGGTAGCCATACAGATAGACTGTTGATGTGTACAGACTTTCTGGATTCATGACTCAAATTTGTATTGCAATTTGTATTGTAGAGAACTGAAGGCATTGATGAAAGAAACAGTATACGGTTCATATTTTGAACCAAATGGCAATATATTTTCCTTGGGTGAACTCAGTAGAGAAACATTTCAGCTCTATGTAAATGACTCACTAATAAGTATTTTTGTTTTACCTATGGTGGCATTTAATCTGCTTAAAGATCCCTAAAACCAGCATATTCTTTGGTTCTGCACTTGATCCTTTTGTCATGATTGATATTGGATGTACTCCATGGGAATTACAGTAAAGGAAATGAGTACACAGGCTAGGGTCAGGTAATATAATTTGCTATGTTCAGCCTTTTGGAAGAATACTTCCAGGCTTCCACTTATCTATTTTGGTGATAGCATGTGTTGTAATAAGTTCAGACAATTTACTCTTAGGTATTCATTTCATCATTATGATTAAGAAAAAATGTTGGCATTTAATGGGGTTTCATCTTATAATTAAAAGTATCACTATACATTTTATTTACTGAGTGATGTCCAGAACGATTTTTGTGACAGGATGAACTGCCATTGATGCAGTGTTGCTAATTAATAATTATATTTGAGGATAATAGTCATCTGGAGTGGTAGCTAGTTACATTCTCCAAGTCTTTTGCCAGTCAGTTATTTTGCCAGTTGACCAATATTTTGTTACTGTCAGTACTTTAAGATGGGGAATATTTTACTTCTGTTGATTGTTTTTCAGGGCTATTTGAAGCCCTGTCACCCAGTTTTTCTGTTTGCTGGTATCTTCCTGAAACCAACATAATGTCATCCTAAGATAGACATCATAAGTCGATGAGTAGAGTGATAAGTCAGAGTTGATTAAGAAATCATAAAATTGTGGAGCATTAAGAACTGAAAGGCACCAGAGAGACCTACTGTACTGATTTCTAAACTTGTGTTTTTGTTCCACTTCAAAATATTTTTTTCATACAGAACCCTTGTATATCCCTGCTTTGTAAAAAGATAAAAAATAACTGACTGGTGGGTGTGGAGGGAGTATCTGGTTTAGTTGGTTTCTCTCACACCCCATGTAGTAGTTTCTAAGGCAGTTTTGTTCCACTGAACACAATCTTGTTTTTAAAGCCCTTTTTTTTCCTTTTGGTAAAACAGATAGGGATGCTGAATTATCTGTTCAGTGCAGTTCTGCGTTTTTCAGCTTTATCACAGATAGATGTCTTCCTGTGTTCCTCAGCTAGATTAGAAGCAGCTTGAGGACAAGGTTGTCTCATCTCCCTGTGTATTGTATTCTACATTCTATTTTTGAGGTTGTTAGGCAAAAGGACTCAGTCAATTCCCTTGACTAACTGGTGGGAGAAAATAGATCCTGATTAAACCCTACAAAGGTGAATATTTAATGATCTAATAATAGTTCCTCCCTCTGTAGAACTCTCACTCTTCCAAAGAGAACTTCCATTTGTTTAGAAGCCAGGCTTAATTCTCTGGTCCTCCTAATGGAAGTCTTTTTGAGTTCAGTAAAAATATCCTCACATGTAAATCACTTGATAAAGAATGTAAATTGCTGCCTATGAGTTCATATACTGAATACAGAAGGAATTGCTTTATGATTTGTAAAAAAAAAAGTCTGCATATAAATGAATGAAAATGAGCCAGCTAGCTACCTGAGAAGTCAATAGAAGCAGAAGAGAAAGAAATCTTAGCACGATGGCAATGCAGGGGCTGGGGATGGACTATTAAAACCAAAACCAAAACCAGAAAACCCCTGTGCTTGGTGAAATAGATCCTTACCCACCAAAATCTAATTATCCTGGAGGCATTCTGCAGCTCTCAATCTTATATGAACAGATGAAGTATCTGTTTATCTTGACATTAAATATTATTTCACCATCAGTGACAATTCTTGGGATTGTGAAAGTAAATTGTTACCTACATAGAGCTTAAAACATCAACATATAGAAATGCTACCTTGAGAGAATTTGGAGGTGTTATTCATCAACTCATTCTTCACACTAGAGCAACCTAGTTCAAACTTTAAATGCAAAAACATAAAGGTAAAAATGATTAAGGGGAGAATGGCAAAAGTAAATTAACTTAATTGTCTTTTGGCTGAAAATGAGTATTTTTGCAAGGACAATTTTTATTATGTTTATTTATACCCTTCCTCGTTTCAGAATGGTTCTGAGGTGGTAATTCTCTTTATAAAAGTAGGCATAAATAAACCACATGACTGTGAAAGGCATGGACTCCACAGTGAAAACTGTTAAATCCATTATTCCTTCATTGCTGGTCCTTTACTATTCTCGCTTAGCTTTCTCTTGGGCTGTTTTATTGCATATCAAAGTTCAGAAGTCTTCCTTTCTGCTATTATCTTACAGAAAACCTTTGATAAATATAGAACTTCCAGGTGCATTTTAACTAAGAGTGTTTGCCACAGATGATATTTTATCTCTTCCTGGATTTTTTATGTTTTAAAATTCTCAGGTATTTTTACATGCATAGCACAAAGGTTCTGAACAACAGTTGCCCTTAAATTACTGATTTTGCCATACATTTTGTTTGAGTATTTTTTACCTTGAAATTGCATAGGTAAACAATGGGGCAATAAAGTCATTCCCAGTTTTTTTTGGTAAAGAAATCAGATCAAATATCCTATCGAATAGTATTAATGATTAAACCTCTATGAGTATATTTTGGGGGCTATTTTAATCTTACTTCTGGGATAGTATAGTCTTTACACCTAGTGCATGGGTGTCTACCCCAAGTCACATATATGTTAATATTTTTTAAACTTATCCTGGAATAAATGTTTTCTTTTGACATGTGTTCCTGAAATAAGCGGATGGCATGTCATAAAACAGTTTAAAACATTCAAACTAAATGCATTTTATATTTTTGGTAATGAAGAATAAGAATCTGATTGTCTGGGAAATAGCAGTCAAGTCTGTCTATACACTGAATACTTCGAATAATCCTGAACTCTATAGATGAACTCATACTTAATTTTAAGAGAAAAAGAAGGTTGAGTGGCTTCTCTAAAATCCTTGAGAGTTTGTCTTTGTATTTGGTAGTTTATTGATATGGAACCTACTGTTTATTAGTAATCATTGCTAGTAGGTTGCAGGCAAAAGCCTTGTGATGATATCTGCCTGAGGCAGGAGATAAAACTGGTGTGATGAGTTTAGGTGGAGTGACCTCAGTACCAGCAGCTCCCTCTATAAGTACATTTTCCCCAACCAGAGAAGTTACTATGGATTATAAGGAGATTAGAAAATTCTCCTAGCACCTCAGCCGATGTTAACAGGAATGAAAACCTAGGGGGTGGGTGCTGTAATCTATAATTACATGTGAACTGAATGTGATTGTCACCATTTTTGGAGAGGATTTGTTTAAGGATTTCCTCTGCATTGTTGCTTGTGTTAGAGTGAATTTTGGGTAGTGTAGAAGAAAAAGTAGGAATCAAAACCTGAATCTGGGTCATCACTGTGATGACACAGAAGAGGAAGAAAAGCAGCACGCTGCAATAGGATCTGTACTTCAAGAATCGAGTTTTGCACACCAGGGTTGAATTGGTATCTTCTATGGAGATAGGTGCTGGGACCCTATGCTATACTGAGGAGGTGGTCATGGAAATCAATAAACTGAATTACAAGATGTCAAAAAAAGGAGCAAAGAATCTGTACTGTTATAGTCACATAACCAGTATGGGGCAGAAACGGGGGAATTGTAACTCCCTGACATAAAAAAAAAGGAAGCATGGGTGCCTGGAGAACTGTTGTTGGCCTTGAGGAGAGCTGAGTTGTGATGATTGGTATTTGTATTGGGTGGACAGAGAACTGTATTTGGACTCATTAATAAATGTGCTGTCTTCCTAGAGTGACTGTCTAGAATGGGATGGAAGGCCATCATGCATTGTCAAACTAACTGATAGTCTTGCTCAATGATTTGTCAAGGAATCACTGAACAGTGAAAAATAGCATCTCTAGGGATTAAGAGGCTTTGGACAAAAAGTTAAAGAAAGTATTTTCTAAGTTAGAACTTTGTAAGGATAAAAAAAGGACCATCTAAGGCAAATGACTTCACAGATATTATTTTAAAAACTTTGATATTTGGACTATATGAGATACTTTTTTTTTTTTTTACAGGAGATGTAGTCCCACTCGTGTAGGAAGGCAAGATTTTGTTTAAAGGCTAATTGGCCTGACAGAAAATTATTAGTATTTTAACTATGAAAAATGTAAAACATACAAGGTTAGAGAGAAAAGTATAATGAACTGTATGTATTTATCATTGAGCTTCAGTAGTTATGAACAGCGGTTCTGTAATATGATAATCTAATCAGTGTTCACATTTTTCTGATTGCCTATTAAATTAATTTTAGTCTATTTGTTTGAATCGGGGTCCAAACAAACCCATATGTTATTATTCGTTGCTGTATTTTAAGTCTCTTTAGTCTATAGGTTCTCATTCTATTTCTCCCTTTTTTCCCCCTTGCAAATATGTGTTAAAGAAACTGGATGTGTTCTATAGAGATCCTATGGTTTGGTCTAGATTTTGGTGATTGGCACTTTCATGGTGTCATTTACCATGTGCTTCTGCTCCCTGTATTTTCCATGGCCACATATGGCCATTAGAATTAAATGAAATTAAAAATTCAGTTTCTCAGTTGCTCTCACCACACGTTAAGCACTCAGTGGACACATGTGGCTAGTGCCTATTGCAACAACACAGATACAGAATATTTCCATCATCACAGAATGTTCCATTGAACAACACTGATCATATTTTAGTTCTTTTTGCAAGACTTTTTCATAGGTGATGATGTGGTATTTTTGTGTGTGACATTATCAGTCAATGATGGGTCATTACCTAGACCCAGAAATTCATTAGGTCTGCTGAAGTGATATGCTAATTTTATCTTTCTTCGCTTATTATTAGAATACTTTTTAAAAAAGATCCTTGGCTTAACTATTTGATTACTCTGAGATTACAGACCCCAGATAGGACAAAACCAAAAAATTTACTTATCATCAGCATAGATGTTATTCTATTCCTTCTTTTTTTCCTTATAAAATCCTTAGATGAGATTTGATCATGATTCTTTTTTGTTGCTCTTTAAGTTAAATAAATTAATTAAAATAAATGAAATAGTTTTCTGTACTTGTAGAAAGGAAGTATAAGCCAAGATAGCTTTTCATAGTTCTAGAGCTTCTCATGTTGTTTTTGCAAAATGATAAAAATATGGCCTCATACTATGTCTGTGTCTCTACTTTTATCTGGACCTTCACTTTCCTTTGGCCTTTATTATCCCTGTCCTGCTAAATGTGGCTTTTACTCCTAGTACTTTCTCCTCATTGTAGGGCTTTCCCTTGGAAGGGAGCTTTAGTTTTTATGTGTTTTGTGTGTTTACAGGTCCCAGGCTTCTCCAGCACTATTAGACTGTCCTCTTGTACTCAACTAATGAATTATTAATAGATTCTGCAGAGCCCTCTCTGGTTTTGATCACATTTCCAGTGAATACATGTTGTTAATTTTGGGTTTCTTCCATTTTCAGCCATCAGAAGCCTTGCTACTCTCTTTCTCATCTCTCACGCAGATGCTGAGACCACATAACTCTTTGTCCTTGTCTACTCTTATTTAGGGGTTCATGGAAATACCTGGTCATTTAGTTTTTATGTAGATATTGTTCATAGATCTTTCATTTTGTTAGTCTAGTTGCTCTATTTTTATAGGAGAATTTGAAGAGATTTTAAAACTACACATTGCCATTTTCTCACAGTCTTTCAAAGGAGCTTATTTATTTTTTTTTAATGAAAGCAATTGCTAGACATGAATTAGGGGGAAAAATAAAGATGCTTAGTGATTGTATTTCAGCACTGCAAAGATTGATACTTCTAAAAACTGAGCTAGAAATTCTAACAGTCTTGTAAATAACATTAAGACTTGGTTGTCCGGGATTCAAGATGGACATGGATCATCCATACCTTTCCATGGCACTCACAAGAAACAGACTTATTTGGAAAGAGAAACTAGTTCTATTTGGAGCGAATTTAGAGGAAGTGGTGAAGGGACTCAACAGCTGTTGCACATGAGAAAAGGTCAAAAGAAAAAAGGTTTAGTTTAGCTAGAAAATGCAGGGATTGTGCCATTAGTGTATTTTGTTTCCCTGTAGAACTAGGATCAAAAGGCCAAACCTCCAAAGACACAGATTTGGGCTTAAAGTTAGTAATTTTCTAATAATTAGTGAACTCTAAAAAGGGTGCTAAGTAGTGATTCATCTCTCACAGGAGGTATTAAAAAAATAATCAGTTTACCAGGTTGAGTTAATGCTTTAGAAAGGTAGTTGTACTGCACGCATAGTCTTCATGTCCCATTCACCTTGAGTTTTTTAGCATCAATTCCCTTGAGCTTCCTGCAATTTTGGCATGTAAACTGTATTATAGTTTGGCCGCTGTATTATAAACTGTATTATAGTTTGCACTTTATTTATATATTGTTGTATTTTTAAATATAACATTTAAAAAAATCAAGTGGACAGAGTGTCAGTCATTCAGATCCTAATGACATATATCTAACAAGCCCTTGATGGCAAAAAACAGTGTCTACATCTTTTCTGTCTTGCACAAATATTGTAAGGCCTTGCACATGGAGGTGCTCAATATGTATTTATTGAATTGAACTGGAAAGAAAGACTTTCCATTGATTAGAGATCCTATGTGGCAGAACTAATCTTTCTTTATAAGTTAATAATATAACCGATTTCTGTGCTTTCAAGCAAATCCATTTTCGTGTATTTTTAAACAATGCTGGCTTAAAATACTTTGAAGGCTGAAATGATAAAAAGCATATGCCAGTCATTTTGTGGGCTGTGCCCATCCTCCAGGTTCTAATGAATAAGAATGACTCCTTCATTCTCTTGAGTTCTAGGGAAACATTATTAAAGAAAATAAAAAGATATGCCTTCCATAAAATTGTCTCCCAATAAGGAATCTATAGCCAAATGAAAAATGATTTATAAGTTCCACGTCCTCAGATGCCTTAACGGTACTGGTGGTTTTATAAAAGTTGTCTTTGGAATGTTAGATCATTAAATGTTAAACCTAGAGTGGCCTTTGGAGATTATCCTGAGTGGCATTTGGAGATTATCCTGCTGAGAAGTTCTTACTTAAGGGATAGTGATGGGCTTTAGGGGTTTGTTAACCCATTAAAATTGTGTACACCTTTTGCATGTTTGTGCACAAGGACAATTTTTTGGGGAAAGGGTCATTTTCTATTGATTCTCAGACGTATCTTTACCCTCAAAAAGTTTCAGAAGGAATGAATCCTAATCCATTCCCTTATAATTAAAGATAGAAGCACAGAAATGCATGTGACTTGCTGAAGCTAAGGCTACCTTGTTGAATACTGACAGGACCAGGGCTATTCCTACTAGAAGGACAGCTAATCCTTATTCTAAGTGGATTTTTAGATTTCCTCTTTTAATTTTTACCAACTCTTCCTAGAAGTATCTATATTTATTATCCCCATTCTTCAGGTGAGGAAACTGAGGCAGAGAGGTAAAACAACTTGCCCCATGACATGCAGTGTATGACTGGCAGAGAAGGATTTGGATGCAGGCATTCTGGTTCCAGAAACTATATATTCTTTTTCTTTTTTTTTGAGACAGAGTCTTGCTGTTGTCCAGGGTAGAGTACCATGGCTCTAGCCTAGCTCACAGCAACCTCAAACTCCTGGGCTCAAGCAATCCTCCTTGCCTTAGCCTCCTGAGTAGCTGGAACTACAGGCATACACCACCATGTCTGGCTAATTTTTTCGGTGTTTAGTAGAGATGCCTACTTTATTTTTTTCTATTTTTAGTAGAGACGAAGTCTTGCTCTTGCTCAGGCTGGTCTCAAATTCTGGAGCTCAAGCAATCCTCCCGCCTTGATCTCCCTGAGTGCTAGAATTGTAGGCATGAGCCACCGCTGCTGGCCTAGAAACTATATATTCTTAACAACTACAGTACACTGCCCTTTGTAAAGGATTCTCCAGGATGACACACAGCTAATAAACTGTTTTAGGACTTTATGAGATGGAATTTGGGATGTGAAAATGGTTCTTGTTTGTTGTAAAATAAATGAAGTGTTTTTATAAGTTTTTATAGTTAAACATACTTAAGTATCTCTTTTTCTTAGCATGCAATGATGCTGCCTGTTTTGACCCATCATATCCGCTACCACCAATGCCTAATGCATCTTGACAAGTTGATAGGATATACTTTTCAAGATCGTTGTCTGTTACAGGTAAGAATTACTCTCCTGTAAACTCACATAATAACAAGATAAGAGTAATTCATCTTACAGGTTACAAATGGTACATTGCGTTCTTTATCTTGGAAAGTGACGAGGATTTTTAGAAACATAACTGTCTTCATTATTCTGCCCCAGTTACCTCTGCCATGTTCCAGCCCTTTCTCTTACATTTATGTGAGGCCATCCCTGAAGAAATTGGCTAAAAAAGGCTAAAATTTGCCTGTCAAACCTGATCACCCTCTTTCAGCCTTTCCTTCCTTATGGTGCCTCTCCTTCCAGATGCTGAGTATTCTAATTGTCTTCTGAAAGATAGGGGATTTTAGGTTTGTTTTCAGAAGAAGGCTTGTGCCAGAGCTCTGAAATTTTGATACTGGACGAAATAAGATGGAAAGATCGGGACTGAAAATTCAAATGGATAGATAGCTTCCTTTCCTGTTTCATTTGGGTTGATATAAAGATGGTGCTTCTATGTTGAGTTTTAAATATTAAGCTCATTTCATTGAAATTTTAGCTGGCCATGACTCATCCAAGTCATCATTTAAATTTTGGAATGAATCCTGATCATGCCAGGAATTCTTTGTCTAACTGTGGAATTCGGCAGCCGAAATATGGAGACAGAAAAGTTCATCACATGCACATGCGGAAAAAAGGTATGTTTAGATGACTCTAAGATTCTACTCCCCTATTTTGGCCTGTGTTCCCTATTATAAATTATGTCCCCACCAGGAATGCTTCCCTGGGTGACTCTTTCACCCTTTTATAGTCTTGTATTCCTATTGACTCATACATAATAGCATTCATTTTGAGTGGAGCATTATAATAAGGGCGGATGAATTTTTTTAGAAAGAATTCTTTCTCCTATCAAGTGTTTTATTAATAATTGTTTATTAAAGTTTTAGACATGCTGATACTAAACCTTTTAAAGTCATGCTGAGAAAATTTTCTTTCTACACATCATATGATGGTCTTAGAATACTTCGAACAGTATTTACTTGTATACTTGTTTTTTATTTTAAATAGGAATTAACACTTTAATAAATATTATGTCACGCCTTGGCCAAGATGATCCAACTCCCTCAAGGTAAAGTAGATTTTTTAAAAATACCTTTATTGAAATATAAAATGCCATACAATTTACCCATTTAAGGAGTGGTTTTTAGTGTGTTTACAAAATTGTGCATCCATGGTCACTGTCTAATTTTAGAACATTTTCATCACCCCAAAGAAAAATCCTGTATCTATTAGTAGTCACTCCCCATTTTCCATTAGCCTGCTCAGCCCTAGGCAATCACTGATATACTTTGAATCTCGGTGGACTTTGCCTATTCTGAACATTTTAAATAAAAAGTATACAATATGTGGTCCTTTGTGACTGATTTCTTTTACTTAGCATAATGTTTTTAAGATTTGCATGTTATAGTATGTATCAATACTTCATTTCTTTTTATTATCGAATATTTCATGATGTGAATATACCACATTTTATTTATTCATTCATCAGTTGATGGGTATTTGGATTGTTTCCACTTTTTGGCTATATGAATAATGTTGCTATGAATATTTGTGTATAGGTTTTATGTGCATATGTGTTTTCATTACTCTTTTTTTTTTTGAAACAGAGTCTCACTCTGTTGCCTGGGCTAGAGTGCTGTGGCATCAGCCTAGCTCACAGGAAACCTCAAACTTCTGAGCTCAAGCGATCCTTCTGCCTCAGCCTCCTGAGTAGCTGGGACTACAGGCATGCGCCACCATGCCTGGTTAATTTTTTCTATATATTAGTTGGCCAATTAATGTCTTTCTATTTTTAGTAGAGATGGGGTCTTGCTCTTGCTCAGGCAGGTTTTGAATTCCTGACCTTGAGCGATCCACCCGTCTTGGCCTCCCAGAGTGCTAGGATTACAGGCGTGAGCCACCACTCCTGGCCTATTTTCATTACTCTTGGGTATATACCTAGGAGCGGAATTGCTGGGTCACATATTAATTCTGTTTAACCTTGTGAGGAACTGCTAGATTATTTTACAAAGTGGCCTACCATTTTATATTCCCAGCAGCAATATATCAGGGTTCCAATTTCTTTACATCTTTGTCAACACTTGTTATATTTGTCTTTTTATTCTAGCCATTCCAGTGGGTATGAGCTGTTATCTCATTGTGATTTTAAATTGCATTTGCCTAATGGCTCATAACGTTGAACATCTTTTCATGTGCTTATTGGCCATTTGTATCTATTCTTTGGAGAAATATATATTCAGAACTTTGCATTTTAATTGAGTTCTTTACTATTGAGTTAAAATAGTTTTTATATATTCCAGATACAAATCCCTTATATGATTTGTGATTTGCAGAAAATTTTTCCCATTCTGTGAGTTGCCTTTTCATTCTCTTGACTATGTCCTTTGAAGTACAGAAGTTTTGATGACATTTTGCATTTCCACACACATTTTTGGATCAGCTTGTCAGTTTCTGTAAAGAAGTGAGCTGAAATTGATAGAGATTGTATTGATTCTGTAGATCAAGTTGGGAATGATTACCATTTTAATCTTAAATTTCATGGCCCATGAATGTATCTTTCCATTTATCTGTATTCTTTCATTTCTTTCATTAATATTTCATAGTTTTTGGAGTACATGTTTTGCACATCTTTTGCAAAATTTATTCCAAAGTATTTTATTCTTTTTGATGCTATTAAAAATGGAATTGTTTTCTTAATTTTAATTTTCAGGTTGTTCATTGCCAGTGTATAGAAATACAATTGATTTTCATATATTAATCTTGTACCTTGCAACCTTGGTGATCTTGTTTATTAGCTCTAATAGTTTTTTAGTGGATTCCTTAGGATTTTCGTACACATAGATTGTATTATCTGCAAATAAAATGGTTTTACTTTTTCTTGTTCAATTTAGGCACATTTTAATTTCATTTTTTAACTTACTTATCTTGGCTAGAGCCTCCAGTACAATACTGAATAGAAGTATTGAGAGTAGATCTTTGTCTTCCTAATCTTGGTGGGGGGGAAGCATGTTTCACCATTGAGAATGATGTTAGTGGCACATTTTTCATAGATGCCCTTTATCACAGTAAAGAAGTTTTCTTCTATTCCTAGTTTGCTGAGTATTTTTATCATGAAAGAGTGTGGAATTTTGTCACATGCTTTTTCTGTAGCTATTGAGATAATCATGTGGGTATTTTCTTTATCTACTCTTATGGTATAATATAGTAATTGATTTGGGGCATTAAACCAACCTTGCTTTCCTGGGGTGCATCCCCCTTGATCATTGTATTATTTTTATAATATAATATGTTATGTATAATATATATATTATAATCCCTCAAAAGGATATATATTATACATAATATTATATATAAACATAATATTTATACATGTAATCATAATTTATTTATATAATTATATATTATATAATATTATATTAAATACATAATTATTATATATTATTATATAATATATTATACATAATATATAATACAATACAATCATACTTATATATTATACAGTTACATATTATATGTAATATATATTTATATAATATGTAATTATTATATATTATATAATATATATCCTTTTTGGGGATTATAATATATAATATATATTTTACATAATATATACTATAAAAATAATATAATAAAAATAATGCAATCCTTTTTATGTGCTGCCAAATTCAGTTTGGTGGTATTTTGTTGAGGATTTTTGTGTCAACATTCATAAAAGATACTAGTTTGTAGTTTTCCTTTCCTGTGGTGTTTTGTCTGGTTTCATTACGATAGTAATAATGTCCTCTTGTAATAAGTTGGAAAATTTTATAGGTTAGCTTTTCTTATTTTATTATTTTAGAATACACTTTCATATATTCTCACTTTCATGTGGCTTTAAGCCCCTGAAGAATCTAGGAATGAAGTGGACTAGGTCTATATAAACTCATTAACACCCTTTGAAAACAGAATGGAAGCAAATGTTTAAAGCTGAGCAGGACTTGATATTGCTTGCAGGAAGATTATCTTTGTGTGTGAAGTACAGCAGGTTATTTTTTGAATGCCAGCAAAGGAGATTGCTTGAGGATGGCTTTCTTCTTAAAATGGGAAGTTGAAAAGTTGAACAGCTGTGCTTGTCACTCTGGGGACCCAGACTTAGAAGGATTGAGGTGGGTAGAGTAGGGTTAGAAGTGTCAGGGAGTTGAGGCAATTGCTCCAACTGTTAACTGGCCCCCAAAAGTAAGAGAATTGCCAGCAATAGCTGGCACAGCTTCCTTTTTCACAATTTTCTTTGTATATCACTTTTCTTTTTAAATTGGCTTGCCTTGAGTTGCTCTCTTTTGAGGTTATCTTAATCCAAACCTCTTCAATCAAGAGGTAAAAACCAAGGCAGGATGAAGCTTTAAAATTCTTGTTTGAATATGGTTGTATGCCTCACTGTGGTGTTCTACGAGAGTTTAAGATCAGAAAATAACTAATTAGAAGAGCCCTTAATCACCCCTCAGGGATATGGTGACCATGGTCACCCTATTCATCCCTATTTCATTTACCCTGCTACATAGATGAGTCTCCAGATACCCAGCTCTGTATTATATTAAGTAGAATCCTATGTACACCACAACCCTCGAAAAAGGTTATACACGCCATAGACACATAACTTTTCAGTGATGAAAATCCAGGTTTAAATCATCTTTGTCTCATCTACCCCCACCACAGTTGTTGGCTTGTAAATTATGTCTTTTGATAACATTGTTCAAACCTCATGGTTTATGTTTTCTTTTGCTCTATTACAAAGAGATGGCTTTCTTTCTTGGCTAAAGGAATGATATCTGAGAAACCGTGTTACATCTGAATTTACCATTTTGAAAGTGATACCATTGACAGAGAATAAACAAATAATCTCTCTTGTCTTTTGACTTCTGGCCTTCGCTGCCTGTGTTGAGAGCCTCTTGCCGTGAATATGATCTTTTTGTTGATGCAGAGTTGACCCCAACTCTCTGTTCAAAAAGAGCCAGGGTCTGCTGTGTTTGGCTGCTGCTAGCTAGAGGTCTGCAGCTGTGCACAACACTGGAAACTGTACTTAAGAAGCTTGATCTCTAGTAAGACTGAGGTACTTACTGGATTGTCAAGCATACCTCCTCCTTTTCCTGAATGCCAATTGTTATTGTGCAATTTCCTCTTCAATGCCCATACTCAAATCCTGCTGGTATTTGCTTTATGGTACATACTCTTGTTCTCCTGTGCATTATAATTGTGTTACGGGGCTATTTGAAGGTCTGTGGTCCTACTCTTTTTTTTGCCTCCTCTCCATGATAAATAGTGCCTTTCACAGAGCAGATATTCTGTAAATGAATATTAAAAGAAAGAATGCCATTCACAATATTGCTTTTATCCCAGGTTATTTACTTGTTGACTAGAAATGGAGCAGCTGGGGCAGTAGGAGGACTCTGGCCAGCAGAGATTTAATGGCTGGGTAGTATCTTACTTAGTCTGATTTAGGATCAGCTAGGATTTTCAGAAAGGAGTGATGGCTTAAAATCAATCATTTTTGATAGCCTGCCTACCTGTCAAAACTACAAAATAATTAACTTTTATGATGTTATTATCTCAAGCAAATATGTCAACAATAACTTTAAAAAGTGTCACTGTTTAACCATCTAAATCTCTTATATTATCATTATATTTAACTCATGCAAATTATGATGAAATGTTACCACAAAAAACGGTCTCTAAATGATTAGACATTAGGTGGCATTCAGGTAATCCATGTATTGCCAGGAAGACCTTTAGAAAGCAGGGGCCAGAAGGGTAGTAATGGAAAAAAAGAGAAAATCAAGCAGCCTTGGTTTTGGTTTGTTGTTTGTTTGTTTTGGGATTAGAGAGTCATTGCTAGATATAATGTAGAAAAATCTATTGTACCCACAGAGAGACACATATGGACTATTTAATAATGTCTGTATTTAAAGAAATAGTAGTTGCAAAGTGTATTTTCAATCAGTTTTCCGTAAGTCTTTTGCATTAAAAATATATTAACATTCATTGAATATATGTAAATATCACTGAGTGGATTTATCAACCTAAATGCTTCAAGTT